TTCTCATGAAATATGACGGATTCCTGGGGAAACAGCTAGGGAGCTGTGCTGTCAGCTGTGGAAATGTGACTCATGCTTCTCATAGGTGACATCAGAAGGTTTCTGGGTTTGCCATCAGTCAGCGCTTTGCCTAACCTCCTGTGTGGGTCACTTGGTGCCCACTAAACCCATCATAACTGGAAAAATATCTTAATTTGAAAATGCATTTAAGTAATCCCAGCAGTCCAGAGGCTGAGACAGGAGGATCATAGTGAGAACTTGTCTCTAAATTTAAAGAAAGGGTTGAGGATGCAGTTCAGGGTGAAGACCCTGCATTCAGCCCCCATTAACATAAGAAAGAACATACCCGTGTTGTGCCTAACGTGCTGGACATCATAGCTTCACGACATGGAACTCTGCAGGATGTGAGCTGTTTACTCCTATGATCGCACAGCTGACCCGAGCTGTGGCTTGTTGTTGCTTCCCAGCACCAAGCGAGGATCCCACGGCATAATGCTGGCCCAGGAGGGTGAAAATTCGCAGCGTGCTTGCTACTGAGTTTGTCTTGTAAAGTAATAAAAGAAATCATAAATTGAAATGTAAATTGGGGACTCTCTGTACAATTCTGGGAATAATGTGGGTTTCCTCCTTGTATGTTTTGCTTGCTTTAATCAGTCTTGGATTTGTGAAACACCAGATACATTCATCTTTCAGATCTTGTAATCGTTCATCTTTGCCAGGGATTCGATGTGCTTTGCCAGGTGCCGGAGGAGAGCACAAGCCTTGTGCACAGCCCCAGATGCCCGGGGGACAGGGCCTACCGTGGTCATTCTTTTGCCACTATCTGCCCTGTTTTTCTTTCCGCTACTTCCCTAGTTTCCTTTTCGAATCCTCATCTTTTATTGCTCCTTAATTAGTCACCCCATTCTTGCCTATTCTCACTTTATTCAAAACATGCAGTATGTCACATCATGACATTTATTTCATAGATCTAGGAATTATAATGCCTGGTCATGTTGGGTCTGAGGCCTTCCTTCTGTGGATTATTTACACAATAGGAATGTCATAAGTATCATCATATTTCATCACCTTCTTGATTTGTGTATTGGGAACTAATTCACATTTTTACACAAGGCTGCATCTCCCCCAAGTGCTATCACTGAAAGGATAAATTCTTTATTTGCTTTGTGTTTCATAGCAGTTGGAATAAAATTTATACATTTGCCCAAGATCTTCGCGCAAAGTGAGGTCACTTTTGTTTGCCAAGGAAAAGATGGACATGGATGAGTCTATTTAGAAAACTGGCTTCTGCTGTGCATGAGCCATGGCCTCTGGATACCTTGCCCACCTAAATACTTTCCTTTCTGTAGTAGGTTTACCTGTGCAAGTATCTTGCCCATCAGAATGCTGCATTTTTTTCTTCATGAGCACTGAGTACATACAATGTAGAATTGAATCATATTTACTTATTTGCAATTGCTAAACTTCCCCCTCCGGACTTCCCAGAGATGACTATTAGGTGAAGAGTCAGAATGAATAAGCAAAGAGGCTACTGAGCACTCCTTTGAAAAGGGTGTGTTACCCCGAATAACTTCTCCGGAGAGGAAGGGCTGATGAGTGGATGGTGTGTGGTGAGATACTGGTCTCTGGATTTCCAGCATTGCCATATTTGTCTATTTTAAATGTCCTTGAAATGTGAACCATGCACTTAACTGCAGGGTTAATGTACCCATGAAGGCATTATTATTTTTTTTCTTTTTTTTTCCAGTACTGGGAATCGAACTCACAACCTCGCGCTTGTCAGGCAGGCGCTGTGCTGCTGAGCTAAATCCCCAGCCCCGAAGGCATTATTTTTATTTCTTTAAACTCTGCTTACCATGTTTATATCATGCACTGGTCCTAGTCGTGTTGGCTACTGAAGGTTGCTTAACATGTAACATAAATTTCCAGTTTGTTGGTTCTTAACCCGGCTGCATATTTGAATCGCCTGAGGAACTTAAAACATGAAAGAGTGGGCCTCACACCAGCTCACTAAAATAACAATATCTTGGGAAGGGCTTGAATGTCAGTGTTTTCAAAAAATCTCCTTTGATCTTTCTACCACGGCCAGCGTTGAAAGCCAGTGTTTAATGGAATAAATATGTATGTAAACATGAATTTGTTGTCACCTGCATTTCTGGAGAACTTTTTAGTGATTTGAAAATAAAGGGTTTTTTTGCAAAACAATTGGATTTTTTAGCAAGCCTTCCTATAAAAGAATTTCTTATCTTAGCTGAAACCTTTTAAGTGTGCTTTTGTGAAAGTCTGTTCCAGCTTCCTTATAATCTTGAAAGAAACACTTTTCTATATTGACTCATTGCATTCCATAAGTTTTAAGTCAATTGCAGGATGAGAAGGAAGTCACTGAAATGCTCTTGAGATGCTTAAAAACTAGGATTTTGGAGTAATTACCTGTTTCCCCATTGTGAGCTTGCTGCAGAGCGCTTAGCTTATTGCCCTGCTTACTTTCTCCTAGGTTGGGCTGAGGCTGCACCACTGTCTCACTGTGCGGTGTTGACCAAGTGTCTTCCCCTCACTGAGCCCCACGGTTTCACTGCACAGGGGGCCACAGCCCCTTACCACAGTGTGGATGAGATGGAAACGAGAGCTCTGGAGCTTGTGAAGTGCTCTTCAGCAGTGAGATCCTTCAATCCTATTCTGCTAAGAGACCAGATGATTATCCTTATATCTTAAAATCGGTGTGAAGTCTGTCTGAAAGCTCAGGGTGTATTGAAAAATGGATACACTCATGGATCCAACCCATCCCCCTGCCCCTTTACCCCACCCCCAGAACATCTGGACAGCTGCTGCTCAGGAGGGGCAGGAAGAGCAACCTCAGGTTGTGCCCCAAGCTCCCTCTACACCATTCCCACCCCCAGCTCCAGGACAGGCGTCCAGCTCACTAATATACTTGCTTTTCATTAGGAATCCAAACTGAATTTTGCTCTGAATCACAGGATATTTTGGGTGTGTTTTATCTGAATATTACACTTATGTCATAATCAACAGAATAATATTTAACATCTAAAAACGCTATTCACATATGGAAAAAATGACTTGTTAAGCAATTATTTAACTTTGGATCACTTTTGAGGAAATTGTGAAAAGACACTTTTCTTCCCATGTTGGTGGGTATAGGGTTGATGAAAATCATCAACCCTATACCCACCAATATTTGAATCTTTTAACTGCAGAATTGGGACTAGCCTAAACATTTTAGATGAAAGATGATTGTTAATTTGTTAGTTAAATATTTGATGTAGAGACTCTTTATGTTCTTCCTCAAAATATTGCTTTCTTAAGATAAGGGTGTGAGTCACAGGTGCATGGATCAGTTAATTTTCACAGAGCGACACTCCCGTGTCAGTAACACTCTTCCAGGAAAGGAAGTATTCCTTTCCAGCACCCAGAAATGCCTCATGCCCTTTTCTGGTAGCCATTCATCTAGGAATGTGGGTTGCAGGATTAAAACTGGCATACAGATTGAATCATCTGATTTGTCACATTTTAGTGGTTGGGGGATAGGATCTGGGCTTCTGTCACTCAGCATTTGTGTGTGTTGTTATAGGTTAACTCATTCTCATTGTTATAGTGTATTCCATTGTCGGGATGTGCTGCAATTTATTCATTCTTTATTTGATGGTCTTTTGGGCTACTATGAATCATAGTCCTGTAGACATGTGTCTTGCTGCACACATATGGGTGTTTCTGTTGTGATATAACAAAAACTGCAGTAAATATAAGTGCGCTATGTAGCCAATTAAAAGACTGAGACTATCAGACTAGGGAAGAAGCACAAGTAGACACTGTGTCAGATGCATAGCTTAAGGGGACAGGAAGACTAACAAAAGGACAGAGAAAATTATGTCATGCAAGCAACAACACTCACAAGAAAGCTGATAGAGTTATGTTAATAGCAGACAAAGAGGACTTAGTGGGAAAAATACTAGGTAACAAGTGCACTTGGTAAAAATAGATAAAGGAGTTGATTGGCTTCTGGTTGCAAATTTGTGCAATCTATTGGACCTGAATATATGCCTACTTGGACGATGTGCGGGGATGTAGGGGGGGCAGGCGTGGGGGTGGGGTGGGGTGGGGTGGGGGTATGGTGGTGGTGGGGTGCCCTCCCTGAGCACAGTGGCGCTGCAGTCCAGTGTCTGGCACCCAGGCCCCCTGGCCGGCCCTGCGCCTACTAGGGAGCTGTGCTCTTTGCCCAGCACCTTCGCTGGGAGCCTCTTAGCAGGGACCCGCGGCAGCCACCTCCTCCAGGGCAGGGCCGAGGCGCCTTTCCTGGTCAGACTAGGAACAACCCTCCTACTCCTCCTCTGCTCCTGGTCCCCACTACCGCGGCCTTTGGGGAGGAGGATGTGCACCGGAGAGAGGGGTCCCCGTGTCTCCTGATCCTTCACCCTGCACCTTTGCACCGGGCAGCAGGAGCTCGGAAGCTGGTGCACTGTGTGTTCCTCCTCTTGCTTCCAGAGAGCAGCAGGGTGAGCAGTGAGGCTGTGTTTTTTCCTGCCTTCGTTGACCACTTGGACACCTGGCTGCACAGCTGCCCGCCTGACAGGATTAATCCAGCAGGAAGTTCTGACAGTGCACGTCCCTAATGCGGCAACCTGTGGTCACAAAAAGCAAAAATGAGTAGATGCTGGGCACCTGTGGTGGTGTGACATTCGTGCAGAAAAACTCCTCGTGCAAAAGCACAGCTCAGGGAGCTCGGGGAAGCCAGCCGGTTGGTGGACCTGACCCGCACACCTCACCTGCACCTCCACAGGTCCCGAGAACCCCTGGGCCCTGTTGTCCGCCCCGAGGGTCACTGCTGTTCTGATGGCCAGTGACCATGGGTTAGGTTGTCTGTGGTTAGGCCCTATGCAATGGAACCGTCGGGGTGTGCTGTGCTTGGCGTCCCTCCCTGATGCTGTATTTGTTCAGTGTATTTTAAAACGTCTTCCCAGTGTTCACTTGCTGTTTTCTTATTTTAGATGTTTTAGAAACAAATTATGAGAGCTTACGTGTACTAAATGTGGAAAGAAATGGAAATATTATTTATACTTACAAGGTATGTTTATGTTCCCTTCTTATTGTGTAAAATACAGAATATAAGATTTACTATTTAAATTACTTGTGCTATCATTTTACAGAATTCTATCCTGAACCGTTAGTCTTTAACATTATGAATTTAATCATGACATTGTGTTGTGTGTATGTGTGTGTGTGTGTGTGTGATATTGAATAATGACTGAAATTCAGTCTTATGAAATGTTTCTCTTCTGTCTCCGTCTCTGTGTCTGTCTGTCTGTCTGTCTCTCTCCTCACTACTGTGGAGTGAACCCAGGGCCTTCTTTTTAAAATGAGATAAAACTGCATATCTGAAGTTCAAAATTTTTAAATAAATGAGCAACTTCATTTTCCAGAGGGAAAATGTCAAGATATTTAAAACTAATTAATTTTGTTTCTGAGAACATGTTAAATATGACTGTCTATTCAGAACTGGATGTTCCTTTCAATAAACCAACAGAAATTAGTAGTACAATTATTTCAGCTATCTTGTGTACATATGTATATATATTTTTTCCCCTTCCTTCTTTCTTTCTTTTCTCCTTTCTCTTGTCCCAGTTGTTCTTTCCTTTTGAGCAGTTTCTTTATTCAAAGGAACGGTTAATGCTTAATTTTTTTCTTAAAAAAATTTCTTGACCAATTTTGAATGCTTCTATCTGGTAATCTGAATAACTACTTTGAAGATAACAATATGCAATATAACAACCTTTGTTGATTTCTTATCATCTTGTTTTGAAATTCTGTACCATTTTTAATGTTTTTTAAAATTTTTGTTTTCTTTAACATAAAAAATAGAATTATCAAAAAAAGAACTGGATGTCCTAGGATTTTTGCGGCATTATTTAACAGCATATTCAGGGTTAAAGACTCAGAAAAAATGAGCTTTACTGATAAGTGTATTATAGTAGGGATAGATGAAAGGCTATTTCCAATGGCCACTCTGATCTGCACAGTTAGTCACAGTGATTTTTTCCCCTTTTGGTTAAGAGAAGTTATTAAAGTTTAGCTAAGGATAGTTGTCTTAGTTACTTTTCTCTGGTTGCTGAGACAAAATACCCAATGCCCAAAATAAAGGAAGGAAAGGTTTATTTAGCTTACAGTTTATGGAGGTTTCAGTCCATACTTGGCTGGCTCCGAGGCAGAAGATAACAAAGCAACAAGAGCAAAGGGGGAAACGGCAGCCGAACGGCAAAGCAGCCAGAGCAAAAAGGAGGAATCGAGGCAAGCAGCTTCTTTCCCTCCTTTACATTGTAAACAGGCTACCCCCACCTAAGGGGCGTGTAGCTCTCACATAATCTCCATGCCCTCCTCTTCCACAGACTCAGGATGTATACAAAGTAAGCACCCTGGCTTCATGCTGAGTCACTTAGCCAAACCTCTAGACTCCCCAAGTTGACACAATGTATCAACCATAACAATAGTGCATGTAAAGAATTATATACTTTAGCGGGTTTGACCTTTAAGAATTTCATGGACCCATCCCATTATCCACCATACACATTTACATAGAGATAGAATTAGAGTCACAAAAAGACTGATTCATTGACCACGCCCATTCCCACTGGGCAGGGTCCCCACTTACTGAGCTCCCTGATACCGACCCCCTTTGCTCCTTGAGCCCCGATGACAGCTGAGTGAGGTCCCGTCTGTTTCGGACATGCACAGTGAGCTTCCTTTCAAGAGCTTGTTGCTAAGACTGGTTCAGTTACTACTGCAGGTTTGTTTTAAAACTAGCGACAAACTAACTTCTTTAACAGTGACATTTGGGTATTTTTCTTCTTTTCTTTTTTGTAGGATGAAAAGAGAAATGTGGTCTTTGGATTATATGATTGTCAAACCAGACAAAATGAGGTAAAAAAAAAAAATCATCATAAGCTATAGATTATTCATTGTTTACTGCTTGTGAAGTTTTCTTTTTTTATTCCTGTTTGCTAGAAATAAATCCCAGTTTTGTTTCCTAGAAACTTATTTCTTTGCCTCCCTTCTCTTCTGCTGTGTCTTTACTATTTCTCAGCTCCATTATCTTAAAAAAAATGCAAACACATTAGAACCAAAACACCAGCGAAAGTCTCAGTCCTTTGAGATTTAAGTAAAAATGGCTCAAAACAAATTTCTAATAGTCTGTAAAAAAGTAGAGTCGAATGACCGCCCTAAAATGTGTATGCTCCATGTCATTCATAATAACTTCCAGCTCTGAGTTCTACCTCTGCTCAGCCTTACTTTTTTTTTGCTTTTCATTCCTTCTCAAAAATTCATGGATTTTTGGGATGAAAAAAACTCAGTTACGGAACTTAGCCCTCTTAAGTTTTTCCCCCAAACTACTCACATAACGCATAGGTTGATGTGGACAAAGTCTGTCTCATTCTGGAGAAAAATGGTGGGAGTCATTTTGTGCCCACATAAAAACAATTTAGAATTTAATATTAGACATCCTTGAACTTAAATATTCTTTATCAACTCCACTTTTCTCATAGGTCACCTCACTCTTTGGGGTTCCATTATGTTGTTTGGTGAATTCTCTTTTCCTTTCTTCTATCCCTTTGTCTCACACTCATTCATTCACTCATTTTCTCACTCTCTTATTCACTGACCCAACAGTGATTCCTGTGAGGAGCTGGACACACAGTGGTGACCAGGACAAATCCTGTCACAGTACAGTCTTGGGAAAGAGAAGACAAAATCTCTGGCTTTACTGCAATCTTCAGCTTAATTTCCAAGAGGTCTGCATTCTGGGAAGGTTGGCGAGAGGAGGGCCTAGCCTCTGTCAACCTGGTTGTATTGGGCACTGCCATCTCCTGTGTGTGTGTCCGGCTCTCCTGAGACTGTACGTGCTCAGCAGGAAGGAGTGTTCTGTGTACTGGTGTGTTCCATCCCTACTGCTCTAGCTGACTGCCTCGTGAGTGGTGGGAATCCAGGAAGTGTTTTCAATGGGTTGACAATGTAGGTTCTCTCCATAGCAGCTACTTTTATTTTCCAGTGACAAAGCTGGATTTCAAAATATGAAGATTATTCCCCAAAATAAATTGGTTAAAGGATAAATTAATGAGAAATTTAAACAGCTTTTTAAAATAATTGACTCTTACTACTGTAACAGATTAACTCACTACAACAGAGTACCTGAGACTTAGTTAATTATAAAAAACAAAGATTTAGTTCTTACAGTTCTGGATGCTGGGAAGTCCAAGGGCAAGAGGCCCACATCTGATGAAGGTCTGCTCAGGAGTTGGAAGGGAGAGAGTGAGAACATGGAGTGGGGGACGACAATGACGACTTGCTCTTATAACAAACCTGCTCTTGCAGTAACTAACACATCACAGTCACAACAGCACTAACAGCAGGGCAGAAGCCAAAATGTCTCCTTGCCAAAACTGAAATATTTTCAGTCATCAATTATTATATCCTCATATCTTTTTCATGGATTCTGATTGTGTGAATGTTAGATCTTTTGTCATAGTTTCACCTCTGACATTTTGTTCCTTTCTCCTTCCCCCAGTTTATTTTCTTGTTAGAAAATTTTCATTATTTTATTTTCAAATGTGCTGATTCTTTTACCTACCATCTTGTTGCATCTATCCAGTCAGGATTTTTTTTGAATATGATTATTGTATTTTACAGTTGTAAAGTTTCCTCTTTTTCATTTACTCTATTTCCTTGCTGAGATTTCTTTTTTATTTTGTTCCAAGCCATTTGTAATTACTTACGGATGTATTTTTATTATGGCTACTTAAGACACTTCACCAGAGCAGCCCAGTGTCTGTCATCTGAGTGTCCGCACCTGTGGTTCTTTCTTAGTTTTGGTGAGACACGTGGTTTTCTATCATTTCACGACACTTTGTGCACTATGTGTGCATGCTGGATCTTACTGAAGTCTTCTGTTCGGCTCTCCTGCTCGGACTCTGCTGGCTGGGAAGTGGGGAGCACAGCCTTGTTTCTGTCAGGCCGGGGTGAAGGCCAGGGCCCCCGGGTGGCCTCCTTTGACTGTTGAGAGAAGAGCCTTGCTCCAGGGACTCCAGGCTGCCCCCTAGGCCTCTCAGCAGGTGGGGATGGTGGGTGGAAGGTGGAGGCCTCGTTGGCACTGGGTGGTAGTGAAAGTTTTGGTTTCCGTTTAGCACTTGGCACCCACCCTTGTCATGAAACGGTACCTCCTTAGAGCCAGGTTGGGTGGGAGCCCAGGATTCCCTCAGAGCTTTGCTGAGCTTTTGGGTGGGAGGAGGGTCCTTCTACCAACTGGGGACAAAAGTCCTGGTTTCCTTCATGGTCTTTTCTGGTAACACTAGGTCAGGTGGGAGAAGGGTGTTTTGTCATAGCTACACAAGGTGGGGGTCTAGGTACCCCTTTGTTGGTAGAGGTAAGTGCATTTTTTTTTTTTTTTTTGGTTTTTCTCTGGTACTGGGAACCAAACTCATGACCTTGCACTTGCCAGGCAGGCGCTTTGCCGCTGAGCTAAATCTCCAGCCCCTGTTGGTAGAGGTCAGAACAGGATTGTATTTTTCCCTGTGGTATGTGGCTGGAATAAGGTAAGTGTCGTCTAAAAGGTTTCTCTCTTGCTAAATTTCCTCTTTCCTGTTTCCTTGGCTAGAGTGTGATGCCTCAGGCCTAGAATGTCTGCCTTTTTTCCCCATTCAGTGCCTGGGATTGAACCCATGGCCCTTTGCGTGCCAGGCAAGTGCTCTGTACTGACCTTTGACCACCCTGCTCTGCCCCTGCCTTGTTTGTTTCTGCTTTTCAAAGTCTTCCTAGGCTTGTTTTATGTAATACCCAGGGATTTTAGCTCTACTTAGTGGGAGGAGTAGGAGGAAGTGGGTTTCTTCTACGCTGGTCTCACTCTTTGAAGTTTTAACTGAATAATCCATCCTCTCTCCCAGCAAGTGGGAAGTGACATATAACTTATGCACAAGTAAGCACAACCCCATACCTTTCTTCCTCACTCTCTGTCATCTCCTCTACTTCCTTTTATGGGGCCCACCCCGGGATCCCCGCAGGAGTGAATGTGACATAAGCTGGTGGAAGACAAGTTTAGAACAAGCTTGGTTGGGAACTTAGGGCAGGGACTCTTTCCCACTGGGTTTGGTGACATGGGAGTGCAAGGTTGGAACTGCTGTGATTTGGGGACTAGAGCTGCGAGCTGCGCTGTGTGGAGGCTGTGAGAATGTCTTAAACCCTGAAAACTGAAAGATGGGTATATCCGGCTCTGGATCAAGCCCTTGCTGAAGCCGTGTACCCCACACTGTTCAGTTCCGTGAGCTGCTCTGGAATTCTCTTTTGCATAAGCTCATTTCAGGAAGGTTTTCTGATGCTCTTAATTGAAGAATTCAATACTTGTACAATTTGACCCAGAAATTCCACTTTGATGTTTGATTTTACAGAAATACCAGCATAGGTTTACAAAGATGAAGTTCAGAAAGGAACTACATTGGATTACAACATTGGATTGTTGTAATACTTACAAGGGGGAGGTAAACCAAATCCATATCAATATTTAGGAACCACTTTTTACATCTGTAAGACTCTAACAGCATAGAGGCACAGATTAGAAGCTAAAGAAGAGAACAATCCTTACAATCCCGGGAGAGTGGCATGATGTTCTGGTGGGGGACAGAGAGATTGAGTAACTGGTCCACAGTCACATAGGCAGCAAATAGCAGAGTCAGGATTTGAACATGGATCTAGTTTGGCTCCAAGATCTATACTTTTAGCCACTATGTTTGGTTGTCTCATGGTTAAGTTTCAGTGCTAAATATGGCGTATTTTTCTTAGAGATAAAACTCCCAATGTTTCAGCATGGATGAGCTAATTCTTGCAGGGTTCTTCAACAAAAGCTTTTGCCACAATAATACTTGGTACAGAGCTCAGTGGGAATTTATTTACATACAAATGTGATTTGATATAAAACTCCAAATTAAAAATTTTGTCTTAATAGCATCTGTATACCTTTGAGAAAGACTTGCAAGTTGTCAGTTGCTCTGTCAACAATGAGAGAACTTTACTTGGTAAGCTGAACTGTTTTATTGCTATCTCTCTGTTAAGGGTTTTTAGGGGGTTCAAAGTGTTGGATTTTGCTGTATTTTATTATTCCATAACAATGATTTTCTGGGAAAGAAATGTTCTTGAGAAATTCAGTTTGAAATTTACAATCTGGGGCTGGGAATATAGCTCAGCAGCACAGTGCCTGCCTGGCAAGCGCAAGGTTGTGAGCTAGATTCCCAGTACCAAAAAAAGAAAAAGAAATTTAGAATCTGTAGGATGCAATTGCAGAAGTGAATCTTTTGTGCTCTACCTGAATGTTCCACTGACAGATCCTCTGAACTGTCATTTGTTTCAGTTATGAAATACTAAATTTTAACAAGCCACATATAGGTCAGTTACTAATGGATTTTTTCCCCCCTCTAGCTACGAGTTTAGTTCAGTCTACTAAAGAAGGAAGAAAGAATGAGCTTCAACCAGGTAATGACATTATACTTTTTCATGTATATAGATAGATGAAAATCAATTAGATTAAATCAAATTTCAGGCATCTTTAGAACAAAAAGGCAGTGGTCATTTAAGCATGAGAAAGACTTAAAAATGTTTTGCTTTTAAGTACATAAGAAGGAACAGAAGTTAATAAGACAATAAATGGAAGAAGTCTTCAGGTGATAATTAGCACATGAAAGCTAAACAAATGCTGAGAACACTCTAGAATCCCATGGCTCGGAGCTGGTATAAGAAGTTGGACAAGTCTGGAATACTATTTTTAAGATTGTCTGGTTGAGTATTGACTACTACCTAATGGGCTATGAATAGTCCAGCAGACAAAAAGTCATCCTATTCATTTGCCAAACCTTACTGGATGGTTTAACAGCCATGTGATACTCCTGACGTTCATTTTACACTTTTTATTTAACATTCTGTGTCACCCTTCCATCGGCAACACAACAGTGTTGGTTGCCTGCTGTGTCCTGGGCACATCACATGGTTCTGGGGATGCAGTGTTTTTAGGAGGGGTGATGACCACCTCCAGGAGCTTGGTGCTCTATCCTGGGCTTCCATGGCAAACAGGTACCATGGCTGGGGGGACTATGTCCATAAGTGGAATAGACTGAGTGTAGGAAAACCGAAATGCCTTTGCTGTTTTCATTTTTATATAAAAACCAAACACGTTTCTTCTCTATGAAAAAGCCTTGCAGAGCTATCAGCATTAGGGATGGGAGGGTCATGACTCCTGAGGCTGTCTGTCATGGAGCAGTAAATCCAGTGGGGCCAGCTTTGCAATGTATTAAGAGAAGTCTGGTGTGATATTTTTTTTTCCCGAGAGAGTGGTCTGTTATGTAAAAGTCTTAATCTATACACGTTGGTGCAGATGTTTTAAAAATCCTGCTCATGTGACAGTAGTCACCTGTGGGCTGGAGCTGCCTGTGGGCCACCATTTTTCAGGCCTTGGTTCACTGGATCTCACATCAGTCCCTCACCACTCTGACCTGGGTTCTTTCCAGCTGTTCTGTTTATTTGACATTTAGATCTCCTCCTTTGTGAGCGTAGTTTCCACTCAGATGTGTCCTCCTGTGGTTGCATGTGATGGAAAAAGCCTTGTACACGATTTCCACATGAGGCTGAGGAGCAGCCCTGTGCTTCTCATGACGCACATTTCTCTGTGGAGCCAGCCTGGAGAGTCAGGGGAACCAGGGCTGAGTCTGGTGGGACGCTCCCAGAGGCCTCTGCAAAACAGATGATAGGAGATGGTGGTGGGCAGGAGGCTCCCCCTGAGACCTTGTCATTTGGGGAAAGCATCTATTCGGCAGAGCCAACAGCCAGTACAAAGGCCCCACAGCCAGACTACTTGGTAGATTCACTATTCAAGGGTAGCAAGGCTGGCACTCTGGGAGTGAGGCAGTAGGATCACAAGTTCAAGCCTAGCCTGGGTGACTTGATGAGACCTTGTCTCAAAATTAAAAAAAAAATTAAAAGGCTGGAGATGTAGCTTAGCATGAAGGCCCTGAAATACCAGGAAGGTACTTGGGTTCCGTCTCAAGTACCACAAGGGAAAAATCGAGCAGGGCAATGCATCTGGGCTAGAGTGGTCAAGAGAAAGAGTGGAAAAAACTGAGGCCAAGGGAAAATGGGATGAGGTACAGGCTGACCATGCGGCCCCTAGGAGCCATGGTAAAGACGGGGCCTTTGCTGCGGGGGAAAATGAGAATCGGTGTGGACTGTGAGTGGGACTGACCTGGCTTCCTTTATAAAAGGAGTGCTGCAGCTGCTGCGTAGAGAACAGGCTGCAGGAGCATGGAGGAGCTGGTTAATGAGCTGTTAAAAGAGCCCAGTGTCTTGGCTGGGGTAGGAGTAGGGAAAAGAGGTGGTATTTGGACATAGAGTGTTGAGAAGATGGACTTGTCAGGATTGGCTTCTGGATTTGATAAGCACATGAGAAAAAGACACAGGTCAAGATGACTCACTCCAGGCTTTATGGCAGGAACAGGAGTGTGTGTGTGTGTGTGTGTGTGTGTGTGTGTGTGTGTACGTGCATGAGTGCTTGCACGCATCCGGTGGGAGGAGGAGAGAAGGGTTTGGCTTTGGACGAGCTCCATGTGAGGTGCCAGCAGACACTGGTAGAGATGGAGGCGGGATTCGAGGCAGAGGCTCAGGGGAGGACTGGGCTGGGGAGAGCTGGGCTGGGTGGAGATGATGCCTTATGGAGTCACCAGCGTTCACTGTGGGAAGGTTTCGTGCTGTTCAGTTCCGATTTCAGAAATGCTGGAGCCAGCACAATTGGATCTATTATAATGTTTTGTCCTTTGAACAGGTATTTTGGAGAGGTTTATTTTGTCTGCCCATGAGTGACCTTAGAAGTCATTTGATTAAAAAGCGTAGGTTGCCACAAGGTGTTGTTAACACTCTCACTTACCGTAAGATTTTCCATTGCAAAGGAGACCAACTATGACACCCTTCAAACAAAACAGAGATCTTTGATCCACATGCTTTACAAAGCAGTTTTTTTCCCCAGTACTGGGGGTTGAACCCAACCAAGGCCTTTGCATTGAGCTATACCCCCAGCCAATTTTTATTTTTGTTTTGGAACAGGGTCCTGCTAAGTCCCTGAGTTACCCAGGCCGTGCTTGAACTTGGTGGTCCTCCTGGAGTGCTGAGGTGACAGGCGTGCACCACCGCCCACTTGTTTGGTTTTTTAAATCAACAGAGCTTCTCCCCTGGCTGTGCCCTAGCTGAGTTAACCTTTGATTTAGGAAATGGTCCCGCACAGGGAGCCACAGGCAGCTGTCCCCTCTGCCCCTCCCTGTGGAGTTGCGTCTGTCAGAGGCGCAGTAGATCCCCACTGGGTGGAAGTTGGGGTGATTGCATATGTCAAGGCCCCAGTGCCCTTGACACTCCCCAGAGCCCCACACCATTAAGGACGGTTCAGCCCCCCAGATGTTCCCCAAGCTCGATTCTGCTCAGGAACCCCAGTAACCAGCACTCCTCCAGGCCCCACTGTCCTACCCATCACCATTTCCGGAAATGCACCTCACCTGCATGGGACAGGACCCCCCTCCAAATCCCGGTCATGCCTGGTGCATCTTGTCCTCCAGTGATGCCCTTCCAGGCTCTACCTGTTTTATATATATATATAGTTGTTTTGTTGGACCTGTGCATAGCACACCTTCTTTCCTTTCTCACCCGCTTATGTCCCCTCCCTTCCCCTTCCCTACATTGCTTTGTTCCCCCTCCCATTTGCAAAAGATCTAGCTCCTTATCTCCTAGTGCCTGTCTTTTATTTTGGTCTTTACTTATAGTTGGGCTTCTTATATAAGAGGAACCATGTGATATTGAAGTTAGTGTGTCTGATTTATTTCACTTAACAGTATGGCCCAAGGTGCATCTATTTTCCTACAAGTGACTCCAGTTTATCCTCCTCTATGGCAGAGCAGTACTCCATCATGTATAAACACCACATTTCCTTTATCCATTCACCTGTGGGTGGGCATTTAGCTGCTATTACTTGTGCTGCTGCACACATGGGTATGCGTGGGTCACTAGTATGATATCAACGCTTTCGGGAAGATACCTTGGAAGGGACATGGCACTACTCTGCCAAAAAGAAGGATAAGCTTGTTTTTCCTCCCCACTTACAAAAGATGAACTTTTAGGAGAAGAGATGAATAATCTCTGTACCATTTAATATATTAATTTAGTGACACACTTAGAAGTGACATGTCAGTAGGTAAAGTTACTTTCTCCCTCATTTCACCTTTCATAGAACATTTCTAGTCTGTTTTTCTTCATGAGTGTCTTTGACATCAATGGCTTTCTTATTCCTGGTGCCAGTTTTTGAGGCACTCAGCAGATTCCCAAAGCACCACAGCTTCACCTCTCTCCCACTTGTGGGGAATACAGCCCGTCCAGATTGATGTAAAATCCTCTCACCAGGTTATTGTCCAAAGCTGCAAGTCCTCATTTATCAAACATTTGCTTTTTGTTCTATAGTTATGTGCTTGTGATTCCACATAATAACTTACTTGCTATCTTGCCCTTTCCCTTCTTCCCTCCCCCCTCTCCCTCCCTCCCCCTCCCTCCTTCCTTCCTTCCTTCCTTCCTTCCTTCCTTCCTTCCTTCCTTCCTTCCTCCTTCCTTCCTCTTCCTTCCTCTTCCTTCCTTCTTTCCTTCCTTCCTTCCTCCTTCTTTCCTCTTCCTTCTTTCTTTCCTTCCTTCCATCCTTCCTCCCTTCCTTCCTTCCTTCCTTCCTTCCTTCCTTCCCTCTCTTTTGCCTACTGAGGATAGAGTCCAGGGCCTTTACACTGAGCCACATCCCTAGCTAAGTTGCTCAGGCTGGGCTCAAACTCTTTGTTCTCCTGCCTCAGCCTCCCAGGTGCTGGAATTAGGGGTGTGCATCTCCACACCTGGCTGAGGTTCCTTTGTTAAATATCAAAAAAATGATGTTGATTCTAGGCTGCTTGCCATCTCCAGATTGTACACTGCAATGCAATATAAAGTCCTCACAAGCATCAGACTACATTGACGTCTTAAGAATTCAAGTTCAAGGCAGGGCCTTTTTTTCTGGGGTTGCTCTTGGGCACGGCAACTTGGACCTAAATGTGGATGTCAGTGGTCACCCACTCAAGCCAGGGACTTCCTCCTTGTTGCTATCTTTTGTGTCATTTGCTGAGATGTGACACTGAGGACCTAAATGGTCACCATCAATGCCCCTCGAGTTCTGTTCCTGTGGGAAACCCGGCCACTGTCCTGCTGATAGCTACGTGCATGCTCATACACCAGAAATGTCTTCACACTTTTACAAGTAAGAGATGTTTGCTACTGTGCTGCAGAGTTGGAGGGACCCTGAACCAAGGGCTGCTCACGCAGACTTAAAAGCCTAGAGGGCTTGTGAGCTGTGGTGAAAATGGTCAGTGAAGGCCAGGAACCGTTCCTCCCTCTGCACACCTGGTCTTCATCCTACCATGTCTGTCTGTCTGTTTATCTGTCTGTCTGTATCTTTCCTCTGTGGCACTGGGGATTGAATCCAGGACCTCATGCATGCTAGGCAAGTGCTCTACCACTGAGCTACATCTCTAGCCCCTACTGTGCATTTAAGACACGTCAAAGTAAATTAGGATGATTCCACTTCCTTAAGGAATCGCTAATGTAGTAGGAAACCCACATTTTCAAAATTCAGACATGTCTATTTGTGAATCTCAAAATCATGATAACTTAGGGGAGAAATGAGGCCCATTAGAATCAAGCTTGTGCATTGCTGGCGAGAGTCCAAAGACTGATAATCTTCGATTTCAGAAACCCCTTGTACTTAAATCGATGCATTTCTCCCCCTGTGCCTACTGTTATTTCCAGGGTTGTTCAAGACTTCCCTCTTGACATTTGCATTCTTTGGGTGTTCTGTGTTTCTCACAGTAAAATAGCATTGTTAGGAGTCCTGAGGATACGGGGTGCAGGTCCTTTGCTAGCTGATTGCTCTTTTGGGGTCTTTGAGCTGCCCATGTCCCTGAAGAGTGGACCTGTGGATAGAATTACAGTGTATTTCATCTTAAGGGAGTTTAAGGTGATGGGAGAATTGTTTTGCTAGTTTACAGTCGGTGTAATGGAATTCGCGAACAATCCCTCTCCCTGTATGCTTTGGAAAAGATAACGCATGCTACACAAATAAATCTTTCCTGAAAGCCTCCTTTTCCCTGCAGGGTCAAAGTGCTTAACTTTGCTGGTGGAAATCTTCCCTGTGAACTATGTGAAGGTCCTCAAAGCCGTGGACAGCTGTATTTGGGTACAGGTGAGTGCCCTGGCCAGTGAACACTTGTCTCATTGTCAGAAGGTAGGAAGCGATGTTTGCAGAAGCGTTCACACCCCAGGGCACATCTCATCCTCCGCTGGTCTTATGGAGGGAAAGGCCGGAGCCGGACTCTTCCTTGCCAAATGCAAATTAAGTTACAAAATCTACCAGCTCCTCGGCTCTCTTCATTGGATGAAATATCAAATATTAAAACACGTTTATAATAAGCTTTGAAGTAGTTAATTCAGTGTCTTCACGCGGCTCACAGACTAATTGCCTATGGTTAAATGAGTTAATCCCTGAAGGTAGCACCCGTGTGCGTTGAGACAGGAGCACTCTTACAGGAGCAGTCAGTCGGCGTTCCTTGCGGGCTCTGTGTGTGAATTTTACTTGCCGAACTGTTTTCGTAACTGCAATGTGGCGCTTCCCCAGCCCTCGCGGACAGACGTGCGCTGAGAGGTGAGGAAATCGCAGTCCTTCGCCCTGCACGTTCCCAGCCCGGCCTGTTGCCACGGCTGGCTCTCCCTCCAAAAAAAGTCCCGTCTGCGAGAGCCAGTGCCACACGTTGGGGTTTTTGCACTTACTGCTGATTTCATTGAGGCGGCCTCCAGGGTTGCCCTCGAGTGCAGTCTCACATTCCTAGGTGCAAACGGGCCGAGGTGCGCCAGGCTTCATCCGGCCCCGGTTACCAGGCTCTCGCCTGAGCTCCACGTTCAAAGTCAACAGTGTATGTGACACGAGGTGTCTTCGAACAGCAGCTACCACAAATGACAAGAGTCAGCTAGGGGCCATGCTGTGGCTCAGTGTCCCTGTGCTTAAGTTCCCTTTCTGCTCCAGGGTCAAACATTGCTTTTAGTACCAACTGGTGTCTCCTGCAGTTCCTGCCTCTTCCTGGCTCCCACTCCCTGAGGGCAGGCACGGGGCTCGCTAACTCGGGGGCGCTAGGAGCTCCCCTGCCAGTTGTCCCCAGGGGTGCAGTGTCCCCTGCACTCCTGAGCTGTCCTTCCCTCCCCTCGGCAGCCACTCTGTCTGCGTGCCATCAGGGCAGGGGAGACTGTGGGACAGGGCGCACTTCCCTTTTCTGCTTGTTTTGCGGCTTCCTTGGCAACCTCACCCAGGGCAAAGGATGGAGACATGGGAGGAAGTGGAAGAGCAGAGCCGGGGAAAGAGGAAAGAGGCTTTCAGGAGTATGTGCTTGTGCAGCTTAAAAGCTACTAAAAGTCGTGTGCTGTTCAATGGTAAAAATGATGAATTTTGTTAAGCAAACTTTGTTTCAGTTAAACAAACTGAAAGTGTATGATGCAAGACAGCAGGTCAAAGAAAAACCTGCGCTCAAACTGGAATTTGTGTTCATTCTGTGGGGTCATCTCAGTTCTCAGCCTTGTGCAGAACGAGGAGAGGAGGAGAGAGGAGGGGGAAAGAGGGAAAGGGAGAGAGACAGAGAGAGGGGGAGGAGAAAGGGGAAGGAGGGAGAGGGGGAGAAAGACAGACAGACAGAGGGAGAGAGTCCTCGAAGCCCTCACCATGGCTGATCTTCACTCTCTCCCTCCTCTGCCTCACCCCACCCAGAGAAATGCCGTCCCGAAGCCCACTGACTCCATCTCCTTTCTCTTACCAAACCACCCCCAGTGGTTTCCAGGCGCGCACATCCCCGTCAGCGCTTGCGTTCTCTGTCACCTTTCAGCAGGATGGTGGTGGTGGGTGGGGCCGGGACCCAGTGTGGTGCCCTGTGAGGGTCCCTGCCAGGGTGCTGCGCATCTCCTGGGTAGCTGCAGTGGGGAGACACACACCTGTGTCCACGCCAACTCTTCCTGCCTCCCAGAGACAAGAATTGACCTCCGAGTCTGTCTCCACGTTTGTGAAGATAGGTGTCTTCCTAAGCATGTATGACACCTGTCCAGATTTCTATTTAAAATGCAAAAAGCCACCTGGATGCTTTTGTGAGAACTGTGTTTGACACTTCTTGTGGTTTTGACCTTCTGGCCTTGATCTAGGGTTGCCTCACAGGCACCACCTAACTGGAGTTTAGAAATCACATTTTTACCAGCTGACCCGGGAAGATCAAGCAGAGGCTTAGAGGTTGGCGTTTATGGCTCGTCTGTAACTCATGTTCGCAAGCAGCCGTGGCCAGCTGCCTCTGTAGTTCCTGAAGCCCATGCCATCTGCTGTGGGAAATTGCCTCATGCAGGGTGCACATCTCAGCCTGTCCTTCAGCCTGGCACCCAGGGCACCGCCCCGTGTGTGGACCGCCTCACCAGGCGTGAGAATTAGCTCTGCACTACTTTCGTAGCCAAACTCGGCATTGCTGCCTTGTCTATAATTTTAAGGCTATTGCTGTGAGAATGGTGTGTAGTTCATGTTGTTTTTCACTTCTAAAAGGTGGACTTGGCTATAAATACTTAAAGAAACCAGTTCTATTTCCACTTTACTCTTATGAAAAGTTAGAGAACCAAGTAATATATTTTATGAAAAATTTCCCTAAGTTTTGGTGAGAGCCATGGGTATAAAGCCAAGAAATAAAAGGTTACTCTGTCTTTTGATAATGTTTTAAGTTTTGTGGGGGGAAAGAACAAATTCACTGGGGGATCTTACGTAGTGAGCTGTCTTTCTTGCCATAAAATGAAATGGCTGATTTAAAGTCACCATTTGGGTGGTGAAAAAATTGAACCCGTGGAGTCATCCCATGACCAACTTTGCTTCATTGTCTCAGCTGACGGGCTCAGGCCTTGTGGTGCTGGTGCCTGCTTTGCATGGCTGCGGCCCCATGGGGGAGACCATAAAAGAGAAATGAGGGAGACCCCCTCCCACAGAAGTCATTTTGTCTCTGAGGCTTTTAACCACTCTGTGACTCACTGTTTTTTCCTGGAAAGTCCCGGCCATATTCTGCTTTGTTTCTTGGGTGTGGGACTTCAGCGGCTGAGTGGGGAGTATGTTTGCTCGGCTCTCAAATGACATGCCTGAGGTCTAGTTGCGCACCAGATATATTGATCCCTCTGTGTGTGATAGAATATAACGTATCAGCACTGTTTGCATTGCTTCTGGCTGTCTTCAGAATCCAGTGTTCCCAGTAGGAAGCTCTATCACTAGAAGCAGCTTTAACCTTTGCCTCATAATTTACGTGAATGGTGATAGTGTTGTACCAGAGATCAACTTCCCTCTGGGAAACTAAGGCCCTCAAAGTGTTCCTCTTCTGTTTACTTGGGTCTGCAATGTGTGTATCTGTGTGTGCGTGTGTGCGTGCCTATGTGTGTGTGTGGGCATGCCTGTAATTCCCCTAAACTACCCTGTGGGTCCCAGTCCCTATATGGTATGTGGTAGTGGTATAATCATCAGACACAACGTTTTCCCCCTTGTGATATGGGGATGGAACCAGGGCTATGTGTGCTCGGCAAGTGCTCTATCGCCAAGCTACCCCTTCAGCTCTTCAAATGCAATTTTTGAAGTATTTGTGCAAGAAAGGTAATCGCCTAAGATTTTGATTAACTCTCCTTTTTACAGTTTCTGTACCCACATGTGGCAAGTCATCCTCTTCCACAAAGCCACCTGTTACTGGTTTCAGAAGAGAAATGTAAGTGCATCTTTAGGTGGTGCTTGGGGGCACGTGAATGGTGCATAGTCTCGTACTGAAGTGGGGGACATGAGTGAATCTTCTAGATGTCTTTGCTGTTACCAAGGGCCCAATAGCTTTTGTCCGTTTGAGCCATAGAATCCTGTAGTGGAGCTTTTTCTTCTGGCCCAAGTGTTGCTCCCTTAAGCTCCATCTTGGGAATGATGGGCCTTTGTACACATAGATGGCCAACTTTGTCATGGTTGGTTGCTTATAGCACAGTTGTGTGGGTCCTTTTTGCCACTTTCCATCCATTATTCTTCAGGATGTCTATCACAGGGGATAGAATGATGTAAGGAAGGAGACATAGATGGAGAGAAGGGAGGCTTTGGTAGCAAGAAGACTCCCAGGGCAGATCTGAGGACACATACTAACTTGGCCAAATTCAAGTAGAGGCAAAAAAAAAAATTGTGGCAAAAGGCTGGGTCATTGCACGATGTTTTTAAATTTGGGAAGGGTGGGGAAGGACACAGTTTACTGGTAGAGCTTATCTCGTGAGCTTTCACGCTAAAGATGTAACTTTAACATAGACTTTAGGGACAGGCTTGAATTGAAGAGTCGGAGTTGTGTTCGGTCCCTATGCTTGTGCTCAGTTTTCTGTTTTGTAACTAGAACGGGCAGAAGGTAAGGGTGACAGAATCTAAGTTATTAATGATAACAAGGGACCACCTACCAAATGATTGAAAGTGTTCAGGGTGAAACTGACTCTCACACAGATGTAGCTCCCCAATATCTTGCCCAATGAGTTTTCTGTCTAGATGCACACAGACATGTGTTCGGTATCTGGAAACTGGGGGTGAGTCTTGCTAAATGAGCCCTTGTTGGCCCCGTGTGGACTGAGTGTGGGGTGCAAGCACTCACTGTGGAAGGATGGGAAGGGCTAAGTGCTTGTCTACTGCTGATAGTGAGGAGTAGGGTCTTGTGGGTCTCGAAACAGACTAAAAAGAGAGGAGGGAGAAGGTGGTTTCTACTTTTGCTTTTGTTTTCTTTTTGAGTCTCTATAGTGACATTACTGTCTTTGATAATACTGTTTTTTAGCCAGTTGTATAATCTGTATTTGTTTTATAAAATTTGCTCCCAAGTGTTCGGCAAACAGTTCTGATGTTTTTTCTTGAAGATTAAATTTATCTTTCTTCTTTTTTTTTTTTTAAGACATTGAGCAATTTCGTATCCAAGTCACCCGAGAAGATGGGAACAGAGTGGTAAAGATTTGAAATTCCTTTTGCCCCAGAGTTCTTTTCTACAAGGAACTTATTTCTAAACTGTTAAAGATGGACTAATGCTGTTGATACATAACACCTTCTTTGTCTACTGTCTTTCCAAATATAGAATTACTGTTGTAATATGTGAAGCAAAACAAAGATCCATGAAGGTGTTAATGATTTCCTTTATCTCTACCTCAGCCCAGGCCATGTCCCCTGAGGGAATTAACACACTAGGCCCACTCAAGCAAACCTGTCTACAAGGCCTCAGTTTTCTCACCTGTAAAGTAGAGGGGTTGGATTAGATGATTTCTGGAAGCTTTTGGAATCCTCTGACTTAAACTTTATGCAGTTTTGATGTCACTTGCTTAATAAATATAATCATGAAGTGTGATGTAAAACTGAAATTTAAATTCTAACAGTGAATATTTAAATTGATAAATTTTATTACATTAAAACACACATAGCCATAAATCTCCCTCAAAATACTCCTCCTCCTCCTCATTGTTCCTGTCATTTTCTGAAGCAGTTCTGAAAGTGTTCTTTCCTGAGTGTCTTTAGTTGCACTGTTGTGGCTATTTTATTTTATTTTTTATTTTTATTTATTTTATATTTATTTTATTTTTATTTTTATTTTGGTACCATGACCTCAGACTTGCCAGGCAAGCACTTATGCTGCTGAGCTATATCCCGGCCCTGTTGTGGCTATTTTAAAGTTCTGGATTGATATAGAACATTTACCATTCATGGTCATTTTGACTTTGGGGAAGAGCTGGAAGTCACACAGTGCAAGACTGGAGAACAAGGTGGATGAGGACACACTAATGTTTTCAGGAGCCTACCTTTCTGAGGACTGGCACTCAGCAGCAGCATTCACCATACTTTTGATCACACCTCATAAAGACACGTATGAAAGAGAACTTCCAGAACTGCTTCAGAAAGTGGCAAGAATGATGGGAGAAGTTTGATGTGAGGGGGAGTATTTTGGGGGGATTGATGGCAGTGTGTCTTTTACTGTAATAATTTTAAAAATTTAAACATTCACCATGTAGTTTAATCATACCTTGTCTAGTATCCTTAGCAACTTACTCTGCATTCCCCATTTCACTTTCTTTCTTTTGAAGAAGCATTCCTTGAGTATGATTCCATGCTAGAAACAAGGCACAGACAACTACAGATGCTGTGAACAAGCGCATACTCACTGGGGAGACTCTGGAATGAATTAAATGTAACTGTAATAAAAGCAAGCCAGGCAGCATGGGAATGGGGGCTCACCCTTCACCCCAGGGAGGTGAGGGGTGCTTTGTACAGGAGGCAGTGGCTATGTGAGGACTCAGAGGATGGGTAGTTAAGTACTGCTGAGAGGTAGAGCGCTCACCATACTCCCTGTGGAGGGTGTAAGATAAAAGCTGTGCTCAGGGCCACCTGGTCAGCTTCTGGCCACACTGGGTTGACTGCAGTCCTTCCCGTGCCCAGGCATCCCAGGCGCTGTCTTGGGTTGTGAAGCTTTTTTATCTGCACTGCTTGACTGAGGGTTCTGTTTGGAACAGAGAGTTACCAATATCCTCCTAGGGCAGTTATTGCTTTGTGATAGGGGTGGTCTTATCTCCAACAGACCCAGTCTGTCTGCTAAACAAGGAACAAGAATAAAGCGGTATATTTAGTGCATTTGGAAAAAAGTAATAATGCTTAACATTTTTCTGGAAAGGCTGTATGTGCATCAGAAGTAGGAGAAGTGCTACAATAAATGGAAATATTTATATGTATCATAGGTAGAACATGTAAAATAATGATTCCAGGTAGGTTCTTTTGAAATAACCATTTACTTACAACATCTTTTTGCTTCTTCAGGTAATTAAAAATTCTTGCCATCTCCCAAGAGACAGAATAGTGGAGGATTTTGTTTGGGTTCAGTGGAATATGCCCGAACAGAGATTATACTACATTGATGTAAAGGTAAAAACTAGTCTGTGGTCACTCCTGTTAATAGGAATAATATGCTTTTGACAGTATCATTGCTGTTGAACTTTATCAGTCATTACGTTTTCATTGATGAGTGCAATTGGTGAAGTTTTATTAAAAATAATGAAAAAGTTTTCATGAGTATTTCTCAAATATCTGGCTTTGTGTGTTTGTGTGCAGTGCTGGGTATTGAACCCATGGCCTCCCACGTGTGAAGCAAATATTCTACCCCTGAGCTATAACGTCAGTTTACCTTGACTACTTCTTGACAGCTTCCTTTTCTCTCTCTCTCTCATCTCCCTCTCCTCTCTTTTCCTAGTGTTTTTGTGATTGATTTTGTTTGGGGTAGGCAATATGTCACTGTTTTCTCTTGTAGAGATCAAGGGCTACCTTAAGATGCATCCAGTTCAATACAGATGAGAGCTTTGTCTTAATGGTAAGTCTGGAGAATGATCGGCTGTAGGAAGTTTTAGAAGATGCTGCCCCTTTCAAGAGAGCGGCTGTCCTGGACGACATTTTAGCATTTTGGATGTTAGTCACTTGTGTGAGCAAGTGAAAGAGTGCCTGCTACGTCCAGGCCTCACTCTGTCACAGGTGCTCAGTTACACAGGGGACGCGAAACGCGCACACATGGAATTGCCACGTGGCTCCCATGGAAGAGACAGGCGCAGGAGCAGGGCTCACTGGAGGGTAAAAGGTGTGGTCTGCAGTAGAGAGCTTTCTGTGGCTGCAACTTATTTGTCCCCAAACAATTTGCGTGTTTGTAGATTTGGGGACAATAAGAGGGTCTGGTTTAATTAGCGAAAATATAGTATTGCTCCTAGAAAGATTCTTAGGAGCGTTAGCCTGTCCTAAGGTGTCAACCTGTCCATCTTCAGCACTCCGCCTTTCTTCTTGCAGAGGACTAGTACTGGCATCTAGCACAGGGCGAGTTGATAACATCAGAAGAATTTCTTGCTCCTCTGCCTTTTATGGGTGCATGGCCTCCCTTACTGAAGTGGCCATCTGTGATTTGTAAGACACTACTGGGCCAGTGTCCTATTACATAGCCCATTTGTGATGGTCCCATCTGAGGGGACATTTGCCACGCATGAGCCCTTCAACAGATAAGCCTGTGACTGAGTGCATGTAAATATTCCAGTGGACTTCTGGGCTGAGGATTTGGGTAATCACCTTTGATGACAATGACAGTTAAACAACGTCTTCACCATCAGGCACTGCAGGACTGCCAGGCATGCCTGAGTGTCACCACTGTCACCAGTTACTGAATGCTATTATTTGAGTCCATTTTCTCCTGATTTTTTTTTTTTTTTTGGCAGTTTGAAACACCCTTGGACATACCATTAAGTGGCTCTGAATTTAAGTAAGTTATTTGATTACTTTTTATAGACACAAAATAATTACATTTATTCCTAATTCAGAATGTGCAGATAAAGGACAGTTTGATATTCTGTGTGCATCTTTTTCATATTTTTTCTCTATAAGGGATATAAACAACTTATCAAGCATGAACACCGGATTTTATGTGTAACACCAGCTGTGTTGATTTTCTTAAACCATTTATTTCCCTTTGTTTTGATCTGTGGACATGTTCTCCTTCCCACGATTAAATAAAAAGTTTGTAAGAGACTTAGAGCCCAACATCAAAGCCCTTTCTCATTGCTCTCAGGAGGATGTAACAGGTTCATCCACTTGTAGCTCAGCCAAGTATATTGCTTTGGTTTCTTTCTATTTTTCTTTCTACACAAAAGGGAAGCTTGCTTGCTTTTTCTAGAGTACTTCATGTGTAGTACAAATGCAAAACATTTTTAGAAAAAATAAGGCCATTAAGGCACAGAAGAAATGCAAGTCTGAATTAGAAAATGATTATATATATATATATATTTCACTAGCTTTATTTTATCATATATATTTAGTTGTGCCTGTTTTTGCAGGATGGTGTGTCAGAGTATATTTATTCTAAATCACAAAAAGTTATAAAAATATGAGTTGTACTATATTTTTCTTCTAAGCTGTTTATGTACCATGTATCTTTTAAAAAAATTATAGTACTTAAATTTCTCTAGGCGATGTCCCTCCTTCTGTGGGTATGGATAATGGCTCCTCACGTCATAGAGGAGGGAATGTATTTATAAATGCATTCAACCATTTCTTTTCCTTTGTGTTCCTAGGCTTGTCAACTTTGGATGTGGTTATCATGAAGAGCAGGAGAAATTGTCCAAACACCTGACTCTGTATGTTTTTACCAACCGTACAGGTAGAACTGGGCTTGTATTTATGAATTTATTCAGATATACTTGACTTCTGTATAAAATTTGGTTATTGCTGAGCTATATGTACCCTGAGAATAATGTAAATCAGCCACCCTATTGCACAGTAATCATGTGGATATAGATATACACACATATAATATACTAAATTATCTTCTCCACTATAATTTTATTAGGTGTATTAATTTTTTTATTTTTGGAACCAGGAATCAAACTCAGGACCTTGCACTTGCCAGGCAGGCACTTGTGCCCTGAGCTGTATCCCCGGCCCTCATTGGGTTTTATTCTAGTTTTTGGTGCTGCGAATTGAACCCAGGCCCTTGTACATGCTAAGTATGCATCTGCCACTGGGCAACACCCTTAACCCCTCCACTATAATTTTATATGCATGTATTCTGTCAGCGCAGGATTATCACAGCTAGCAGGATTATTGTTCTAATAGTTATTTGAACTGTTTTAGTAGAGGTGGTTGATTTGTATTTGGTCAGCTCCAATATTCTCACCTGCCCCACCTTCTCACAGATGATGCATGGGGCTCGAGCTACTTCCTGTGTCTGGCTCACTGCTGTGTTTTGGTTCTAAACCCATGGGCTTGGCTTAACAGTACTCGCTAACCTCCTGTCCTTACAGTCAGAACTTGACGCAAAGTTATTGGTGGCAGCGTTCTATCCCATCACATCTGCTTATTGTAGAAAGAGAAAATGGAAGGGGAGGAAAGACTGCCTAAAAATGAGAGGAGAGGAATATGATTAAATTAAATAAGTGAGGTAAAAGTGCTCATTATCTCAAAAATCATCTACCTAGTAAACTCTAGAAATGAAGTCTAATAGCCATTTTTAATATACCGGTGTGAGCAGACATTTACTACTTGAGTAGCATTTGGATTAAGATTTCACCCCTTTTATTAATAGGTACAATTATATAAATCAAAAATCAAAATAAAAAAAATCATGTCTCTTCAAAGCCAAATTTTTGTGGCATTCACATTAAACAGACACGCATTGAGCACTTAGTGTGTGCCAGATTTTGGAAACTCAGTGATGAGCAAAACTGACCCACTCTTTCCCAGAACAGAGGTTACCTCTTGGTGTGGATTTTGGACATTACATAAGAGCACACAGAACATTTCAATAGACTTTTGATGAATATTATGCATGAGAATCCCGGGAGGTGGCAGCATGGGACGGAGGCTGGATAGGAGAGGCTGTACCCTCAGATATAGCCTAGGCTGGGCAGCACCCCCGCTGTGCTCCACCCTCCCTGTCGTCCCGGCCCACCCCACTCCATCTCCATCCTGCAGGTTGCCTTTGTCTCACTGTGTTCCTTTAGAACCCCGCCCATTTCTTCCTGCCCAGCCTCACATGTCCCTCCATAAAGCAGCCCGGGAAGATGGAAGAAGAAGGGGACAGCAAGTTGGAGGACCTGTGTGGACTGGTAGTGGGACCCAGCGAGGGGACAGCACTGTGAGCGACAGCTGGGCGGGAGGCAGGCACCGGAACATATAGGGTTCTATCCTAGATCCTAAGAGTTGTGGGAAGTTAAACCAAAAAAAAAAAAAAAAAGAATGAAGGGGATGGGGATTTAGCTCAGCGGCAAAGCGCCTGCCTGGCAAGCGCAAGGTTGTGAGTTCGGTTCCCGGTACCGGAGAAAAAACCAAAAAAAAAAAAAAAAAAAAAAAAAAAAAAAGAGCTGTGGGAAGTCATTGGCAGCATTTCTGTGCCGGGGACTGAACTCGAGACCTTTGCCTTGAGCTACGTCTTCAGCCATTTTTCTATTTTTAAATTTTGAGACAGGGTCTCTCTAAGCGACTAAGATGCCCACTAAGATTACTTAATAATTTAGCATAGCATGTATCTCCTTAAGAACACGGTTCCCTGTAACCTGTGTTCCATTATTACCAAGGGAAATTAACTGCACTAGTCAACAAATTTTTCATATTCAAATTTCCATAATGGTTGAAAAATGTCATGTGTGTGTAATGTCATGTGTCATGTATACGTGTATTTGTGTATGTGTGTAATGTATATGTCATGTGTCATGTATACGTGTATTTGTGTATGTATGTAATTGTATATATAAGTAAGACGAATGTGTGTATAAGTTAAAGTCAGAACCCCATCAAGATTCAGGCATTGTGTTTGGTTAAGTCTTTGTGCTCTATGTCCCTGCCTCCATCCCTTTGTCACAGCTTTGTTATGTTGAAGAGTCGCTTTTGTCTTGAGAAATGTCTCCCACATCATGGATTTGTTGAATTGCTTGTGGGTGGAGACTGCTTCCCTCTGTCCTCCGTATTTCCAGTAAAATGGAAAAGCACAGGTCAGTGTCTTGATGAGTTGACTTCCAGGACACAGGTGGCGAACCCTTTCGAGCTTTCCATGATAACGAACCGCCCACTGTGGCACGCATGCCATGGGCTCGCCCCCATGGGGGCGCTGTACACTGTATTTGCAGTATAGCAGGCAGCACGTGAGGTAGGATGTGCCACTGTCCACTATGGCAAGTTTGGTCCCCTGACCAAGGGGTGACTGCTGTGGGTCTCCCTTGCAAAGGGCATTTTAACCTCTGAATGAGCAGCGGTGGTATGATGCTTTGACACACGGTAACTGTCCGGCTGCCCAGCAAACTCTCAGCTGGCCTTTTTAGGGTTGGCTGGTGTCCATCGCCGAGGTGTTTTTGCAGGCGGTGACACGCTTATTAGGTGTGCATCCTTGAGAGCTCACTCGTGTGGGGGGAAGGATGGGTGGGAGGCGGCAAGAGAAAAAGTGCGGCCTCAACAGTTGGGTGAGACGGTGGGGCTTTCACTGTGGCAGGCAGTGGCTTTGGGACACGGTTTGGAGAGGTCACCAGAGGCTGGCTGTAAACTACGTGGGGAGGAGATGCTTTTGTGGGCTTTTGGCACCAACAAATGGTGATGTGAGAGGGGCCTGGGAAGGGGGGCCCCAGCCTTCCTTGGGGCATGTTGCCTGAGGTATCTGGGGCCTCTAAGAGCGGCCAGGACCCATGACAAGTAAGTGGAGATATGTCAGAATAGAGCTGGCATTTACTGTCATGGGATGGGGCAAAGGGCAGTGTGGAGGCCCGGAAGCTGAGGGTGGAGGGGAGCTTCGCAGAGGAGGGCAGCCTGCTGCCCACTTCCAGGCTGACTTGTGACTGGGCCTGGTGGAGCAGGACCTGGAGTTAAAGACTTCGTAGCAGCATTGTAGACGTGCGAGGTGGCAGTGGGATTCAGGGAGTGTTATTAAGACAGTGGAGACTCCCGTGTGTTCAAACATTTCCAGGGCATGGCTAGTGTGTATGGAGAGAAGGCACAGCGGAGAGGAGTCGCTGTTGGTATGAATCTGCCTCGAAGGTGGATAAGCTAAGATCAGAGCTGGGGCGGGGGGTGGGGGAGTAGAGGTTCCATCCTAGTACTTTGATTTAAATCTGTTGGATATAAACAATCAGTTTTGGCCTGCGATTCTATGTAGCTTTGCATTCCTTTTCATTTTATTCCAGTAGGAATTTCTCATGAGCAGTGGCAGGTGCTTGTACAGTACTGTACCTGGGTGTAACTTAAAGATGAGCTGCCTAGGCCGCATTTAATGAAATGCTAGGTTTATCTGGCATGAGATGTGAAAGAATCTGTTTTTTTTTTTTTCCCTTTCTCAGCAATGTCTGGGAGAATAGAAGTTCTCCTCTTCACAATAAGCCCTGAAACAGAAAAATAAGCCTGTTTCCAGTGCAGTGTTTCCAGACTTAAAATGAAACAAGCTGGAGAAACAGTCCTCTGGCTTTTGTTTATGTATTCCTAGGTTCATGATTAAAAAATTAGTTTTGCTCCCATGGTTAAAACAAGCACAATCTATTCCAGCAAAGTAGGATAGGAGAAGGAAATTGTTTCCTAGATACAGCCCCTGCTGGCTGGGAGAGCTTCGGTTTCCACTGCTGTGGAGACCAGGAAACACGGCTCCAGGAAAGAACACTGGGAAGCTCAGTCCTGTGCAGACCTGGGCATCCCGGCTGTTTATGTGGACCATGGCGATGCATTACTTGAAGTTCCTGTTACCTCTGGTCCGCAGCTGTGGGTCTTGCTTGTACAGTACTGTACCTGGGGAGAAGCCGGGTGAAGCAATGTGTTCCTTGTCCTTTCTGCGTCTGCCACGAAAGAGTCACTGCTCACAAGCTCTCACAATCAGGCCCGTGTGTTAGCATTTTTTAGGGCCTTATGATAATTGTCCCGGTGAAATAATTTCCCTTGGAAAACTTTGTAATAGTTTTCACTGTCTAAATGGTTTCCTGAAGGCTGGGCAGTGGTGAGATGTTATCCTTAACATCAATGAATATTTATTAAAAGTCTCCGGGTGTACCATTAAGGACATGCTTTGCTTTGTAAATTCAAACTGTAACTTCCTCCAACTTACAAATGGCACCAGAGTTATTCTGGAATAGTAGCAGCTACCCTTTATGTCCAGTTACAACTACTTTATGAGAGTCCTATGCACATCATCTCGTGCAATTCTACTCAAGAACCTTATGCCATCAGTTCTGTATTTTCTTACAAGGGAGGAAACTGAGGCTTAGAGAATTAAATTAAGTTGCCTGAGGCAATATATTTAGTGAGCCACAAGCCAAGATTCGCTCAAGGCCAGCCTGAGCTGCATAGTGAGACTCTGTCTCAAAAAAAAAAAGATTCATGTAGAGATGCGCTGAGTTTTATCAGTGGTCCTTCACCTTGTTTGCACTGCTGGTGAGTCTGCGGGCAGAGGAGCCCATCAGTGGTGGGGCTATGGACTTGTACCACCACTGTGGAAGCAGCATGGAGCGTCCTCAAAGTCCAAAACTAGAAATTCCATTCAACCCAGCCATTCCGCTTCTAGGAATCTAGAAGGTGTCCAGGTAACATGAGTTACAGACATCATGATACAGCTGTATGTGCATACCCATGTTTATGGTGTGCAGTTCATGATAGCTAAGCTCTGAAAACTGCCTAGATGCCCATCAACAGATAAACTGATAAAGAAAAAATGTATATATTATCAAGGGGATCAGAAGAATTAGGAGGGTAGGAAGAGGAGGGAAAACACCAAGAAATCAAGATCTGTTGCATACACAAATATATAGCAATTCCCTAATTCATAGATATTATGTATTATAAACACACATTAATAATAGCATTCTGCTAATCTGAAAGCAAAAATATGGTACCTTGTTTTAATATTTATTGCTTTATTACTAAAGAGACTTTTTAATTTTTTAGTTTCTGTTAGCAATCTCTGTCTCTTTGTGATCCTAGAACATAAAATAGGGTATGAGCTGGGTGTGGTGGCACATGCTATAATCCCAGCACTTGGGAGGATGCCTGTGAGTTTAAAGCCAGCCTGGGCTACACAGTGAGACTCTGTTTCAAAAAACCAAGAAACAAACAAACAAAAAAAACCCAGAGGCCTTCCCCAATACTTACTGTATGAAAGTAGTCAAAGTGATACATGGGACTTTTATAGCTTCTATAATTATTAGTTTGTTTATGCTTTAGGAATGATTACTTTTATTCTAAATAAGCTTATTGTAATTTTAAAGAAGAATTATCATTGTGTGCCTAATAACCATAATAATTTTTGACAGAATTGTCACAATTTTTATTTGATAGTTATTCTTTTCTGTTTTGTGTTTCCAAGCTACTGCAATAAAATGTACTTCTAACTGTAATTTCAGTGTTAAATGTCAGTAAAATAGTCACAAATGATTAATATAATAGCCTAATGTTTACAAATGTCCTTGAATAGCCTTCTTAAAGAGAATGGGCCCTTTTTAAAACAAAACTGTGATTCTTTCATAAAGGAACTAGTAGAATGTAACAGAGGAAATATAAAATCTGCCTCTTTAGTGTGGTAATGGATCCACACATCTATTTCATATTAGCTCTGGGACTGTGTAACCTCAGTTTCCTGATATCTTTGTCACATGCTTTTCTATCCAGCAATGTCCAATCTTGGTTAATTACATAATGTTGGCATTGGGATAAAAGTACAGATTGAGAGTATATATAATCAGATATCCAAAATGTTACAGAATTTACAATTGTTTTGAGCACTAACATGACCCTTAAAAAGTTTCATATTTTGGAATAATTAGGATTTTGGAGTTTACCGAAAGGCTATGTGAGTGTGATCACCGTGTAGGAGTGTGTTGATCTCCGTGTGTCTGTCCTTCCATAGCCTACTGGAGTATACTGCTGATAACTGCAGATGCTAAATAGTTGTTGGTTTGACAATTCTTAGCAACTTGTTAGGAGACCACCTCTAGAATTTGGGAAATAACCTGTGAGGTAGGATGGGTCAGGACAGCTAAAGAGGTAGAAGATTAAATGGTATAGGAAACTCCTTTATCTGTTTATCTGACACAGATTCTTTCAAGTGTTATTTAATATGTTCTTACTTCTAGGAAGCTTGTGTGTATGTTACAGCCAGAAGTTTGACCCTTGGGAACAAGTCACATATTCAGTGTTTTATTTGCATGAAGGTACTTTTCATTATGTTTTACATAATATCCTTTTCCCAATCTGTAGTAGAAAATAAAACATTTTAGAAATCTTTTTACTTTGCAGTTTTTTTATCTATAGATCTGTATCTGCATAATTCATGTTTCCTGAAGAAATTAACTAATGGTAGGAATTAAGTTAGCTAAACATGACTATGTACCGTGGGCTTTTATTCTGGCCTATATCTTTTTCTGGGCCTGTGATGTATTTGTCTAGAATGTGTTTGTTTGCCTTTTCGTTAGTACTAATTGGGAAATATTTATAACTTTAATGCAGACCATTACAAAAGGTTTTAGTGGAAAGTTTTCACAATCCAGACCTAAACAGGATCCTAAAATATGTTTATTCCATTTCACACATCTGTGGCCCAAAATACTGACCTGGCAACAAGCTGTTCCTATAATTGGTCACAGGGTGCCTTTTAATAGTTTTAGCGTGAAATGTACTAAGGAGTATTTATTTATTTATGTATTGAGACAGTGTCTCACTGTGTGGTTCAGACTGGACTCTAGGCTGGCCTCAAATTCAGTGATTCTCCTGCCTCAGCCTCCCGAGTGCAGGAGTATTTATTTAATTTGTTTATTTTCTCAGCATTAATATCTGTTTATTGTAGTATGAGTGTGCTTAAAATTTTTAAAGATTGATTTTTTCCCCCAGTATTTATAACATTTTATGCTGAGCCTCACAGTGTTCATTATTGTGCAGGAGGACCTCATAGTAGCTTGGTGTTAAGGATCAGGATAGAAGCGCTTAAAAAGTTAATAATAGGGAACCTCAAAGTAATGTCAGAACCAGATGTGTATGTGTGCTTAAGTCATGTAAGATTTTGTGGAAAGTTTTCATACATTTTTCTAATGATTAATGTAATGATTAAAACCAGTGAATAAAACTTTTCTGGAGATTGTTAGATAAATAGAGAGCACAATCCAGGGTGCTGAGAGAAGTCTAATCTCCTTCCTAACTAAAAGTGGGAGTGGGATTCGACGACCTCTGGGGTAGGGGTGGTGCTTGGTGACCGCGCGTGTGTGGCTGTGAGTCGTGTGATGGCCTTCATCTCCTAGACCATCAAGAAGGTTCCCTTGGATCCTTCGCTCCCCCAAACCCACCTCTTGTGGTCTAAGGTTACGAATGAGCCCACACAGCTACCAGACAGCGACTGCACACAGGCGGGCCACCGCCATGCTGACTTTCAGAGAACGAGGCCCACACGAACTCTGGAAGCCGAGACACTGTGTCAGCGTAGGTCACTGAAAGTCACGAGTGTGACGTGGAGATCCTGGCTCGGGAACAGGTCCAGCTCTGTGATTTATAACACGCTTGCTCTGACTTCCTGTTCTCTCTCTGCAGGATACAGAAAGACCTTCACTGCTGCTCCTGGGAGCGGCAGCTCACATACGACAAAGGACATCACCTTCCTCAACCTCGGTGGGTGTGAGGAGAAGCCGCCTGCTCTGACTCTCCTCGCAGTGAGGTGGTGCCCCAGTGCCCGCTGTCTCCCTTTCTTCTCTGTGCACCCCATTTTCTCACACCTCTGTGAAGGCAACCGACCCTTGTGAGGCCCAGTGGAGGGAGAAGGTTTTCACCTCTCCTGCTCCACTCCGTTAGCTTGTGGGCTAGGATGCATCTTCCCTCTGCACAGAAGCTAGGCTGTGAGCATTCTTACCTTCTGGGTAACAGTCCATACGAAGCCATTTATTAGTGTAAAAATGATGACTGTGTAAGGTGTTCCCTATCAGCTTGTGAGGACAAAAAACATCAAGTTGGACTTTGATCCTAGAGGGACCGGGGCCTTTGGGAAAGCGTCCATCTCTTCCTGCTAATCATGAAGAGCTTGTGAGTCCCATGAATGACTATGGACCCGCTTGAGAGTTGTTCTCACCGAGTAAATGTGGCGATGGGAAGGCAGGTGTTGGGCTTGAGTGCAAGAGGAGATGGTACTGAAGACAGTAAGCAAGGGGCTTATCGCCGCGAGGGTGTGGGGCATAGAGTTTAATACAAAAACTAAGTAATGGACCTGTTACTTGCTCACCCGAGGGTCGGGGCACAATGTTTACAGAACGTTTCAGCTTAGAGCCTGATTCTTGACGTCCTTCCCCAGCCCCGCTCCTCGGGCTGCCTCCTGTCGTGCTGCAGGTTTAGGAAAGTATGAGGTCAGGGAACCGAGATGTGTGGGACCCCAGATCCTAAGTGAGCACAGAGATTTTTCTGTTGAACGGAACTATTCGAGGAGGTCAGTGTTTCATGTTGCCAGATGTGGCCAGTTTGAACGTGATTTGGAACCTGGGGGAAATGGGCGTGCAGAGGCCTGGCCTATTGCTTCCTGAGATAAGGGGGAGGAGGAGAGTTCCTTGGGTCTGGGACTTGGTTTTTATCAGCAGTCCATCTCCACAGTGATGTGGGAAACTTTCCACTACAAAAACTTGACATTTTATGAGGGCAAAGGTACCTTCCTCTGCGTTCCCCTGGGAACGACTTGGAAAGCGGGGCAGGATTTCATCTTGGTCTGGAGAGTGGGAGGGACAGAAATAGGAGAGCTGGCTCACACGTGTCGTCTTGCCTCCTGAGCCTCGTTTTACTTTATAGGCCCAGCACTGTGCCCAAGATTTAAACTGGTCTAGAGGGAATTTCTAGGACAGCACTATTACTTTGGGGGGGATGTATGTTTTGCCATTAATTGCTTGTATTGTTACCTTGTTAAAGGGAACTTATACTGATTGAAATATTAGAGAATAGAATTTAACATTTTTTCCACAAATTCCAAGGCATATAGAGAAGAGATATGCTTATAAATAAAAGTAAAATAACAGTTCTACAAGCTAAATATTTTAGTGGTGTTACCTTGATCCTTATGACAGTTCTGCTTGGTGATGATATCCCCACTTTACAGTCGAAGAAACCGAGGCATAGACAGGGTGGGGTGTGTGCATGGGCGTCTTCCAGTCTGGTTGTTTTTTACTGTTGTTCTTACTGATTACCACAAACTCAGAGCTTTCAACAATGCGTTCTGTCACAGCTCTGGAGGCCAGAAGTCTGTAACGAGTGTCAAGCTGAAATCAAAATATGGGTAGGACGGTTTCCTCTGGAGACCTAGGGAAGAGGTTGCCCCTTACCTGCCCTTCCATCTCGGGGCTGGTTTTGCTTGGCTCAGGCCGCAGCATTGCGCGGCTTTGGCCGCCATACCTGCTCCCCTCTGGAGCCCTCCTACAGGGTTTTCTGTGGTTCTTTTGGGTCCCCTGGATGATCCAGGTACTCTCCCCAGCTCAAGGCCCTGGTCACACCTGCAAGGTCCCTTTCATCACATAGCTTAACAGGCCCTGGGGATTAGCACATGAGTCCTAACTTTTTGTTTTCCTTTGTCTGTATTTTTGGGGTACTGGGGATTGAACCCAGGGCCTTTACCCTGGGCTACATCTCCAGCCCTTGTTATTTCCAGACAGGGTCTTGCAAAGTTGCCCACGGCTAAGCTAGAATTTGCGGTCCTCCTGCCTCAGCATCCCAGAGTGCAGGATTGTAGCCAAGTGCCACCACCCCCAGCTTCGCCTGTGAACACTTGTAGGGGCCGTTGCTTAGCTTTACCGTGATTTATATCATATTGATTGGACAAGTCTTTCTTCATGTAAGACTGCCCTGCCCATTGAGGGACTGCAAGTCCCTGGAGCCTGTTCAACAGGTTCAATAGGAGTCCCTCACCTGTCACAGTGATGTGCCAATCTGGACCCTCACGTATTCCCAAATGCCCTTGTCCCGATGAGATAGGACAACCCTAATTAACCGGGTAAATGGTCGAGGTTGGGGTCATCCTGAGATCATTTAGTCAGACCCTTTCCTCTGTGCTCCACTAGATCATTCCTTGTGCTTTTCTGTTAAAGTTGCCATGATAATTAGATGATTACAGTCATTTGTGTGAAGCATTTTACCATCACTTTAGTTCCAGTGGACTGAAAAGACGCCTAAGCCAGTTAGTTAAAACATTATATCCCCTTTCTTTCCCCGCCCACAGAATCCCTTTTCTGTCAGTGATTAGCGTGTTTTTGCTTCTTGGAGGAATCTAGCTAGTTCACTTAAAATCCAAGTATTTCTTCCCTATGAAATTCAGTACTAATGTGTGAAATTTTATGGTTTTCTGAGAACCTAAAAAATTACTGGCCAGGGCTACCTCTACCCTCCAATTGTCAAGAAACCTATTTTTATACCAGCTCTTAATCTGGGTACAAATTTTGTTGGTCCCCAAATCTCTAATGTAGGGAATTGAAGGTATGGCTTCTAAGTAGCTAGCTCCACAAGGAAATAAATTAGTCCTTCACAAAATGTCAGCGTACCTGTGGATATTGTCTTGATGAAGATCAATTTAAAAGTTCTTTAAACAAAAAGGTAATGGCTATGAGGAGTAGCTAAATATGAGAAACTAGACGTTAGAATTTCCCCAAACTGGAATAAACCTTGAAGAAAATTCCCATGATATGTTATTCCTACCCTGTCAGATTAAGAAATCATCCATGTTGTTGGGTATTTTTATTGTAATTTCCTCTCAGAGACCATTTAGGTTCACACAATTGACTTAGAAACAGAACTACAAGTATAACCTGTGAGAACTGTGGCTAAATGTCAGAAGAAAATTAGCCACCAATAAAAACAAATGAATGCTGGCTACCAAGATGAAGCATACTGGTATCACACAGCTAGTTATCGAACTGATAAAAGTGCTTGTGTCTTGAGTGATCTGAGGAAGAGCAAAGATGGTGTGTAGCCCTGGGTTTTATCTGAACCTGTCTGGCTTTTATCGCATGTGAGTGACTTAACTCTTTCTCTTCTGCAGACTATTATGTGGCTGTTTACTTACCTGGTTATTTCTTTCATTTACTGAACATTCAGCATCCAGACTTAATCTGCCACAGCCTGTTTCTGACAGGTAAGGATGAAGATTTTCTGTCATGGTTAAGTTATTTGCATTTGTTTGACTTTAGTACCTATGTTTGGTCTAGAGCGGGGAAGAGTTCTTTATTTGCTGATCTTTTTTTGTTTTTTGTCTTTTGCCAGGAAACAACCAAATGACTGACGTGCTACCTCAGGGTCCTTTGCAGTCACTGTCGGAGTCCCTAGTACTGGATAGTACCTCTGGGAAGCTCTACAGAGCGGTCCTCGACTCACCCCGCCTGCTGCAGTTCCTGCGGGCCACCCGGCTGGACTGTGAGCGGATGGCTGCGTTGCACTGCCTGCTGGCCTGTGGCCGGCAGCCGCAGCCTCTGGAGGCCCAGGTGAGGAATCAGCTTGCATCCAGACCTCGGCACATGGGCGGCACCCAGTGGATTTATTCCTTGCTCGAATGATCAAAAGTTATTTCTATTTGGTACCAATTAGGTGAGGATTATGGCCTCTATGTTTTGAACGTATTTTTCTTCCAAGCTTCTTTGCTCTGCGCTTTTTCCGGACCTCAGACTGTGACGTGAGTGTAGTGCTCACCCCTCCATCCACGGTTTTCGTTGCTCCAATTTCAGTTACCCCACATTGACTGTGGCCCAAAAACACTAAATGTAAAATCCCAGGAATAATTCATAAGTGTTAAGTTGCACACCATTCCAAGTAATGTGATCAAATCCCTGGACCCTCCTCCATCCTGAATCATCCCTTTGTCTAGCATAGCTGTGCTACATACGCTGCCTGCCCATACTCACTTAGGAGCTGTCTTGGGTACCAGGTTGACTTTGTAGTCTCATAGCACTTGTGTGTTCATGTACCCTTACTTTACTTAATGGCCTCCAAGCTCAAGAAGGGCTACGCTGGCAATTCACAGAAACCCTCAAGTGTTTCCTTTCATGAGAGAGTGAAAATTCCTGATGTAAGGAGGAAATAAAGACTTGCATGCGCATGTTGCTAAGTTGCTATCTGTGATTCGAGGTGTCCTGGGGCATCTTGGTGTCCCAGGTGGACACCAGGTGTCCCAGGTGTCTTGGAAGACAAGGAGGCCACTGTCCTCTTCCAGGATGTGAATAAAATTTAGTGCATCAATAATGTCCCAAGAAAGTGCTTGGTAGATAAAGAGCTTCTTAAATAATTTACCTTCTCTCCTGTTCTGTAGTTGGTGTAAATATGCTATCAAAAGGACCAAAATCTTGTGGCAAATATTTATTACATTTTAATAAAAGTAGTTTATATTTGTAGTGTACATTATACTTTATGAAGCATTTTTCACATATTCCATGTCAATTAATTTTGACAGCCATCTGTGAAATCAGAAAAATCCTTTTATCAGACTTAGTTGGAACCAGTGGTTGGCTGATTAATTGATAAAAGATGAAATATTTTATTTTAACCTAAACAATATACATTTATTTTCCCATCTTTTGATGTAGGATAATATCCTTTTTTATGTGAGTCTTTTAATTGGAGTTCAAAGGCAGTTTTCTTGTAGAAACCACTGGTAATGTGTTATCTCTGACTTCGTGTTACTTTCTGAAAATCTTTAACCCTAAGGAGATCAATTAGTTAAGACCTTTCCAAAGAATTTTTGTATATCAGGCATTTTTCTTAATCAGGCATTTTAAAACCCAACCTGTTACTAGTTTTTTAGTATTTTAGAGATGTTTTTTCTTAGTGAGGTTTTTGTTGCTGTGAGCATATAACTGAGAAAAACAACTTAAAGGAGGAAAGATTTACATTGGCTCACAGTTGCAGAGGTGTCAGTCCATTGCCTGCCAGCTTCAAGGTAGAAACATCATGGTGGAAAGGTATGGCGGAAGAAAGCTGCTAACCTCACTCAGCTGAGAAGTGGAGAAAGGGAAAGGGCCAGAGAAAAGATGTACCCTTCTAAGGGTGCTTCCCCCAACTGGGCTTCACTCTTAAAGCCCATTCAACTTATGAACCCATCGTGGATTAAGCCATTGATGAGGTTAGTGCCCTCATTATCCAATTGCCTTCCCAAAGCCCCAAATGAACACATGAGATTTAAGGGGGACCTTTTAGATCTAAACTGTAACATGTGCCTTGGAGTCTTCCCAAACTGTTCAATTTTCACTGGCTCAAAAACATTCTTTTTGCATCTATATTTCACTTGTCTATAATAAATTCTGTGAAATTGCCTACAAGTGAACATGAGTAAAAGTGGCATAAATAGGTTGAAGAAAACAGCATGTGGTAGGAGCAGAAATGTGAGAGTGCACTGTATCTGGGCAGGCGTACCTGTCGCTCAAATTGCAGGTGGGAAACAAGAGCCTTTTCTACCCTTTTCCAGTGGGCGGGGGTAGTCACAGGCATGATGAGAGTTGGTATAAGTGGGATTATCCATCCCCGAAGAGGGTAAGTGCTCTGACAGTGTTCACACTGGTGACCGAGTTAGAGTTCAAGCTCAGGTTGCTGCCACTAATCCTTGTGGTTTTGTTGTGATCTATCTGCTCCTGTGTCCACATCGGTCCCTGCTGGTACTTTGTATAACACGGTCCATTCTAGAAAAAATATCTGTTGTATTGGAAGAGTTTTGTTTGGATTCCATTCAAGGGCATTTATTAAAATGGCATGTAATAAGGATCTTATTTATAATACTGTTTCATCCACCTGCAACTACCTTATGCATCTTGTGTGCGTAGGCAATTCCAAAATAGATATAGAATTTTAAATATGAGTTAATGGTATGTACTTTGGAGGCAGGGTGGAGTGCAGGTTTAAATGCTAACGGTTCTGTTGTCTTGGTAAAGATTATCCAGTGGATTTCTGAGAACGTCTCTACCTGCCATTCATTTGACCTCATTCAGGAATTCATGATTGGTGAGTGTTGCAGCTGCATCCTCGACCCTTTTGCTTGAGGGAAAGCAAGACTGCCAAAACGCTGCTAGCAAGCACTTTGTTTAAAAAAAGCCTATCGCAGTCAGTAGCTAATTAAATTTCACTCTCTTGTGGTTTTGTGAGAAACTGTGGCTTTCAGAGACTGATGAGAAATAAGATAGGATTTTGATTTTATAAACCTAATGTGATTTTTTTCCCATTAAAATGTAGCTTTCCTAGCCTAGTTTTAGGTTGGCTGGCTTCAACACCACTGGAAAATGATTAGTATCATTTGATGGATATAATACCAATTGAAAAAAATTTGAAATGATTCATATTATAAAAAGCAGAACCTAAACATTTCAGTCAGTAGATAAAATCATACTGATTAGCAATTTGTGGGTGAAGAATAAAGCAATGAAAACTTTTGTTGGTTTGCTTGATTTGGTTGAATTATACTGTCAGTTTCTTTTATTCTTATTAAATCGTGTCTCTTTTTACTCTTTCAAAAATCTATCCAGCTTCTTCATATTGGAGCGTGTATCCAGAGACAAGTAACGTGGACACGCTTCTGCAATATTCGTCGGTGCTCACGTGGGATAGAGTAAGTTCACACTTTGTACTCTGCACACAATGAAAACCAATTCTCAGTGGTGGGACAAGTAACCCAGGCTGTAATTTCACTTCTGTTTTGACTGATAAGGAACTGAGCTGGAGTTTTCTAGAAAAAATTGAGCATCCCTCATCTGAAAATCTGAAATGTTCTAAACTCTGAAACTTTTTGAGCACCAACGTGATGCCCCATGTGGAGAATTCCATACCTGACCTCATCACTCCAGATTCAAGAGCAAAGAGACAGGGCTTTAGCTCAGCTTTTTCTAATTTAAGAGAAAGGTGCACTACAAATAGTGTATAAAATCACCTTCAGGCTATGTCTGTAAGGTCTACCTGAAATAAATGAATGTTATATTTAGATTTAGGTCCCATCCCTAAGATATCTCACCACATACGTCCAAATATTCTAAAGTCTGAAAAGTAAATCCCGAATCTGAAATACTTTCTGGAGATCCTGAACCAGTCATGTGTCCCTGCTACTGGCAGAAGTACTGTTGTACAGCAGAGGACTGAAGGAGAAGTACAGGAGTTTGTTCCTCTTTTTCCTGCCAGGCAGAATTAAAGCTCTTCTCTGGGATTTTTATAAAATGAGATTTTAATTTTTTACTTTTGTATTGACTAGATTGAATTGAAGTATTTATTGGTTTTATACAAATAAGAAAAAGCTGAACCTGTGCAGTCATACCTAGTAGATTAGGAAATTCATGACCCCTTTTCTCAGCCTCATAAAGAAAATGTGTAATAAGAACTTCAAAATTGATAAATTCGCTCCATCTCCCCTTTTCTTCCCGTCCCTCTGGACGCCGTCCCCTTAATTAGGAAGCGCTGAGCTAAAACACTGTTCCTTTGCTCTTGAACGTGGTGTGGTAAACTGAGCTTCTCTGGACCAGCAAGTGGAAAGAAACCACAAAGCTTGTGCCTGAAAATGGTTCTGCCTCTTCTTTCCTATTGGACATTGGAACCACACGCTTAGTCTTGAGGCAGAAGTTGTATCAAAAAGGTATTCAGAACAAGAAACTTACTTTGGGTAACGCAGGCATAGGAAACTACGTAGTAGTGTAAATTGTGACTCTGTTTTGCATTTAGACCATGCCTACACACAATCCTTTAAAAAGACCTATCAAGTGTGTTTGATTAATTTCTCCATTGTTGGTATGTGTGAGGGTGGTGTTCCCCGCGTCCCCTTCCTGCTGGGCTCTTCCTTCCTGCCATAGTTACTGTGGTAAGTCACTGTAGAGGAGAGACCTGAGCTCGTCCCTTCTTGAGGCACCCACATTTTTCTTTAAGAGCACATTGTGAATACACATGCAGACTCTGCGGTTCTGTGGCAGGAAGTCTGTAGGTTACACCACTCTGGGGTCAGGAAATGTGCATCTCAGCTCCCTCCCTGACACCCACTGCCTTACTGTCTTGCGTTCAAAGTGTCCGGGGGACAGGGCCGGGACCACTGTTCCCAGGGGCAGGGCAGTGATGGAGCGTGCGGTAAGTGGATGTTGAATGAGGGCACTGTCCCCCTGGGCAGGGCTTCCCTTCTGCCTTTCTGAAGCTCTGTGGGGATACAGGAGCCATTGTGAACACACACACAGCAACATCAGGAAGTCCCACAAGAACAATGTAAAGAAACCCACATTTATAACCTCCATCTACCAGGCATATTTTGGGGTTTACCATGTTGCTTTAAAACTTGTTGTGGTTGGAATAGGTTCCCTGAAAGACCTCTTGAATTCTGAAGTTCTGTGACTTTATGCTTGTCTTTAGAAATGATATAAATCATTTACTTTTCCCTGTTCTAACCCACAGGCCCTCTTAGTGCTACCACTTGATTTAAAAACGTCTCACAGTGGAAAAATATTCAGTGCACACTTCCAAATGGGAATCAATTCATCTGGATTTTAAAAAAATTTCTAAAAAATATGGTACTCTCATGCCTAGACGATCTTGAACTGTGCTTTGGAAACAATGACAGCTATTTTAAAGTGCCACTCATATCTGTTTTAAAAGTAGCTCCCCAACCTCCACCTGCGGTGCTGTTTGCAGTGTCCCCTGCCTGATGGGAGGAGTCGCAGGTTCTCACACAGGCTTTCTGCTGTCCTACAGAAAACTCAGTTGCTCAAATGTTCTGAAGATGTTGTTTCTCTATTGTTGTGAGCCTGCCCCCCATACTTTATGTCAGCCAAAACCAGGTCATTTAAACGCTAAATGAATCCCAGTTTCTAGTGTTAGATAGCACTTCCTCAGTTATTTTTCATATAGTATTTGCTTTTTGGGGAGGGAGGTCTGAATTGACCAGATGAAAAGCTAATTATATAGTTGGCATGGAGGCACAGTTTCCGAAATAACAGGGCGTAGAGGGCAGCATGGGATGTGGGGCCTTTGAAATTTCTGTGTGATTGCTCACCGGTGAGTGCAGCGCTGTCCTCTGGAACTCCCTTCGGGGGGGCTGTGGTACTAGGGCTGCAGAAACATCACGGGGAGCTCTCGCCTGAAACCATGCTGGATGACTGGGTGAGAAGTTTCCACTCAAATGCAGAGCAACCCTCCTAGCTCTGGTTCCTTCTCGTGAAGCATGGGCTGACTACAAAAACGCACGTAAGTGAAGCAGAGAGAGACAGGAGTACAGATAATGGGATGCCTCCCTTTCCGTGATCGCACTTGATGGTACAAATAGAATTCGCCTCCTTTGGTCTTAAAGGAAGATGTGTAAAAAAGACAGTGTTTGCTCCCGATGTTGCCATCATAATCTCTTCTGTTCCTCTGCAGACCCTGTCAACTATTATTTAAAGAACATGGCCCTTCCCGAGCCTGTGTTCACTATTTATATACCCGTTTATTTAAAGGAGAGGTCAGCAACTGGAAGCTGTCTTCAGCTCCTGTATACATAGACATCGCTTCCTGAAGGCCTGAGCGTGTGGTGGTTGATAGGCTGAGCAGTTGTGTGTTTTGCTTTTCCCTCCACAGGAAATTCCTGGAATAACCCTGGTGACAGAGGAGATCCCTTTGCCTCTGATGAAGGTAAATGGCTTACAGTGAGAGAGGCAGGCGCAGCCCTGCGTGACCGAACCTCTGCTGCCCCCCGTGGTGCCTACAGGGACTGCAGGCTGCTGCTCGTGGGCGCGGCGAAGGGCAGGCCGGCTCTCTGCAGAGCCCTCCCTTCGGGGTTGGGCGGTCACTGGGTCTGGTGTCACAGCAGCTCTTAGGAATGCTCTTTGAAGATAGGAGAAAATTACAGGGCTCCATTAAAGCCGGGTACGACTAATACTTGTCACCGTGCCTCAAACCAGTGGTGCGGGAGTTCTTGTGAATTAGCTTTAGGTAGCCGGGGAGCTGTTTTAACTTCATCTGTAGTCACCCCCTCAAAACGGCAAACACAGAGTCTCCAACCTTAAAACCATTAAGGCCCCGGAGCGGGGTCCTCTCCTTTCCGGCTGGTTCTGAGAGCAGCCTTCCCATCTCTCTGGAGCGGCCGGGGCTGGCGGGCTGTGTGGTCTCAGGGACGTCTGCGCACCTCCTTCCTGCCCGCCGAGCTGGGGCTATTAGTGTCTTCCTGCAGTCTGCGGTTTTGGAGTAGGAATAGTTTCGGAGCACAATGGAGAGGGTGGGGCGAGTAGAACAGCGCGGGCAGGGAGTTACAGACGTGGAGGAAGTTTCAGCACAGTTTCCCTGAAGCTTCTCTGTTCTATTGTTCTTGGCATGCCTCGCACGGTGATGAGAGCTGTTGCGGGCTGGGAGACCTCAGCTCCCGCAGCGGGCAGCTCCGGGGGCTGCTGCCTTTGATTTGCATCTGACACTTTTGGTTCCATGCAGGGCAGTGGGCGGGGAGGGCAGGTGTCTGAGGTCACAGTGATGCCCTGGAGACACCAGAGGGCCGGCTTAGTGGCTCTAGGTTTGTCTGGAGTTGTCCCTTAAGGATACACTGACCAGCTCCGTCTAGGCCAAAGTGTAGGACCACTGGGAAGCCCTACTAAGGTAGGGAGATGCGGGAGGAAAAGAGGTTTTATTCATAGTTAAAAGGCGTGCCAGTGTACTGCACCCTCTCGCTTCATGGCGTGAGTCTTACCCACTAGTTCTAGCAAATCCACACCGCGTTTAATGGACAAACAACGAACACTTGAAGAGAGAGATAAAAGCACAAAAGCGCCTCACACAGCTCTACAATTTCTAATGCATTGATTGTTTTCCCTTTTTGCCTTTTGGTCTTTGCCACACAAGCGCACATTTTACCTAGCAGTACTGACGTGGAGGAAGACTTTCGATATCGGAGACTTTCGATAAATATTACAAATTATAACGTTCCGTAAACATTTTCATGTTACCGTATAAATATGATTTCTAACGACCCTGTAGGGGTTCCTATCCCAATTCATTTGGCGAATCTGTTTCTGGATATTTAGTTTATCACTAGATATCATTTATGTTTTTGCCATCAAAAATGTTTCAGCTAATATGCTTACACATGCAGTTTTCCTAAGGTTAAATGCCAGGAAAATCACTAGGTGAAAGACGGCGACAATTTTTTATAGCCTTTCTTTTTGCCAGATTGATAAAATTGTGGTCATTTAGACCATTGTAAGGATTTGTGAATTTACCCACTTGACTATAACTTCATCAACATTGTGTATCTTACCTAAAATTTAGGTGTAAATAAGTGATGGATGGTCCTCTTACATTTGTCCTTCACTGGCTTATTCTAGGAATGCCATATGGCTTTGCTGAGGAATAAAGTCACTTAATTTTGCACTGTGTGTGTGTGTGTGTGTGTGTGTGTTGCCTTCTGCTTTTCCTCCCTTCACGTCGCCTTTCTCTCTCCTTGCTTTTTGGCCTGTCCTGGAATTTTCTTCAGCACTGGCTGTACGGAGGCTGCTTCCCATTAGCATTCCCATCCGTGTTTGGGGCCCTTTTGTGGCCTCACGTGTCTCCTGCGCTTACAGTTCCCTCAGACTAGACTCAAGCACAGTAGCTCTTCCTGAGAGAGGCCCTCCGAGATAGGGTCCACTGGGCTGGCAGAGGTGTGCTGCTGGCACCGGCCTTGGCCACAGGACAGGGTGGTCTCACTCCGGTGTGACGAACCCCCCCAGCCCATCCAGCAGTTTAGCGTGAGAGAGGGTGTTCAGTGCCTTCTCATCCGCAGGACACAGGCTCTGAGCAGGGCCCTTCGTTTCCTGGTCTCTGCCTACACAACACCACTCTACACACGACTGCCTTTGACCCACTTCCTCTTCCCCAGGTCCCAGCTGAATGCCATTGTGAGGGACCGGAACCCAGCCTCTGCCCCTCCTTGCCCTCTGCCCACGTTGTGCGACCGCTCCTGCCAGGAACTGGCTCCGGATCCCCACGGCTGCACCATGTCACCTGGAGAGTGGGTGCTGGCTGCTGGGCTCTGCTCGAGTCCATGGACCTGGCTGAATCTGACCGCAGTCCTTAAGGAGCCCAGAGGGAAGGGCAACTGCGTTAGCACTTCCCGCTCGCTCTTTTGGCAATAACTTTAGTGTGAGTGTGAGGTAGAGCATGTCACAGGTGTTGTATTGGTATGGCCTGAATCTTCATGCTCCCCCAAATTTGTACATTAAAGCCCTAACCCCCAAGATGATGGTTCTAGGGGGTGGTGAGTTGGGAGGTGATTAATTCACAAGGGCAGGGACCTCATGATTGGGATTAGTGCCCTTATAAAAGAGCCCCACGCTTGTCCCTTCTGTCATGTGGTAGTATGGTGACAAGGGGCTGACTAGGGTTGCTCCTCTCAGGGACTGTGAGACACAAACACCTGTCATTTGTAAGTCACAGCGTACGGTATTTTGTTGTCACTGCCAGGAGGCATCAAGCCATCTGTGAATGTGTCGGGGTGGCCTAGACCAGTCGAATTAGAAGATTGTCACCTCAAAGACAGGACTTTCTCTCTTTATAAATTGTTCTTAAAATAATTTTAAAATATTGAAACAAGGCCCATGCTACAAATGAACTACCATCAGGAGTGGCTTTCTTAGGAACCATTTTATCCCTGCAAACTATTATTTGCTCTAGGGAAGTGGCAACTTTCATGAAAAGTTAAAAATTGTCCTTGATTTTATAGTGAGAACAGGAGCCATTAAAATTAGTTATTCACAGGAAGTGTTAGAGATTTCACAAAAGGAAACAGTGACTTACTCAAGTACGAAAGAATAAGCATGCTGCAAGTGGAGAAATGGGGTAGTTTTTAACCAAAGTATTTTTTCAAACCAGGTATCTTTAGTACACTTCATCACTTGTTTAGAGATGACCAGAACCTGCCCCAGAGACTGGCGAGGACAGAAGGGCTTAATGCCCCAGATGTGGGGAGCTGCAGGGAGGATCTGATCTGTGTTAGGGGTCTATTATGTGCTGTTTCTCTTGAGCCGTGTTTAAAAACTTTTTATTAGGCTGAACATGAGGATGATTACTTAAGGGGAAGTCTGAGAGACCCTTTATTTTCCTTAACCCTCCCCAATAAACGTAGGTACTGTCACTTAAATAAGAGATCTGTTAGCAATGCAAAGTATCGGTACAAGCATAATGCAATAGCTTACAGTGTTTAATTACGGTGGTTGCAGTGATGTGGCACTGTTGGAAATGTCGATTGGTTATCTGAGAAATGATTGATTTTTTTCCCCCCAAAGTTTAGCTTGCACCTATTTTTGGGACAATGAGTTTATAACGAGCTCCATGAACAGTGGAAGCCATAATTTTATGGTGTTGCAAAGAAACATTCATTAGGAACAGAGCCTGGGGCCCTATGCCTTCCGTAGAGCTGGGCTGCTGTGCATGTACTTCCTCGCTCTTACACCCAGAATCAAGGAATCCTGCTTTGTTCCTCTTGGACCAGCCCTGAGCCTGTGCCACTCAGCTTCACGGTTCTGGTGAGAGGCATGCTCAGTTTTTAAGGTTCTTGGGGCACAGGTGCAGAGAAAGCCCGCTGTGGGAGTAGATTAGACAAGCTTGGTCAGCCTCAGGTTGCGCTGGGCCCTGGGTAGCTAGGAACACGGCCCCATGAGATCACTAGCTTTAGTGTTACTATGTGACTTGTGGCGATTTTCTCACCCCTTCAGTGCAGACTTCGAGGGGACAAGCGGACAAGGGGACAAGAGACTGGTGTCAAGGGCGCAGGGCGGTGCATCCACGCCTCCTGCACCCACCCACCACTGTGGGATAGAGAGGCACCCTGTGCACCAGAGGTTACACCCTCGTGTGACTTGCTGAGGAAAACAGCGATTACAGAGTCGGACTGCAGCCTACTTACCTGTGTGCGCCTGTGAGGGCAGGCGTTTAGTGTTACCAAGCAGACGTGTCAGATTTTTCAACTAATTATTAAACTTGGAATGGTGCTATTTTGTAAAATACGGTAAATAGTTTGTTCCTTATACACACTAAGTACATTGTTGCTTTTGGATGTGGCCCAAAACAACGCCTCTTCATTCAGCTTGACTCCAGCAGCTAGAGGTTGGACATCCATGCTATAGAGCCATATTTAGTGACTGTAATTTTAAAGTCCAGGCTGTTAAAAAATGGCTAATGGAACCTCCAGCTGGGCGAGAAGGTGGGAATTTTCCTGCTAGATAGTGGGAAAGATGGAGATCCACTAGTGCTCGGACCTCCACTCTGCAGCGCGAGGCTCAGGAATGCAGCTGTCTGTGAGAGATGCTCTATCTGTGTCTTAGTTTAGCTCCCCGCCTTCTTCCCACACTGTCTGTCTCTCTGACTCTCTCTTTCTGGTACTGGGGAATAAAATCAAGGTCTTTGCACTCAACTACATCCTCAGAACTTTAAAAAAAATTTTAAAAAATATTTTTGAGATACGCTTTCACTAAGTTGCTAGAGGGCTGGGCTCGAACTTGCATTCCTCCTGCCTCAGTCTCCCAGGGTGCTGGGATTACAGGCATGCACCACCGCACCCAGCAATAGACCTTTTCTGTTTTTTTTCAGTATCTGCTAGAGTTAGTGGGTTCTGGTGTTTCCTGAGGCTGTAAATAAAAGCAGATATGAAGCTGGGCTCTGGGGAGGAGCCAAATTAGATGGATGCGTTAGCTCTGCTGGCTGAGTCCTGGCATCCAGAATGAAAAGCTCTCAGCCGCCCTCCTCCCCTCTGAAGCTGCTGATTACTCAGCAGAAGCGGGACCAATGCCAGACGGCCTTTAGAAATGAAAGGCAGATGTTTATTCCTGGCAGTAATTTGCAGACAAGCCAGTGCCACAGGGCTCCGGGTTCTGCTTTTTGTTTGTGGATCGGTTTCCAGTCCAAGTCATGAGTGGGAAACGGTCCTTTCATGGCGCCCATAGGTTCCTTTTTCACAGAGCTTGTGATGGGCTGCATTTGGTTGCTGTTTCAGTCATCCCGAGAGGCAAAGTGAGATTACTGCTGGAGAAGAGACTTGGATGATCTTTCTTTCTTGAGAAAAAGCTAATGTGCCCTTTTGTGGAGGAAAACGCTCCTGGTCCATTGCCTGAGGATCGGATTGTCCTAATACCGGTCTCCCAGGAGGAACTAAGCTCGGAGATCTCTTCCCTCTAAAGTGCGCTTTGTCAAGTGCTTGGTGATGTGCTCCGTGGGCTGCTGGCCTCACTCTGTGTTGTCACTGCTCTTTTTTTTTTGGTTTTCCTCAGGTACCGGGAACCGAACTCATAACCTTGCACTTGCCAGGCAGGCGCTGTGCCGCTGAGCTAAATCCCCAGCCCCTGTTGTCACTGCTCTTGATGGAGACAGCACTCCATGCGGCCCTGCTGGCCCAGGGCCAGCTGACCCACGGTGGGATCTCTTGCTCTCTCAGGGTTCCCTGAGCAGAGGTGAGGTGCTGCACCTGGGCTGGTAGGATGGGCTCGTCCACCACCCTGCTTCATTCTAGGCCCCAGTATCTAGAATTTTATGCGGAAGCTACTTTAACTTTCTAGGTTGAGCGTGCTGGTGTGGGCTTGGGATCTCTCAGAGCTGGGCCCAAGCCTTCCCTTTACCCGCATCGCCTGTTTCTAAACACAATTGCGAGCCTTCAGGGAGCCTGCTCTTTACGATCCTGCAGAGTTTGGCTTAAGCAGGAGGGAGACCGTAGTTACTTGGACTTGTTCAGGCAGCATTTTCAGCCCTGGCTGAACACAAGGATCAGCTGAGGAAACTGTAAAACTCCTGGGGCTTGGGCCACACTGCAAACCAGTTAAATCCCAGGCAGTGGCCTCGGGTCTTTGAACAGGGCATCTGAGCCTGTGATCACACGCAGGTGGCTGCAGGGACTCAGCGGTGCTGGTGGACCGCTCTGTTCTTGCTAATGCTTTGCCTTTGATCTGAACCCAGAATCCACATCCCGGTCTCTCAGGCTTTGCTTGCACTCTGAGCCTGCCTGGAACACCCCTCTTCTTAGCCGTCACTTGCTCAAATCCACGTCCATCCCCTGGACTCCCAGGCCTCCAAGCAGACTTTTCAATTTACAGTGTTGTTTAAATTTCCATAACTTAACATTTCCACCCCTTACTTAGTTGATACTGGATAGTGGAGTCTACATGCATTGCTTTTTCTCTGTCCACTCTTAGTTTCTGGAAGATGCTGTAAGTATTTTCACAGGCCGGTGACCTCCCTGAAAGACCTGTTAGTTCATATGAAAATGTTTCAGGGGCTCTGGATAGCTATTTCTTACTTAAATGTAAGTTTGAATTTTTGCTTTCTTTTAAATTCTGAACCTCCTTCTTCCAACCCAGGGCTTTTGAACTGTATTAGACAACAACGTCCTTTGAACATGATTCCCTCCCTGACGGGTTCATATGATGACACCTCCATGTCCCAGCAGCCAGCAGGCCCCGCTCTCTGAGGCCTGTCCCTGGACTCTTGGCAGTCTGGTTTCTGTCTTTATTGTCTGCTGACAAAGGTTGTAAGGAGAGGAATTCTTTAAATGGAGGAACAGAGCGGGAGGTGGCAGGTAGTCTGGGAGGGACATTCCTTAGGAAGTGTAGTGTGAGTGGGGTCCTCTGCTCTCAGGACAGCGATTGGCCAGAGGGGATGAGGCCAGACAACAGGTAGGCGGCACCTGAGCTTCTTGCTTCCCACGTACTGGCCTGGGGCAGGGGCGAGGCACCAGTAAGGCACAGTGAGTAGCCTACTGGCCACTAGATGTCACCACGACGCCGCCTACAGTAGTTCGCGGCTTGGGCCCTCTGCAGAGCCAGATGCGGGGGCAGCGGGAAAGCTGGGTGATTCCCAGGGAGGGGTGTGATCAGGCCAGGTGTGGGCAGAGTTTCTCCTGTGCACTTCTTTCCATGCAAGGAAGAAACACAGGGTGGTAGAGGTGCATTCGTTATAAATAATAGTAATAATGTTTAAAAAGTGAGCCGGGGGAAGAGGGCAGCCAGGCCGCCTCCGGTGTTCCCATTGCCCCTGGAAACCACATGTCCTTACTTTCAGAGATTCCACGGTTGCCCAGTGTGGCCCCTGCTATGTTGATTAAAGTCATTCCTGTCCCCAGGAGAAGGGCTGTTGGCTGCGTGGGCATTTCAGGCTTCTAAAACAACAAGTTTTAGAATATTATCATTTAACTCAGTTTACTGATACCTTGAAAGCCGGTTCAAGCCACCTGTGATTTCTTTTTCCAATAAAAATTTGGGTAACACTCTGTTATTTAACATTAGAGCCCTTTTCTTGAATGAGGTGTGTAAATATATGAACTGTATGGGTATGTTTTAGTGTACAATACTGGCCTCACTCATCACAGGGAGTTTGTACCTGTGTGTGATGTATCTTGATTCTCTTCTTCCCCATTCTCCTCTTCAAACCCTCTTCCCCTCCTTATTTACAAAGCTTTGTTTCCATTTTCTCCTTCTTATCTCATTTTTTTCTTTTCCCTTCTTTCCTTTTCCCCTTCCTAGTTTCCCTTCCCATTTGGACATTTTCTTCCTATTTCACAATACCTGTTACACATTTTGGTCCTCATTTACACTTTCAGTTTCTCACTCTAGAGAAACAATGCAGTATTGACACACATGTGTCTGATTTATTTCACTTAAGAGCATGGTCTCAAGGTGCATCCACTTAGCTAGAAATGTCCAGTGAGGTCTATTTTAAGTTCTCTCATTTTCTTTCAATCCAGCCAAGCCCATCTCCGCGATAGGCAGTCGGTCCCTTTTTTATGACCACATAGGATATAAGTCAGGTCTCTCATAAATCCATCTTCCTTGGTTGGAAAACCTCTATGTAAGTATATCCTTCAACATTAACTATATTAGCACTGCAGTTCATTGTTAAGAATGAGTCAGATGGGTGCAGCTGATTCTGTTTGGGAGTACGTGAGAGGTGAATATGAAGTTTACTCATTTCATCCTCTTTTTGATGCGTATGGTTTGAAAAGTGCCTTGGAAGTAAATAAGCTTAGCAGGAAAGTGAGCCCGCTCTACCTTTATAAGTGTTCTTGCGCTGAACACAGCATTTTCGACACCACCTAAGTGAGGAGAATGTGTCCCCAGGGAGGAAGTGGCTTGGTGTGTTTTGTAAAGGCCTCCCTGGGAAGTCCTGTTGGCCTTGGGCGGTGAGCAGGGGGTGGAAAGGGGGCGGAAATGAAGAACAAAGGGCAGACTTTTGCTGTTTAAAAGGGTGACTGGACTGTCACCCTCTGAGGGAAGTATTCACTCAAACACTGCCGCCCCCCCGGAGCGATGGCCGTGGGGCTCCCGGGGTCCTCGCTGGGTAGTGTGAGCCGTGGGCCTGCTGCTCTAACTGCTGATGGTTTTCTCCCTACAGGTCCACAGCTTTAAGGGCTACTGGGAAAAACTGAACTCCAACCTCGAGTACGCCAAGTATGCCAAGCGGCCCTCGCACTACAGCAACAGTGTGGTCTGGAGGGAGTGGCACAACCTGACCGCCGAGGAGGTGCGTGGGTCAGGAGGTCACGGGGCTGCGGAGGCCCACTGGGCCAGGTCACCCCGGCTCTGACTGCCCGTGCTGCCCAGTCGCCGAGCTTCCCAGTGCTACATTATCTGTTGTCACTATTCCTGTCCCGGGAGCCTGCAGGGGTGCTATGAGGACCCGGAGTTCAGAGAGGTCAGGGACACAGGGAAATCAGAGTGGAAGTGTGATTACGCTCCCCATCTCAGATATGTTCTGGGTCTCCTGTGTCCTCAAACATAGATGTTTTTTAAAAAAAATCTATATGTTCCCAAATAAGGGGTTGCTGGAGGTTAGGAGGAGGAGGAGGCGGGTGCGACTGACATAAAGGGGTGGCCTGGGATCTGTGCAGGGCTGCAGGAGTCTTGGCTGTCATACATTGTGGGACATGAAGCTACACATGTGAAAAAATGACACAGCAACACACACACACACACACACACACTGCACCAATGTCAACTTTCTGATTTGATTCTTTACTCCAACCCTGTAAAGACGTGGCCGAGGTTGGGTGGGTGGCTGTGGGGTCTCTCTGTAGATTACTGTAGATTGCAGGGTGGTGTTGTATGTAGTCAACTCAAAACTTGAGTCTGTTTCATCTTTCTGAAGCTCTTAGCTATATTGCTTTGTATTCTTGGTATGAAAAAACCACCCATGAAACCTTTACTCCATTCCACACCCTGATGTGTTCTCACTCCTAGGAAACAGGGAAAAGAAGGTCCACAGTGTATGTGAGGAACATTCTCGATAACGCAGGCAAGTAAGTGAAGTGAAGGGTGCTTGCATCCGTGAGAGGGTTTTCTTTGACCCTGTTGCCTTTTTTTGTGTGTGGAAATTGCTTCCTTTTGCTGCATATTCTCAGCAAAATGGTGCTGTAGCTTGTGAGCATGGCTGCGTGACCCTATTTGGTACTGGGAGTTCCTAGGGGGAGAATCTCCTGGGTTAAGCCTTAGAGACTTGGGCCCTGGGGTGGAAGATTTATAGTGGATAAATAAGCACTTCTGAGAACAAGGACAGACAGTAGGTTGCTTAAAACAAAACAGTTAGTGGGCCAGCGAGCCTGCTTTTATTATGAAAGCGTATTTCAGGGTGGATGCGTCACCTTAGGTGCTACCAGTACAGGCCCCGCTCCAACCTCTGTTCTAGTTCCTGCCCTCATTATTTCTAGTAACTGAGGAGGCACTTGTTCTAAATTATCGCCGTTGGCACTGATGGGTTTTGAGATTTTATGATTTCCTAACGTGGCTTTGACTACATTAATTAAAGTTTTTGAGGTTTCCAGTAGCCCGGAACAGTTTCTGCAGTGATTTTATGTTTTTTTTTTTTTTTTTTTAAAGGAGGGCATCTTTGCATAGTGTTGTGGCTTTACTTTAAAAAAAAAAAAAATGCTGCTTGTGTGGATAACATTGCTGATTTCTTCCTAGGGTGATTTCTAACCTCAAAGTGCGGCACCCAGGTAAGAGAAGACCTGTTCCAAAGCCTCCTGCGTGTCACTGTTCTGTTTGCGGCACTGTTCTCCCTGCCGCTGCGGGTTGGCGCGGAAATCACTTCCGGGGCGGAATGAAGGCAGCGCCCTTTAACATTGCCTTGTTCTGGCGACCACAGCGCCGGTTCCACATCTGTCCGGCACCGGCGCCCTCGGGGACAGCTGCTCAGTGCTCAGGCCCTGGGAGCTGGCCTCTGGCTTCATGATTTGTCCTCTGTGCCTGCTGTGACTCACATGCCCTCTGGCTGTGCCCACAGGGTGCCCTTCGGCAGTTCCCTTGGCAGGGGCTGCTGCGCCCCAGCTGTCTGATCACACAGGCTGTTTGACCCCTGCATGCCTTTCATTCTGCCTAACACTTGGCTTGTACTGAGCTAGGTCCTCGGGGTGTGGAAGCGAGGAGCCCAGGAGCTGGGGAGAGGTGGGCTCCAGTCCAGAGCTGTTTCGTGCTGACAGTGTGCTCCTGGGCCAGTCAGCTGTGCCTCTGTGCCCTGTCCTTCCCAGGGCCAGCGTGGGGCAAAAGAGGGCGAATGGGGGCATGCAGGAGCAGCTGGCACAGGGTGCGTGGTGTGGGTGCCGGAAGTGGCTGCTGTATCCTTAGCCCATGAGGGAGAGAAGCTAACACATCGTTTCTAAACCAAGCAGCAGGCATCGCGTCACCTCCGGGCGCTGGGTACCAGGGGTGGAGCACAGTAGGGATGGCGGGGTTCGAGGTTGGAGGAGGCCTCCTGGGGTGGTGGTAGGTGGATTAATAAAGCCTTGACAAGCAGGGGACTGAGCCAGGGGTCACAGCAGGGGGAGCTGAGTCTGTCCAGGCACAGCCTGTTCCGAGGCGCTGTGGAGAGGAGCATTTTTATGCCTGACGAGGGTCAGCTTTTATTTCTGTGCAGTTTCTGTGCACATTTCTTCTGTATTTCTGTACCTGTGTCACGGGCTTGCACCTCTTAGGCGCATGTTGGAGACTGTAATGGAAACTGGTTTAGCTAGTGTGTGCGCAGCTCCCAACCTGTGACAGTGACCTTTTCCCTGGTTAGCAGGGACCCATGCCCAAGCCAGGGCTCCCCTTGCCTCGGGTGGGTCCAGTGTTCCACCTTGTGCTGCAGGGCTTGGCAGCCTGGCTCAAGAGGTTTGTGTCCACCTCTTGTCCCCTGCTCAGGACACTCCTCCTGCTTCCTGCCTGTCACTACCCAGTCTCTGTGCCCTAGGAAACTTCCACTGCTAGTGCAGTGCTGGTCATGATGCAGAAAGTGCCGTTTGGTTTAACTTTCCAGGTGCCTTTCCACCTCGACCTCACCACTGGTTCAGTCTGGTAACGTAGCCTGTTAGTATTACTCGCCCCAGGAACTGATTGCTCCCCTCAGATCAGGGACTCCCAAAGCCGAGGAACCATGGGCTTGGGAAGCAGACGGAAGCCAGGTAACATCTACCTAGAGCCCTGCTGGGCCCCAGGTGCTGGCACCTTGGGCTCAGAGAGGCCCCAGGCCCTGTGTCCCGGGAAGCAGAGGTTCTTAGTGGTGAGTCTGAGTTGAGGAGAAGTCAAGGCTAGAACCAACTGATGCTGGGGAATGGGTTCTTCATCTTTGTTTTCTGTCTTTCTTGATCTTTTCCTTTCTGCGTGACAGCTCTGTCTATGTCACCTGCACTGGGCTTGTAGGACTGGGTCATGCTGAGCCGCTGAGATTTTTCACATCATGGGAAGTGTTACATTTTCCCAGTGACTTATAAGAGGAAAAGCCTCTTGTTTCAGCCTGCTCTCTGGAAACTGCCTTGCATGACGACCGTTTTGTTTGATTTCAGAGCCATGGCTAAGGCCCCTCCTGCAGGAGGAGGACACCTCCCAGATGCTGCTGACAGGGCTGGTAAGGGTCTGCGCCCTTTGGTGCCCGGGAGGGGAAGGTCAGGTTGCATTTCTCATCCTCATTGAATTTACCCTCTATTCTTTGAACAAACAGTTGTTGCCTGTATTGTAGACCTCATGCATCAGTGATCAGCAACATATAGACAATGGTTGCCTTCTTGGGATATGAAGTTAATGGAGGAGATGCATTAGTCCCACCAGTAAATATGTAATTACAAATCATGATAAGGAATGCATGACATTGAAAGTGTTGCTTTTTTTTTTTTAAAGAAAGAGTCAAGTTTTTGTGGCACTTGTATTGGAGTTCAAAATCAAACAAAATATTCTTTGGGAAGGAAGTCCAAATGCTAGGGTGACCAAAGAAGTAGAACTCAAGGTAAATTCACTGACGAGCAGGCTTGGTCAGATTTTAGATTTTAAATAAATCTAAAGCCTTAAAAACACACAATGAAAGAGACATCTTGAAAGTCAAATGAAATATTTTTAAAGCCATGAAGACTTAAGAATGGGTTAATCTATACTTTAGCTATGTCATATTTTAAAAATACTCTCTGAGAAAATATGTATAAATCTATATTTATTAACTTGACAATTCTAGTTAAGCAAAGAATTTTCTTGGCAAATAGACATCACAAAACTTGATCCAAGAAGAAATAGAGACGTTGAAAGCACAATTAATGTCAAATATCTCTAAAGAAGGCTTCAAGTTTATTCTTTTCAATTTTCAAGGACCAGATCATCCCTGTGGTACATAAAGTGTCTTTTGAAAGCAGACAGAATGCTTCTCAGTGATTTTAGAGAACCCACATAAACATAGAACCCAAATATGACTCATGGGTATAGATAGCCCACGCTTTAATTAAAAAATACTCTTGGGCTCTTGAAAAGACAACACAGTCAAATTAGATTCTTTTCCAGGAAATGTATTAGTGAAATTTGTATTTCAAGGTCAAAGAAGAAAAAGAAGAGGTCATTTTTCTAGGCATTGAAAGAGAACAAAAGTCAGATTCCACTCCTGAAATATACTTAGTAGACAAGTAGTCCAGAGCAATAGCCAACACCTTTTACTGGAATGCTGAAGGTTATTTTTGCTATCCTTGTACACCGTTCTGGAAACGGTAGCCAGCGCAGTGGGAAACCAAACCAAAGGAAGATGTTGTGATTGTCTTAGGCAGCAGCAGCTGAGCAACTGAGAAAGTGGAAAACAATAAAGAGCAAGTTACTTTTTTATTAAGAGGAAGCAGAAAAGCAAATGAAGGACAGTCTTAGTGTCTAGGCTTAATAAAATTACAGCCTAAAAGGGGATGAAGTAACTTGCTCTGACAGATAACTAACTTACTTGACAAATTAAGAGACATGGACTTGGCATTACCCGATATCTCAATACGTGTTTATATACAATACTAGAAAGAATAGGTATATGAAGATAAGCAGTTAGTGGAGTTTAGTTTAAATTGAATATTTAGTGTGTGATCATAAGATGTTTAAAAATTGGTATAGAAAGGAAGAAGTTTTAATGTATCAATTGGTTAATGGTTAATTATTTAGAAAAGAAAATTTAGATTCTTTCTATCCCAAATCACCATTTTATACAATAAACAAACAGAAATAGCAGATTAAGGAATTTAGTATTGAACTAGGCCTGTAATTCCACCACTCAGGTGGCTGAAGCAGGAAGATTGTTAGTTTAAGGAGTTTACTATAAAAAACTGCACTGTATGAAGGAATATGAACAAAATGAGTGGGTAGTTAAATAATACTGAAATAAAGAAGACCTTTAGAAGATATTATTGAATGTAGGCAAATAGGAAAAGATGTGATGGAATAAAAACTTAAAAAAAAAAACAGAAAAAGGCAAGCAATAAATTTGGGGAAAAAATTGCAAAGGTGTCAAATGATTGGCATTTGGCACATGATATTTATAAATCAATAAGAAAATAATACAGCAGGAGGAAAATGGAGAGAAAGGCATTGATCTGTCCTCTTTCAAATGTAAATGGTCAAATAGCCCAGAGTGGAAGAGAACAGAGAAATCCTCAGCGTAACCACTGTCAAATGACAAACAGCACAAGTGGTTTTCTGACTGGCAAAGACTGGCAAGGATTTAAAGCTCACATAGGAAAGTTGAGGGTTCACGGAGCCCAAGAGCCCCATGAAATATGCTGGAAAATGAGTATAAACACAGGGCCTTGCAAACCTTAGGTATGCAGCCCAACAAATTGCATTTCTGGGAACTTAGTCTAACAAAATAATTGGGGGTATGGTAAATAACTTCTATATACTTCTGTGGTATTTCTAATAATAGCAGAAGAAATATCCTATATGTACACAAAAGTAATAATTTAATTGTAGTGCTTTCATAAAATTAATACTGAACAGTCATTAAAACGGATATGATTATGCATTTAATGACGTAAGGCAATTACTACATGAAAGAAAGCAGATTATAAAACATTAGAACATGTGTGCATACCAGAAAAAAAGGGGAGAAAACCTCAAATGTTTGTGTAGATGGTAGGATTATGAGTTATTTGAATTTTCATCTTCTGGTTATTGTGGAAAAGTTGAAAAAGCACGCAAAAGTATACACTATTGCTTAAACAGAAAAAGTTAACTTTTAAAAAAGCCAAATCATCTAGCACATGTAGAAGACTGGACTGAAATAAGATACCGGTGTGTCTTGGCCTGAAAGCCAGGGGGCACTGGCGGGAATAGAAGCCACGGGTGTGGGGTGGCAGTTATACGGCTCTCAGGGGCTGTTTGTTGGTTCAAAGATCTCTCCATCCAGGAGGGTCTCATAACGAGCAGGGCATCTAGGCCCAAAGGGAGAAGATGAGGAGAAGAAGGAGAAGGAAAAGGAGGAGGAGGAAGAGGAGGAGGAAGGACAGAAGAACAAATGATAGGAGGCAAAGAATGCCGACCACTGACTGGGGAGGCCCAAAGATGAGGGGAGGAGAGCCGGTGTAGACACCCCCCCATTTGGAAGCACTGGAATGCAGGTCTCCTCACTGTAGCATGCAGCTCCTGGAGGAGTGGATCCCAACCCTCTGGCAGATCCCAAAGCCTTTAACTTCTAAGCTGGTGGCTCCCACGGGCCTCTTTGCAGAGTTCTCGCCAGGTCCTGGAGCCTGGCTCTCAATTACTCCCTGGGCTGTGGGTAAATCCTAAGTAGCTCCTCTTGAGGAAGCACTGGGGTCTCCTGTTTGTCTCATCAGAGAACTACTGAGAGTTGGCATCTCTGCTCATGGGATCTTGAGATCTGGTATTTTTCACACTGACAAGGAATATTAATAAAAGGCTCTAATTCAAGTCAGGTGCAGGTGTCAGTAGGTTGTGACTTACCTAATGCACATCCTGTTTCAGATGGTGTCTGAGCTAAAAGACCATCTCCTAAGACACCTGCAAGGTGTACAGAAAAAGAAAATTGAACAGATGGTTGTGGACTACACCTCAAAACTGGTTGGTTTGGCTTTCTCTCCTCACCTACCATCACTTCCTCCCTCCATGTGTGATTCTCAGTATGTGTGTAGTTCAGTGAGACCATTTGTGTATTTTTCAAATTAGGCGTTTGGAGATCTACCATCCTCAAACCAGTATACTTTGTGCTATAGAATGAGGACAGGGAAATAACAAAGAGAAACTGGCTGTGAAAGTGGTTCATTGCCCTCTGTTTCAGTAGTGATTTTACGCTCATGGAAGCAGAAATGACGAATTTGGGGTGGTTGCCAAATGTTCGACATCTCTTCTTGGCAACTTCTAGCTCTCAGTAGGGAGAAAGCAATGGTTTCTATACAGGGAGGTTTATGCAGGCATGAGAGAACTTGAACTTCAGTTTTTAACTGGCTCCAACAGCCCACAGTGGCTGCATCCCAGTTCAGGTGTGTCAGGACCACCCCATTAGCGTCAGCGATGAGATGGCTGCTCGTCCCCCGGCAGCCACGTGCTGAAACTTGTGATGCCAATCAATCCCATCGGTTCATATGTAAGTAGGATGTGCTGAGATTTCAGGCTGTCCTGGGTCTTTTAAAAAGCATATAAAGATGAGGTCTGACCCTGTTTAGAATCTAGAAATAATATGCTTGACAAATTGAAGGAAAACACTTATACAGACAGAGAAGGCTCCAATGTTTCTCTAAGTTTGGCTAAGGCCAGGATGCATATAAACCAGTGTGTGAACATATATTTTTGTGGTGAGCCCTGGAAGATTAGGTTTATTAGATATAATTCCGATAAAGTTTTCTGCCTCTATTACAGTCATTAGTATTTGGTTTTGGACAATATATTTGATTTCCATAGAAAGACTTGAGTTTCATAGTTCATACTGTACTAGGAATGGTTAGTTATTCTCATACTGCTATTTACGAGCAGGCCATTGAATCTTCCCTGATAATTCTCCTCCTCTATAGAATGTTGTGGGGCCTCACTTCATGAGAGTGTTCCTGATATGCCCCATGTTTGATATTTACTTATTTTCTTACCCTTGTGTTTTGTATTATATGCTCATTTAACATATCTACCTGATACCTTTCTTTTCTGTTAATTTTAAATTTTACTTTCCAAAGCGTGAGGAAGGGTTTTCATTTAAACAGCATCCTCTCTGTAGTTTTTGTTTTGTTGTTTTGTTTTATTGGTGGTACTGGGGATTGAACAGAAGTCTCCACATTGAGCTACATTCCCCAACCCATTTTGAAAACTGTAACAGTTTGAGACAGGGTCTTGCTAAGTCACTAAATTGGCCAGGCTGGGCTTACACTTGTGATCCTCTTGTTTCAGGCTCTCAGAGTTCTGGCTTCAGAAACTAACCAGAGTTCCTGGTTTCAGCACTAATTTGTGTTAAGACCCTGGAGTTAGTAGGCACAGAAATAATACATGTGTAGACTCAGAACCCGGCGTCCCGAGTGGAGGCCGAACCCCTTTGCCCTTGTCTGGCAGCACCCACCAGTCCCAGAGGGTGGCCGGCAGTCTTTCTGAAATACGCCCAGGAAGCTGCTCCCGAACCCAAGAATGCGTCTCACTGAGGCTGGGGTTTGCCCGAAAATCTGGGGACCCCCTTCCGCTTTGCCCCATGCTTAGCCTGTACGCACCACACACGAATTCACAGCCTGCAGCCCTGTGGAGGTTGCCATGCTGCTGAGAGATCGGTACGGAATTAGGATGAGTTTTGGATCACGCTCTAAGGCACGGAGAGCTTCCTATTTTGTTTGCTTACCGTGATGTTACACTGACCGTCTTGTTCCAATCAGGGGGCTAGTCAGTTCTGACAGGTGCCCTAGTCACAAGCCCCTCCCCCATTTCACATCTGAGGACACTGAGATTTGGGGCTCAGTGACTTGCCGAGGGTCGCTCAGCCAGGCAACCGCAGCACCCGGGCGTGACACCATGCTGGCCACGGCAGGTGCTCACAGGCCCCCCTGTGCATGCTGGGTCTTTGTCTCTGTCCGCTCTTGGCCCTTGCGTGGTGGCAGGCCTGGTGTTGACCTCCTGCAGGCGAGGGTGTCAGAGGGCAGCTGGTGGGCTGGACAGATAGAGAGCTCTGTTAGACTCCAGGCACATTTTCCATCTTTTTTTTTTTTTTTTTACTTTTTGGGAGAGGGTCTGGCTATGCAGTTCAGGCTGGTTTTGAGCTCACTTTGTAGCCCCGGCTGATCACAAACTTGCAACGATCCTCCTGCCTCAGCCTCCTGAGTGCTGGGCTTACAGGTGTGTGTCACCTCGCCCAGCTACATTTTCCATCTTGCCCCTCTGCACTCCATGCCTTGCGTGGCCTCAGAGAGGCCCGTTGTGTTTTGGGCACCACCAGCTGCTCAGAGCTAGAGGGGCTTTCGGGAAGGGTCTGGGCAGGGTTAACAGACTCTTTTCCTTCAGCTGGACCTCATTTGCCGCATACTGGAAACCAGTTGGAGGAAGCACAATCTTGACCCTTGGCCTCTCCAGCTGTACGCAAGTATTTTTCACTGTGTATTATCATGGGGCCCAGAGAGTCAGCGACACTGTTCTAGCAAAGCCCTAGGAACCTCCTAATTGAAAGCGATTTTCAGCAGCAACAGCACCGCCTGTCTTAGCCTCGCACTCAGCCGCCCTCTGTCCCTGGCACAGGGTGACGAGGAGGCAGGACACTGGAGCCCAGCACTGCTCGGAAGGAGAACGTCAGTTAATGCAGTTTCCAGCTTACGAGGATATTGCCTGTGGGTTCTGGGCCTTGGGCAGATGTCACTGGCACGTTTAGGAGGCTTTCTCCAGCTCACAGCATTTCATGATGAACATGGGTCCCCGTATGTGGTATAGCTCGAGTCGCTGCTGGGACAAATGGCTGACTCACTGCTTTGTCATTTTCCCCAGCAATAAGCGTGGCAGTGCTGCTGAATTTGCGGTCTTTCACATCATGACCAGGATTTTGGAAGCTACTAGTAGTTTGTTTTTGCCTCTGCCTCCTGGTAAGTCTTGGTTGTCTCGCCTTTTGGTGTATGAATTTGTTCTTGCTTTTTCACATGGACCCTGGATGCTGGCACATCGTGAACTGCACAGTGAGCCCTGCGGGTGGCCTCGAGGTTGGTCTCCGTGGCCACACCAGCCCTGATGACTGCTCTGTGCTGTAGCTCGTGACTGTGACCTTCAGGATGCCCAGACTGGCCCCTGTTGGCAATGTCGTACCAGCGGGGCTGACCCCGGGAGTCCTTTCTCTGAGCCTGGTCTTTCTGATCAAGGTCGATACTTAGGAGGAAGTGGGTCTGGTTTGCATCAGGAATTCAGCTGATTCTGAAGTGCTTGAAAGCTAAAAATCTCCTGTAGGATTTTGAGGCACGACCAAGTCAGTCTTGAAACACCTTGGGACATGTGCACGACCACTGACTTAATTGGACATTTGCTCATCCTGCAAATGGTGGAGCAACTCTTTCATGGCGGGAGAGGTACTTGAAACTAGTGTCACAACGATTAGTAAGAGTTTAGTTGGGAAGATGTGGTTGTAAGTCAGTACCCATGACTGGAAATGAATAAGCTCCTGCTGGCTATAAACCATCCGCCTTCTGCTTATTATGTTACTATTTTATAGCCAGAGTTTCTAACATGAGACCTGCCCTCTTAATGGATTTTTAAGTGCACAGTGCATCATTAACTGTAGACACGGTGTTGTGTGGTAGGTCTCTGGAACTCATTCACCACGTATATCTAAAACTTTTTATACTGGCTGATGAGCAACCCCCCCACCTTTGCCCTCTCACCAGTGCTTAGCAATTGCTTTCTACTGTTTCTGAGTTTATTTCAGATACTTCATATAAAGAGGTGCAAATCATGCTGTACTTGGCCTTCTATAGCTGGCTTATTTCAAGGAGCATAATGTCCCCCAGGTTCACCCCTGTTGTTGATTATGACAGAATTTCATTTTTAAGGCTGTATAATATTCCTCTGTATGTATATTGTGTCCTTTCTTTACGCACTCATCCATCAGTGGACATTTATGTTGTTTCTATATCTTGGCTGTTGTGGAGAAAGCTGTAAAGAACATGTGAGTGCACAGATCTCTTAGAAATCCCCATTTCAATGCCTTTGGCTATGTACTCAAACGTGGAATTATTAGACCATATGATAATTATATTTTTAATATTTTTTGATGAATTTCACACTGTTTTTCACAGTAGCTACTCCATTTTATATTCCCACCAACAGCATATAAAGGTTCCAGTTTTGCCACATTCTTACCAAAACTTATTTTTTGTTAGAGCTTCTCTGAGAGGTGTGAGGTAATATCTCATTGTAGCTATGATTTGTATTTCCCTGAGGATTAGTGATATTGAGCATCTTTTCATATACTTGTTGGCCATTTATTGTATTCTTTGGAAAAATATCTGTTCAAGTCCTCCCATTTTTTCATTGGGTTGTTTCTTTGCTAGAGTTTGTTTTAAAAAAAATACATGTTCTGGATACAAACCCCTTATCCGATATATGTGAAAATATTTTCTCCCATTCTGTAGGCTACCTTTCTACTCTTTTGATTATTTCCTTTGCTGTGCTTTAGTTTGGTATAGTTCACTTGTACAGTTTTGCTTTTGTTACTTATGCTTTTGGTGTAACATTCAAGAAAACATTGCCAAAAACAGTGTCATGAACATTCTCCCTTATGTTTTCTTTTCGGGGTTTTATGGCTTCAAGTCTTACATTTAGGTTTTTAATCCATTTTGAGTTGATTTTTGTGTATGGTAAAGATAAATATACCATCTCATTCATTTTCAAGTGGATATCTAATTTTCTCAGAACTATTTTTCAAAAAAATGATCCTTTCTCCTTTGTGTATTATTGACACCCTCATTGAACATTGGCTCTTGGTATGCATGATTTATGACTATATATAAATTCTAATGGATGGTAAACTTTTTGTCAGCACTCGCTAAATAAATATATATCATCATTTTTGTAATAGTTGCTCTGAGAACTATGAACTAATACCTCATCGCAGACACCTTTACAAGGGGAAGAGGTAGTTTTATTTTTTCATGATGTGACTTTTTTTTTAATTATCTGAACTTTTATGGTTACAAAATTTACAAATTTGTGATCCTTACATTTAATGAGTTGACAAGAGGTGCCACTGCCAATCACACATACAATGGAGCTTCATGGTTTTGTGCTTTCAAATAGCTGTTTAAAGGCAATCCTGAATCATCGCTTAGTCTGACGTAGTAAAGAATTCTGAAGTAAAGCCTAACTTGCTGTTGTATCCTGCTGACTTTCTAAGGGATCTGAACTTACAGATCAACTTTAAAATGTGAGACGTGTTAAATATTCTTCATTTGGTGTTATGCATACACCACACTAAGGTGCCTTTCAGTAAGTAAAAGGCAGCATTTTAGATACAGGAATTCTAATGAAATTGGCATAGTTAAAACTTTAAATATAAAATACACACTGTTTTTTATTGTCAACTATTGCCTTTGACAGGCTAATGAACACAAATTAAAGCGCAGGTGACTCTTGCTTTGCTGTGAGACAATAGAGTTCTCCAGGTATTAGAACACAGTCACATGACCAGTTATAGAACCCTAAATAGAAAGCCACCCTCGGACAGGGTTTGAGATGTCATCCCATCCCTATGTTCGTGAAAAGTTGAACATTGCTAATCGAGTCCAACCATATCTTCAGAAAGGGCAAGCAGGATCTACTGAGCTGAAATTACCATCAAAATTTATAAAAAGATTATAGTCATTTAACTACAAGCCAATTTTATTTAAATCAGAACTTCCGACAAAAATATTCTGCTGGCCATTCATTCTCTGAATTCTGGTGTATGAGATTAATTAAGCTATGGTACACATAAAAACCCATGAGGGATTTCCATTTTGTAATGAGCAGTGCAGTGATGGTTACTCATTAGTAGCTTCTAAGAGGGAAGCCACTAAGCCTGCCCTTTGTCCATTCTTCTTCACGGCGGCCAAGGGCATCGTGGTTCCAGGCGTGTGCTTCGGGGCCTCCTCCCTGTCCCCATCGCTGTATCCTCTCCCAGCTGCTGCCTGTTCTCGTTGGCATCTGTGGAAGAGGATCCAGCAGCTGGACCTGTCCTCTGCCCATGCAGATCTTGGGCTCTGGCCCAGTCTCACGCTGGCCTCCCCTCCACCCCCTGGGTAGCCCTGGACATACTTTGAACAAAGACCGCCTAGCTTTCTCAACAGCACACATTTTAAATTCACTCTTGGGCGGCTAGCATGATGAAGACAGCTGCTTGGAAGCCAGATGTCCCTATCTTGGGAGTGGGTGGTTTTAAATAATCCTAACACATATCAGAATAAAAAACTTCTGCATAGCAAGAGAAACAACGAACACAGTGAAGACAACCTACAGAATGGGAAGAATTTTTTCCAGAGATTCCTCAGACAGAGGACTCATATCTAGAATATGAGAGCTAAAGAACTAAAACAAAACAAAATTAAACTAAACTAGATCCCCCAAATAAAAGGCCCAATCAAAAAAATAAGCAAGTGAAATAAACACACACTTCTCAGAAGAAGTACAAGCGGCCAATGAATACATAAAGAAACGCTCACCATTGGTAGCCATCAGAGAAATGTGAATTGAGACAACCCTGAGATTCCATCTGATCCCAGAAGGATTGGCTGCCACCAAGAAATCAAATGGTAACAACTGCTGGCGAGACTGAAGAGAGAAAAAGCCCCTTTCCACCACTGGGAGTGTGAACTAGTGCAAACACTGTGGAAATCAGTGGGGAGATTCCTCAGAAAACCAAAAATAGAAATTTCATCTGATCCAGTCATACCCCTTTGAGGTATCTTCCCGGAAGTGTCAAAATCACTGTATCACAGTGATGCATGCATACCCGTGTTTACAGTAGCACAGTACTCCTGGAAGCAGCCTATGTGTCCATCCACAGGTGAATGGACAAAGAAAATGTGGTATTTCCACCCAACAGAGAGTACTCTGCCATAAAGAAAGGTGCTTTGGAGTCATTTGTAGGAAAAGGGAGGTACCTTGAGACCATAATGCTAAGTGAAATAAATCAGACACAGGAGCTTGAATACCACATGGCTTCAGGTATAAGAGAAAGCCAAAGTGAAAATAAAGAGGAAATAGTTGATATGTAATAGGAGGTAGAAAGCTAGCTCTTTCTCAGAGGAGAAGGGGACCAAGAGAAGGAGGGAGGAGCGAGGGAGGGGGATGAAGGAGGTGTTCTGTGCCTGCACCAACTTCCCACAAGGCATGGAAACATTATGGACTACACACATGGACTAATAAAATACAATTTTTAAAAAAGATCCCAACAGAATAAAAAGAGTGAAGGGATTTTATGAAATGTAGATATGGTATTTGGGTTTAAATTCATAACTGTTCGTCATTAACACAAAAGACTCAGTAGGGATTGTTCATGATTTGATCGCCACGGTTGTTCAAGCTCTTTTTGAAAACAAATGAACTGACCTCCTGAGGGGTGTTACTGTGCCTGGTGGTCATAAAAGCCTGCTCTCTGCACAACTCACATTCCTTCAAAGACATGAGGAGGGGAAACGGAAAAATGTTGCCCATAGTGACTGAGAATTACTAGTAGGCCTGTCCGTGGGTCAGGTATGGAAGACCAGTGTGTCTTAAATGTTTGTGTTATTCATATGACGTGGAAGCGGGAGGGATCATGTGTGTGCACATGTGTGTATACACGTGTGTGTGTGTGTATGTGTGTACAGATGCAGTGTTTATGTTTGTAAGCATGCTTGCTCTTGAAGCCAACTGGACTAGGGATGACTGTTTTGAGTTACAAGTGTCAGAAACTTGTAACCGGTTAAAGACGAGAAGGAATGAGGATCACAAACAGGAAGCAAAGGTTAGAGCTAGAACCTTTGCTGTTGAGAAGGGTCTGCGTTTCCTCTGCTAGGCGAGGCCGCGGGCCCCAGAGGGTGAGGGTTACAGCTGGACGGAGCTCAGGCCCCAGGAAAGCCGCTGTCCCAATGCTGAGAGCTGACGGACAGGGCGAGGCCAGGCAGAGGCCACTGACTTGGGACAGTGTGCTAGGGCCAGCAGAGGCCAAAGGGCCGTTAGGGACCTTCAGGCCACGCACACTGGGCCGGGGAAGGAGTTATGAATCCTGGAAATCAATAATGACAATTTAGTATGAACTTCGCTTCAGAAATAATTTCATAACTTTTTTTTTAGTTTAGGAAAGTTTCCAAGTCCATTTCAAAAAAGTCCTGCTGTGGATTCGCCCGTAATGTCACAATTTCTGTTCTGGCTCCAGAAATGCTGGTGCACTCATCCCATTCCCAGGCTGTTAACGTCTACCCGGCGGCGTCACGCTTCACGTGACCCTCAGGGTCGCCAGGCCTCAGGCTGGCCCACTGCTCACGACTCACGAGCTCAGACAGGAAATGCCACGGGGCCTCGCGGTCTGGGCCCCTGCACACTGCCAAGTGCATTCCCAAGCGTAGGCCACAGGTCCCCGGTGCCCCGCGTCTAGTCGGTGCCAGGCCGTGCTCACCAGGCCTCTGCTGGTGCTCTCGGCCCCGCGGGTCCCGCGCCCCCTGTGGCAAAGCGCTCTTCCGTGCATTCTCTGCCTGTTGTCATAGAAGCAGTCCCCAAGTAAAGCTCTCGCCCTCTTTCTGTCCTGCTCAAATGCTTTGAATGCTGCCCAGAAGTTCCCTAAATAAATTCCTTGCTGCCATTCAGCATTTAGCTGCTGTTACAGACCCTGGTACCACGGAGCATTTTTTAAAATGTGCACTTATTTTGTGATTTTCTGACTGCATCCTGTTCAGAAAGGCTTAGTTACCTGTTGGCGTAGGACTGTAGCCCCGCTCTGCTCTGCTGCGTGAGGCATTTCCTCTGCGATCACTCAGTGTGTTTTCTCGCCTGGGAGCTGCATCTACTCCGCCCTCCCCTCCAGTGCTATCATTTCCAAGACATCTTCTCTGATTCTCTCTGGCCTGCTCTCTTCTTTGTGTACCGTGTCCATCCCTTGTCACTAGCAGTGTGTGTGGAGCTCTGGGTTTGTGCGTCTTTGGTGGCCTTTCCCGCGAGACTTAGGCTGGAGAGAGGACCTACATCTCTAGCAAGTTCCCACAGATTTGCTAACTGGCCATTTCATGTACACTGAACCTAAGGCCTTCACCCTGAGCTACATCCCCAGCCCTTGAGTATGTTTTGAGACAGGATCTGGCTAAATAGCCTGTGCTGGGCTTGAATTTGCAATTCTCCTATCTGGGCCGCCCACAGTTCTGGGATTACAGGTGTGTGCCACCATGAGGGTGTCATAGTCGTCCTTCTGTTACTATAATTTGGTCTAAGTAGACTGCAGAACGCTTCGTCCAGGGGGTGACCAGAGGTGAGGCATATAAACTGTTACCTTCTGGTGCCCCCTTCTTTCCTTCAGCAAAGTGGTCCCCATCTCAGTAACCTGTTAGCCAGGGTTTATGGAGTTTGAAGCTCTTCTCTCTTTCTCTATCTTGCTGTAGAATTACAGGTATATTAGGTTATAAAACTTTTCACTGCGCAGACCTTGCCTTTGTTTTGCCTGGGAAAGGACCCAAGGACAAGGAAATACAGACTTTTTGGGAACTGACCCAATGCCAGCACAATGCTTAGTTGTGATCATACAAAGAAACTTGGAACTCGTGCGCAAGGACTTTGATTCCAGGCACGCAGCAGTGAGCTAGGTACTTATTAACATGATCTGAGTCTCTCTCTGGGCTGCAAGAGATGCCTGCTGACGGCATCACCCTCTTGTCCCTTACCATAGGTTTCCACACCCTGCACACCACCGTCGGGGTCTACTGTCTCCCTTTGCACAGCCTGTTGAATTACATCGATAACGGAGTGTTGCTTCTCACTGAGACGGTGGTCCAAAGGCTTCTGAAGGGTAAGAGGCTCTGTGTTTTCCAGCTGGGCAGCAACAGGGCTGGCTTCTAGGGGTGAGACCTGTGTAGTCACATGAGTCCAGCTGCCCTCAGAAGGGTCCCACATGGGGCTTACTGCCCTGCAGAGAACCTGCCACTCTTCACGTGTGAGCAGGGACCTCTTCGTTTCCACTGGGCACTGGGCCCCAGAAATGATGCAGTGGGTGCTGCTGAGCACAGTCCATTTCCAGAGCTGTGCCCTGGGTCAGTGGAGAGGAGCTTAGCCCTTCCAGCGTCCCAGAAGGGGGCGTCTCGATCCATACTGCTGCTGGACTCCTTGTCTGTATGCAAGAGCACTTGAGCTAAGGGATCGCGCAGGCTTGTTTCTCAAGAAAGTGTTAAAATGGTTTATCCTCAGCTTATTAACTCCATCATCTCAGAGTCAGACTTGAAATGCAGAAGAGACCAATGATGGATGCAATATGCAGGTGACGTGGTCCTTTCAGTAAGGCCTGGTGTGCTACACTCAGGCATTCATGTTTGTTAGTATAGGCCGAAGCATTTATTATTTCTCAAAGTAGCTACTGCTTTAAGTTAGTCAACAAAACTACTTTGTGACTGGTAGCATATCAGAGAAAAGTCTTTTTTTATTCAGCCACCAACTAAAAATTTTCAAAGTGTTGTTAGATTAGCCTGAGGCTATAAGGCTGGAAAATGCATTACCAAGATCAACCACTCATGTATTAAAAACTTGTGAGGTATTAAAGTGGATATTTGTCTTGTTTGCCAATCCCTCTTTTAAAAAAAAATTAAATTTTTATTAGTGTATGTTTGCAGGTACATTATGATTACATTCATTTCGGAGAATTGTACATGTATAGAACCCATCTCAATTTTCCCCCTTCCCCTCTACCCTCTTTGTAAAATTACTTTTGCCCAGCATCAGATTCCTTTAATAAATATTTATTTATATAAATATAAAATTTGTTTTATAAATCTTTATCAAGTTAATTATTATAAATTCAGGTTAACAGCCAGACTAAAAGGCCAAGAAACTATAAAATACGTAAGACAATTGTACTAAATCAAGGTGCACTTTTAGATACATGCTGGATTACAATAACTTTTTTTTTCTTTTTCTCTCTCTCTTCTTTCCCTTCAATCCCTAACTTTATTGTAGATTTGGACAATACAGAGAAAAACGAAAAACTAAAATTCAGCATCATTGTGCGCCTTCCTCCGGTAACCCTGACTTTTACTTTCCCCTAAGCCTTAGCACAGCTCCCCTCCAACTTCTTCTTGGGAGAGGAGCATTTGCTTGCTTTTAGCTGAAGTCTGTTGAATCGTTTCACCTTCCAGCCATTTCCAAGAATCCCATCCGTCCCCACCCCTGTTGGCTTTCCCCTCGCTGGCACCGTCCGTAGAGAACATTTAGCTGTGTTCTCCTCTTAGGAAACCGCACTAATATTTACTTCTGGGTCTGAGGAAGAGGGAGAGGGGAAATGTGTGCTTTTGGCATTCACACTGATAAGAAATGCAGTACAGGTAAGGCCAGAAGGTTCTGGAACTCCATTTCCTCTTCCTGTGTTTCTGCCAGCATGGACACACCCCCAGATCAGAGGAAGAGCGAAAAACATGAGGCAAATAGTTACAAAGGCACATCTTCCTCTTTTTTTTGTGGGGGATCTTAGCTCTCAGAGGCAGAAATACTATGAAATTCCACAGCAAGGTTGCTGCGCTCAGAGCCCGGGCAGCCGAGTCCGCTGTTTGTAGGCCTTAAGCGCCTGTACCTCTGTGACTGTCCTCCCCCAGAGACGTGTCTGTGGCCTTTCACCCGGACCTAGTAATCTTGCTTTGTAACAGTCCCTCCCTCACAGGCTGACTGAAGCAAAGGCGAGAATAGAGAGCTAAGCAAATTTGCTATGGTTCAGTCTCTCTGGGGAAGGTTGCTGAACATTTAGTTTGGTCTTCAAATTTGATCTCTCCCCTCCCACACTCTTGGGGACTTAAGATTTTATAGACAAGACAATGGCAGGGAAGTTGATTAGACAAGCCTTGAACCTTAACTTCCTGTCAAAATACCCTTCACACTGGCCCATCTCCAGTTTTGAAGAGAAGCACGTAAACTCCATCTCAGAAAAAGAAGTTGGTGGCATCAGTGTATAAATTACTTTCTTCAAGGTGGAGTATTTCTTCAATCTTGAGGGAGTATTTATTTGAAATTCAGAAGCACACCTCATAGGAGGTTGATGATTAATGATCCTTTCTCCAGGGATCATTAATCATCAAGCATCTTTTAGAATAGTAATGAGCTATTGTGGAATAATACTTGTAAAATTATGAATAAATCTGGTGTCTACTTAATGAGCTATGAGATACAGTCTGCTCTGCATATTTTTCAATGGCATGGTAGCTCATTGGGCAGAAGATCTATCGACTCTGGGATCATCCTGTGAGTTCCAACATCATCTCCCGGAACCATGTGGCCCGACTGCTTCACAACTATAAGAAACAGGTGAGTCTGAGCCTGCCCAAGCGCACCGCCAGGAAAGGCTTTCTCGATCCTTTTTGTCTGTTTCAGTATATCCACACGGACAGACAGCAATTCTAGTTCTTAACACTCTATTTAAATTTGAGCTTCCTTGGAAGAATCAACTAATACAGAAGTGGTTTCCCTTTTAGCTGTGGAATTCTGAGATCAATAAGTCATCGTTCGGTGTAGACTTTCTGCCTCTGAACTACTTGATTGAAATTCTGACCAATCTAGAGTCCTCCAATCAAGGTAATTCACAAGGTTTTCAATTTTGTTCTCCCGCCGCTCCGTTCTTCCCTTTCTACTTCTGTGTCCTGTGTTCTTCCCCAAGAAGAACTTATTGGCTTATGGCTCTTATTTACTAAGAGGTCTCTGCTGCAATTGGTTTTCATTAGCAACACAGGTTTTGCTATGTAAATTACCAAAAAATAATCACCCTTGCAGTTTTAAGAGAATCTAAAGGGTTTAACACCTGTTTGGTTGAGGCGAAGGCCCTTTCTTGGAGCTTAGGTGAATGAAATTCTCAGAATAGTATGTTTTACTAAAATATAAAATAACTCTGACCCCTAAAAACTGTGGGAAGCAGAGTTATAAATATTCCGTGGCTCCATGGTTACACCTTCTCTCTCTTTCCCCCTCCAGCTCTGAATGATTTTGAAGGGCACGACAATGTGGATGCAAAATTTGTAGAAGAAGCCGCTCTAAAACACACCACCATGCTTCTAGGCTTATAAAAGAGAAAATGTCATTGGATCTGTCTTCAACATTTTAACCTTCCTCATTAACCTGACTCTTGTTGGGAATTCTTTGGCAATATCTAAAAGTGGACAAAACAGAATATATGGTTGAATCATCTGAGTTTTAGTTTTGTACATGTTCAGGCAGAACTAAACTGTTGGATCTCATTCTAGTTTTGAGCGGCTGATGGGCAGTCAAGTATAGAGAGACGACAGACAGTCCAACAAGACAGGAAACAGCAATAACCGTGCGCTCTCTACTGGCTCAGTAGGCCAAAGCTAGCTTCTGTGGCACTCGGAAATAAAATCTACTCTAAAGATGTTACGGAACAGTGTCTAGAGCAGCAAAAACTAGATACGTTATTGAAAATAGCACAAGCAGAAAAATTTGATGTTGTGTAAAGAACACTGCTTGCATAAAGAATACTTTTAAAAATCTGGGCTAAATCAAATCTGCTATCTCTGATACAGAATAACTTATAATATATAGTGATTTGTACATATAGAATTTAGAAGAAGGTTTGTTTTTGTGATGGTTCAGATGGAACTGTATTTAATTCTTTTATATTTATAAAAGTTTGGTTAAATCGTGTCATTAAAAAAAAACCCAAATGCTGAAAGCCTTGGCCTGATTCTTCCTGCTGTTTGAACAGCCTTTTAACTCGAGCCAGGGATCTGAGCCCATGAACTTGCTCCTCCGAAGGCCGGAGTGGCACTAACTATACCTAGCTGGAGCCCTATCAGCAGCAACACACTGCTGATTCTTTCTCTTGATAAGGACTTTTTCTTTCATTCCCCACTCTGTTTCATTTCACACTTGGATTGCTTCTGTCTCTTCTTAGGGCCTAATGTAGCAAACGTATTTTTGAGACTCTGTTCCTACCCATTTGATAACTTGCCATTCATTAAATGATAAAATTTGAACTCCTTGACATTCAGCTCTCCCAAACCCTGACCCTAGCAGGATAAACATTCCGTTGCAGCTAAGTGAGCTCACTGGGCCTTGCACACAACTTTTGTCTATGCCCAAGGCTTGCTCTGGCTATTTCTCCCGCCTGGAATCCCTCTCTACCTGTTAAAATCTTCTTCATGCATAAGGGCCGGGTAGAAAGTCCCACCTGACCATTTCAGCACATGGTGGTACTGCCATCTTTCAACCAGTAGTTCACCTTGTAATATTTCATCATCCATCGCTTTGTGAATTTAAATTGGTTTCCATTCTTACGTGGTTTAAACTTTCTGTGTGCCTAGTTATTTGAATCTCAAAGAGGTACTGAGCTCTACCACACAGCAACTGGGTTGAAGTGCACAGTATTTCTTTGTGTTAACTGCAGCTTATATGCAGCGTCACCCGTCAGAGGAACTCCGAGGTGATTCCTTTATAAGGACTTTGCAAAGCAGCCGGGTTAGACTCAGGACTCACAGAGTGGTGTTCCATTTCACTGTACTGTGGCAGGGTAGCGGCCCGGACCAGAGTGTTTGATTTGGCAAAATAAAAGGATGCGCTATCTCTCACTCCCAGAGTTGTAAAGTAAAATTCGTAACTGGTACCAGTACGAAAGAGCTTCAGCATATTAGAGAATGTAAAAACACAAGTTTCAGACCTACTAGTGTGCCGTGCATGTGAGGAACCATTTCAGAATTAGGAAAATGCAGTTATCAGAAGTGCAATAAAACTAAAGTAGAATCATACTCACTTTCAAGTCTTTCCTCTCGCATGCGAAGTTATTAGTGTTTTGAGATTTTGAAAAATCCAATGTCAGAGCTTAAAACACTGAAGTTATTTTCAGATAAAATAAACATTTTAAATAATTGTTGTAAAATATCTGAATTTCTAAGGGAGCTAAATCAGGGCATGAACATTTTTACAGCATAAGAATTCTTGTAAAACATCATCATAAAGTTACTTCAGAAATGACAACCTTCCCGCTGCTTTTCATCTGACAGAGTTTTACCAACACGAATTTCCAGTGCTACTTATTCCTCCACGAAGTAAACGACCCCTTTTTGACACTTAGGGCATTTCCCTTTCCAGATAGCCATTCTGTCTGTAGCGTACACACAGGCAGCATCATTTGCTTTTTCTTTAATGAAGACCATTGTGCTTTCTGCACCTCACTGAAAATTTATTTACTCTGCACTTTTACAGAACTTTGCATACTATATATTTCCAAATGTCAGCACAAACAGTGGAAAGGAGTTACAGGAGCAATTCAGTTACATGCTTTCACATAACTGTAGGACGATTCCACATCCTACTGAGAACCACATAAAGGTAGTAGCTGGTGACGATAACACCAGACGGTGTTACACCCTGTGGTTGACTGTACCTCATTTGTCTGGAATGTTAGAAGTGTCGTGCTGACATTCTCCAGGTGTAGGTACGAAGAAGCCTGGTTGTATCTTCTCTCTGAGGAGCCTGGACCAGGTCACACGGTCAGATTTCGATCGGCTTTATAACGGGTTTCCTTATGTGCCTCATGTTGGATCCAGGCTCGCTGGGCTTAAATGGAGCCAGAGCCCCGTACGGTTTTGGCAGAGGAAGAGTAGCATCTGCTTCCGGGATGTAGGCGTTCGGACGTTGCTCCGCCGTTGTGTAAATGCCATTGGGCAGCTGGCGATTCTCTGTTTCTATCAACTCCTAGGAGCAAAGAAGGAGTTTTCCTGTCAGTTTTCTGAAAATGCTGAAGTTACTTCATCCTTGGATCCCAAAAGACACAGCGGAGTCTGAGCAGCCTTGGGCTGTGCTGGCTGATACCCCCCAAAGGGACAGGAGAACGGACAGTCCCCAGCCCATGCAGCACCTCCTGGAAGGGGCTGTATTGCTCAAGCATCACATGGATGCGAGGGGTGAGGGTATATCAGAACTGCTGAGTGGGTTCCAACTGCAATATCTGTTACCAGGCTCCACTTCCATGTTGGGGACAAAGGCAGGACCATATATTTCTCTGGGTAAAATGGGCAAACCTTATAATGGGAAAAGTAAGTAAAATGGAACCAGGGGAGAAAAGTGTTTAGGAGGTTGCTCTGAGCCTCAGAGCTTCCAGAATCTGCTGTGTGCTTCTGGAACACAGAGTAATTCCTTACGGCACCATTCAGAACTCGGTGTGCAGAGGCAGGTGAATCACAGTGGGGCACCACAGGTAAAATCTGAATTCCCTAAAGAGGTTATCCCAGATAGCATGGAAATTACAATCAGACCCTGTGCTCAGGTGTTTCTCTAGTGTACACTTGGAATGTGTGTTTTTCTTGAGTTAAAAAGCGAATAATGGTTCTTTGGGGGGACATCTCCTTGACAGCCTGACTTGCATCTCCAGGTAGTCTCTTTGGGAAGAGATGCCTAACTCCGGTCTAAACTACTGAAAGGAGCGAGGCAGAAGAACTAGGTACTAAACTTGTGCTGGCACTTTGGACTATTGTACTTTCACTTTTCTAAGTAGGAAATTTCTAATGACTCTTGGGACTACATGTGTGTGGAAGAATGGAAATTTTCTCATACACAGGTTGAGCATCCCTAATCCCCAAACCTGAAATCTAAAATGCTCCACATGCTTTTTGAGCACTAACACAATGTCACCTGGTGGTGGACTGCCATCGAAACATGGGTGCAGTAGAACGACTATATAAAATGACCTTCAGGCTGTGTGTATACAGTACATGAAACATGAATTAGTTTCATGTTTAGACTAGGTCCCATCCCCAAGATCATTTTGTGTATGCAAATATTCCAAAATCTGAGAAAATCGAAAACACCTCTGGTGCCAAGAATTGATAAAAGAAAGTCAACCTGTATCATGGGAGAGTTGAATCCCTGAAAACAGCCTTCCTGGTGCATTTCACGAATCAATATGGTAGCCAAAGCTTACCCGGGACTTCTCAGCCACTGCCAAGGCATACATCTCTTCATCTCGAAGAACCTTCAGCCATTGTGTCTCAATCTCTTTATTGAGCGGCAGACCCTTTTCTATCCTAGAATTGCAAGAGAAGATGAATTCTTCCTTCTCCCTGACTTCCTTCTGGAGTTCAATGGTCAAGGCTTGTTGCATGGACAGCTCAGCAATGAGAGCCATCATTTTTTCTGTAGCATCTTTGATCCTTCTCTGATAGCCGTTCATCTAGAATTAAAGAGCCAAAGCTTAGTTGATGTACACAGTTCACGTAGACTTGAAGAAAACGGCAGCCTGCTGGCTGTCTATGGTAGCGGGGGACATTCTTGCTGGAAGGAAGGAGGTTAACTGGGAGTTCACAGGAAATAACTGAAAGAGACCGCAGGGATGGAGCCCAGCATTGTGGCTGTGTAAAAGGGGACAAGGAAAGAGAAGGGAGAAAGGCAGAATATCTACTTACCATATTCGAGGTGAACAGCATTGAGGGGAACAGTTTAGTGTCTGTTTTAGGAGGGGAAAAGGAAACAGGAAAGAGTGTTCTTGCTAAGTTCTGGCTTAGTTTTGCCATTTATCAGTCTGTCCCTTATCCAGCTGTGCTGGAGAGCCTTCCTGCCATGTCAGTGTCACCCTTCGCATTTGTCTAGCAAGACGGGTGCCTTCCGAAGAGTCTGCCGTGAGCTTGGACAAACCCACCCTCAGTGAGAAAGGACTTCCTCCAGGAGAGGGAAATTCTCTATGAAAGGCAGGCAGGCCAATTTTGCAGAACCAGGAGGTGGGCTAACTCAGCCAGTGTCCGTGAGCTTTCTTGTTTTATGAGGAAAGATGTGACTTGTGCAATTTGCACCGGACTGATCAGTCTGTTAGTGGAAGTCAGAGCAGAAATGCAAAAGTCAGATTAAAACAGTGACAATAGCCTGAGATTTACCATTGTTTCCTACTTACTATGCCAAAGTGGTTTCCGGAACAGGCCCGTTTACTCACCCTGGATGTTCTTCTTATGTGCCCGGCATTCGGGAAACTAAGACGAGGGGGAACTATTGCTGCCCACCACAGCCTGCAGTGTGGGGGTGCAGGTGCTTCTCCCCGCTTCACAGCCTCATCTGCTGAGACAGTGTGTCCACTCCTTTGCGTCCCTGCCCTCAGGCCTAGCTTGAGAGCAGTACTCTTAGTGGCTGCTGGGATATGCAGTGCAGTCAGCTGCAGCCACAGGATTCTGCCCTCTGGGGTCCTCTCTATTTGTGGGTTCTGGCTGAGCTCTGGAAGGAGCAGCCATTCCTACAGACCACAGGTAAGTGAGGCCCTCTATTCAAGAAGAACTAGAAAGGATTTACACTGTGTATGACCTAGCAGAGATGACAACTGTCAGAGCTAAGTAGTTGTCCTACTAAATGGAACTTACATACTGTCACGGAAAAGCTTAGGGTTTCTGGCTGCAAAATGAACTCATTGACAGAACAAGACTGAAACTTATTTTGGACAATTCTCAGAGTCCTATGTACATTTTTATGTTTCTCTGTCCTAGAACCTGATCTCTCCAGTGCTTCTCAGTAAGCCCAGCCGTCTGGAGAAGAAAGGTCATACAAGAATAGGGCAGAAGAGAGCGGGCAGGGTCCCAGGCTGACCTTCTTGGCCAAGTGCAGTGTGTCCAGCTTGCAGGCCTCAGTTTTGCTGTAGAGCCGGTCTGTGAGCCGGGAGACGTGTTCATAGATGAAATCCTTCTCCAGTAACTTCTCCTCCTTCTTGGCCAGCAGTAGTTCCAGCTGCAGTTGAAAATAATTTCATTAGGAAAAAAAAAGCCACAGGAGGCCCAGACTTCTTTCCTACTTAGAGTGCTGTCTGGGCCTTCCCAAGCACCTGCTGTGAGGGCACAGTCCCTTCTCAGTGGCTGAAATACCTCTGGAAAGTGGGGCTGGACCAAGGCGAGACTTCCCTGTCCCTGCCCCTACCGGAACTCTGAGAGTTCTCCCCCCACCGTAACCATGGCCCTCCCAGCTCTGTCTGCGCTCCAGTGCTCTGATATGGTCCCACCAGGAACACAGGTCACCCATTCAAGAAGGCAAAATTGCTCCTTTGGGCCAAGACAGAAATGTGCTTTTGGAATCTTGAAATCACTGAATTTTTTACTTCTTTTGGAAAGTGCCTAAATCAAGCTGAGAACTTACTAGATTACATCAAAAGGCTAAGTGTCTGGAAGGATGAAGATAGACCTGTCAGTCCAACAGGAAACGGTCCACAGGTGTCTGTGAAACTACTGACAAGGAACAGAGAGACGCCATCTTAAGCAAGAGTGTTTACCTCATCTAATTTTTTGATCATTTCCTCTTGGGTCAGATCTTTTCCTGGAAGAAGGCGGGTTCTGTTCTTACCCTCAGGGTTTATAAACTCTTTCTCCAGGTCTTTTATTCTGTCCGTACACTGTGAAAACTATTAAACAAGAAATAAACATTAGTTTTAAAACTAACTCTTTAGCTTGGCAATCTTAATCAGGGCTTCGAGAGTCCCTCAGCAGGGCCAACCCCGGCAAGGTGGAGGAGAACTTTGTTGCTTCACCCCCTCATCTGGGACTTGGGGTTAAACGGTGTTGCTGCTCACATATAGGGCCATGAGGGTGACACCTAGATTTGACTGTGCAAGCAGTGTCAGAATTCTGAGCCAGTAAAGAGAAAGCTTGGCATGCTGTGTGGTTGCTCGGCTCAAAATGTAAAGCTTCCCCTCCTGGAGATTGCAACAGAGACCAGAGTAGCCATCACCCAACACACTGGGTGCCATTTTGAAATCCTCCATTGCCATTAGGTTTAATGGTATCTCAAACAAGAAAGAAGGATGACTGGGTCAATACAATGCACACTCTGAGAAACAGCCTTGGCCATTTGTGTATTTTTTGCTAAATCTCTAATTATGGCCTCATAAGTCAACTATATATATGTGCTGAATCACTGATACTCAGAGTGAAAACCATGGCTACTCCCAAGTAAGAATGGTAGCCACATTTACCTTTAGTTGGATAAGGAAAGAAGTGGCACATGGCAGCAATCAAGAGGCAAAATATTCAGCCTTCCTAAGGAATCTGTGAGTGATCAATGACATCATTTATTCTCTTAGTTTCTTCAACTGCCACATGGAAAGATAAGGCTCAGGTCATGGGTCTGATCCACTGAGTGAGACAACACCATTTAACAGCATGCCCAAGGGGCTGGGGATTTAGCTTAGCAGCACAGCGCCTGCCTGGCAAGCGCAAGGTTGTGAGTTTGATTCCCGGTACCGGAAAAAAAACAAAAAAAGAAAACTAACACCGTGCCCAAGAGTGACACAGGTAAAAGGTTAAAATTTTAACTGGTGTTTTTTCTCCCTGTAAAAAGAATTTAATTTTTTTCTGTTTTTTCCCTATCTTTTTAAATTGACCTTAATATAGAATTGAAGTATATATGCAATCAAGAGCTTGCTGTAGGACACAAAGTGAACATTAAAAATTCAGTAACTTTTGCATACACCAGTAATAAACTAGCTGAGAAAGAAATCAGGAAAACCATTCCAGTCATGAAAGCCTAAAATATTAAACCTAACCCAACTCAACCCTTAGGGACCAACCTAACAAAGGAGGTGGAAGACCTCTACATTGAAAGTCACAGGACACTGAAGAAAGACGTTGAAGACCCCAGAAGATGGAAAGACTTCCCATGTTCATGGATCAGCTGAATTAGTATTATAAAAAATGGCCATATTATGAAAAGCAATCTATAGATTCATTTCCCATCAAAATTCTAATGTCATTCTTCACAGAGCTAGAAAAAACAGTTCTCAAATTTATATGGAAGCACAAAATACCCAGAACAGCCAAAGCAGTCCTTAGCAAGAAGAACCAGGCTTGAAGGCAAGACAATACCCAATTTTAATTTATACTACAGAACCATAGTAACAAAAATAGCACAGTACTGGCACAGGGACAGGCACACAGAGTTGCACGTTCTGGCTTGCTCCTGTACTTCCATCACTCTGGGAGGCTGCGGCAGGAAGAATTTGGGCCCAGCCTGGGCAATTTAGTGAGACCCTGCTTAAAAATAAAAATAAAAATGACTGAGAATGTAGCTCAGCTCAAAGGCCCTACATTCAATCCCCAATACTGAAGGGGCAAAGAATAAACTAATGGAATAGAATAGAAGACACACAAACAAACCCACACAACTATAGCCATCTGATTGTTGAAAAGGACCCGAAAATACAAACTGCAGCCTCTTTAATAAATGGTGCTGGAGTGGAATATTCAAACAAGATCTTCATCTCTCACTCTGTACAAAAATACAAAATGGATCAAAGACCTAGATATAAGACCTGGTATGGCTTGTGTCTAGATGTCTTCCCAAAGCCTCATGTGGCCATAGGTGGGCTTTTTCAGAGGTGGCTGGATCTAGTGTGTGTGATGCTGGGATTGAATCATGGTGCAATGCTAGGATTAAGGGTGTCAGTGTTACCTGCCCTAAGGGCGGGTAGTCTGGATAAGATGTAAGGGACAGAAAGAGGCTTGTCACTTGCTGGTTGCTACTTCACTGCTAGCTGCCTTCTGCCTACCCTGCCATGGCCTGTTTCTCCTCTGCGATGCCCCTCTGCAGAGCCACCCTGCCTTGGAGCCAGGCGATTATGGACTGAACCCTCTATATACTGTGAGCCAAATAAACCTCTCCTCCTGTAAGCCAGGTGTTGGGTGTTTTGTCTCAGCAATGAGAAAAGTAACTAAAACAAGACCTGAAATGTTGAATCTGCTACAGAAAAACACAGGGAAACACTTGAAGCCATAGGCATAGGCAAAGACTTCCTGAATCGGACTTCAACAGCACAGGAAATAATAGCGAGGATCCAGAGGGACTACATCGAATTAAACAATTTCTGCACTGCTATGGAAACAACCAACAGAGTGAAGATATCCTAGGGAATGGGAGAAAATCTTTGCCAGTAACTCCTCCAACAGAGATTAATTCTTAGAATATAGAGAGAACTCAGACAACTTAACACACACACACACACACACACACACACACATACAATCAAATAGTCCAATCAATAAATGGTCAAATGAACAGATACAAAAGAAGTATAAATGGCCAATAAGTACATGAAAAAATGTGCAACATCTTTAGCGATTAAGAAAATGCAAATCAAAGCTACACTGAGATTCCATTCCATTTCATCCCAGTGCAGAAGTACTGTCACCAAGCATACAAAAACGCATCAGTGCTGGCAAGCATGGGGGTTGGGGAGGAATGCTTCTGCACTGCTGTGGATATACCCAAAGGGATTCAAGCCAGCATATGAGGGCAATACCTGTGGACTCATGTTTATTGTGGCATGATTCCTACTAGCCAAGATGTGGATCTGGTCTAGGTGCCCACAATAGATGAACGGGTAAAGGAAATCTGACATATACACACTGGTGTATTATTCAGCCATGAAGAACAACTAAGGTATGTTGTCTTCAGGGAAATGGATGGATCTGGAGATCTTGTTAAGTGAAGTAAGCCAGACTCAGACAACTATGGCATGTTTTCCCTAATATGAGGAATCTAAAAGGATGGCATGAAAGTAGAAGAGAGAATTATTATTGGAGAAGAGGCAGGGAAGAAGGGGGAGGGGGTATAGCGGACGGTAACGGAGATGGATATGAAGAAAATATACTCATTGGAACCCAGTATTTTGTAAAATTAATAGGCACTAATAAAAACACATTTAAACATTTAAAAAAGTGAAGTAACAGGAAAAAAATTTGTTGTATTTATTGCTAACAACACAATGTTTTCTTTTAATTATAAACTAAATAAGAAACAAAAATAAGGCACTTGCTTATAGAGTGGTGCCTTCACTGTATTTCTCCACTGGCATTTGAGGAAAAATTGTTTACTTTCTCTATAGAAAGTGGCATCCTGGGCTCCTAAAATAGCTCGAGGCTTCCAGACTTCCTAAAAAGGAGCTGCTATTCCTGGAACCAGGAGAGGATGACTTGTGATAACCTTCGGGTTAGTCAGTTGGACAATTAAAAACTGTTCTAAGTCCTGAAAATGACACAAGAAAAGGGAAACTTCACTGCAGATGTCACAAATAACAGGATATGACCAAGCTTGGGCCTGGAGGGCAGAATCTAAACTTGACTTGTATGAAGCCAGAACTGTCATCTGTCGCCTCCCACCCTCCAGGCACATGCGATCAGTGGTCACTACACAACCACATAGTGAAGTGCAGCGTGAACATTAATGAGAGACTTTCCACTCAGCCTCCTTAAGTGTAGAATTAATCCTGGTAGACCAGTAGGTAACTGATAACCCTTAGCCCACATGTCTCAATTTATGTGCAGTTTTCCACGACAAACGCTCACCGTTTGTCAGGGCACACAGTATTGTAAAATGCATAGTATTTCCCTCGTGGGAAATTCATGTTTGACAGCGGTAACTGTTTTTATCTAATGAAATGCCAAATATTTTTCCCAAGAACAATTTAATCCATTTGACAGGAAGTATTGATTTGAAGTTAATGCAAGGGATATGCTTACCTAACACAGAAGAAATTGTCTGGTTTTATATCTTATTGACCTAATTGATTTTTTAGCCATAGAGTCTTGCTATGTATTCCAGGCTGCCATGAACTCACTATGTAGCCCAGGCTAGCCTCGAACTTGGGGCTATCCTCCTGCCTCAGTCTCCCACAAACTGGGATTACAGGGGTGTGCCACCACGCCCAACTCGATCTTATTGATTTTAAAGTCCTTTTACAGGGCATGTTAATCGTCAAGGATGGGCAAAGACAGACTGAGGCTGTGTTCAGAGAAAGAGCAGGAGAACCAAGTTACTCACTGAATGGAGACGAGTATGGCTTTCCTGGTGGGGGACATGGGATGGGAGGGAAAGACCAGCTAAGAAGCGGGTGAGGGGATACCACATGGAGGACTTCTCAGGGAGGACTCTGAAGGCTGTGGACTACTGAGATGTAATGTGAAGTTCTTCGCATTTTTGTAGACTCCACACAGCATTGCCCCAACTCTTCAATGAAATCTGTTCAGACAAAGGCCTTGCACAAACGGCCTTGTGCAGGTGTGACAGAAGAAACAGACATTCTGGAGTTTGCACCACTGTGGCACAGAAGTGCAACAGACGCTGCAGGGGCTGGGGAGGGGATCCCCCAAATAAGCCACAGAGATCCTGGGGAGATGCTGTGAGCGCCAGGGGGCGCTGTGCCGACTCATCTGAAACTGGCCTTCACCTGCTGAAGAAGCAGAAGTGTTTGTGGCTAACACCCAAGCACACACCAGAGCCAGGACCCCGGTGGATTTGCACAACTGCAGGATGCTGTCACCTACAAAGACACACTCGAAGGCGTGCAGTGTGAGAGGACCCTTGCCCACGTCCATGAAGTTCTGGTCTGGAAGACCCCAAACTGTGTCCACAGAAATCGCACACAAAACATTTACCTGCACACTGGAAGACTCTTCTAGATGCTTGATCATTTTAAGAATAATTCTTAATATCCCTGAAGATAGAATTTTCTTTAAAATTTTTGCACTTTCCCAAGATTTCACTAACCAAACATGTCTTAATTTTATAACCACAAAAACATCAAAAGCTCACCTGATATTTTAGAAAACATTATAGATTAGAATTTTTTCCTGCTACATTGAGTCAACAGGGAAAGTTGAGGCTAGGAATTACTGTCAGTTTAATTTTTTCCTTCCATTAAGGGAAAAAAAACAAAAACTATTACATGTGAAAACAGTAGCCTGTTTTAGTTTTTTGCTATTGTATGTTTGAATTTTTTGGACTTTATTCCACTTTCAAGAAAGGCTATGCCCGGGGCCAAGTCAGCAAATGGTAGAGGAATTACAGAGGGGAACAAGGCCCTCATTATGGGAGCTTGCAAGTGGGAAGAAACAAGCTCCATGCCAGAGGGCAGGGTACCAAAACCAAGCACCAGGTGCTCTCAAACTCTTTACGGCAAGCTCCAGCAGCGGAGTTACACCGGGCAAGAGAGCTTAGATTGCTGAGTCCAGAGAGAGGTCCCGTACTCATGTGCTCCAGAGCGGAGGAAGGGAGAGGGAGTGAGGTGGCCTGGATGCTTCATGCCCACAGCCCCACCTGAATCTGGAGGACGGCGAGCTCCTCGTCCAGGGCTCTCTTCGCTGGCAGTAATTTCTGTGACACGAGAATCTGTCTTTGCTTCTCTGCAATCTTCAACTTCAGGAACCGGATCTTTTCTTCCAGGGTGTGTATTTCAATGTCCCCATTTAGTTTCAGCTTTTCTTGGATGTCTATTTTTTCATAAAAAATGGCCACTTCCTCTTCCCGCTCTATCAGCTGGACACCACTGGTCAAATTCAGAGAAAGAGGCTAAGTGGGTGCCGAGGCCGCTGTTTTATTAGACACTGTGCTTCCCTGGCTTTGGGCACAAATTAGACCTGAGCACCGTGGAACCCCAGAGGCAGGGGCCATTGGGCAGTGGCTCATGAGCGCGGCTGCACCCTGGCCGGGCTGGGAGGGCTGGTGAGCCTCTCAGCTCTGAGGCCGCCGTGCAGCTAGACGGTGGGCCATGGTGTTTCTGTAGGTCCCAAAGCTTTTCCTGGAGTGGAAAATACGTCCTTCCTAATGCACAAGCAAAATGGTCCCATGGTCCGCTTTCCTGCAGACCCTTTCTAGGGCGTCAGATTTGCCAACCACGGCCTGTCCAGATACACTTAGGCAGGGGCCAGGGAATGTGTTCCTGCTCGGTATGACTTGCCAGGCCCATTAGATTCTTTTAAAGCTGAATATCTCCGGATGCTAATTTCCCCATAATCAGGCAAAAATCAGCCCTTTGTAAACCTGCAGGTGCGTGGGGGGCAGGGAGGTCCTTCCTTGAAAGGAGATGATGTCAAAGAGGCAAAGAATCTTCTGATGCTAGCAGCTCTGGTCTGAGCAGGGCTGGGGAACATTAATCACCCACGTGCTTTGGTTTGTGGCAGGGGCCAATTAGAATTACCCCTGCCCCCGCGATCCACCAGCCCTTTAAAAAAGGGCTTTTCCTCCAGGCAGCGGCCTTCCATGCACCTGCAAGCCATTACTGATAGTTCCATTTGTTTCTATCTGTCTCTCTGTCCTTCCTCCAAACACATGCGCACAGTGGGCTCCAGATCTTGTCTTATTTCTCTGTCAAAGACTCTTCTCATGACCAAGTTCTCCTAACAGTAGAAGCCAGCAGCAGTCTGACTGCCCTTTTACTCTCTCGGGGTCTAGAACTCCAGTGTCTTACATGGAGTACCCACAATCAAAGTTTAATTTAAGAAAGCCTGATGCCAGGTCTGAGTACTCTATACTTTCACATTACAGTTTCTCAGAGCACAAGCAACTCGCGCTGCTAACGTAGCAAACCGATGAATGATAGAATGGCAATGTAGAAGAAATACACTGTTCCTCATGCCTTAGGTACTTGTTGAGAAAATGAACTGGGAGAATAGTTTGATAAATGTAAGGCCAAGCTTGCCACCAAAGTGGATACAAGTTTCAAAGGCTGATTTATGTCAACTATGTGGAAAGAACTGGATGCTACCAAAGGTATCCTGAACGACAATCTGAGGAAGCTCTGTGATCCTCAAATGGGCAACTTCCGGAACCCTCCTCTTTATTTCTTTTATAAAGACAGCATTTCTTATTTCCAGGCAAACCATGCAGCTCCCTCCTTTCCAAGGACTACTGACACCTGACTGGCATGTCTCTCACTCTGCCTTCACATCTCCATCTAACCAGGGTCAGCATAGAAACGGAACCCACCTTCTCTATCTAAGTGTTTGGTGTTTACCTTTCGTTTCTCCGCTGGACCGCTTTCTCGTACTTTTTGCGAAGCTGCACCATCTCCTCCTCTATCACAGTGATCGTGTGCGCCAGTCTGTCCAGGTTGTTCAATTGCCTCTCCTTCTTCTCTTTCATCTCCTGAACTTTTGATACAATTTTGCATACATCGTGTCGCATGCTCTCTCTGATGGTAATGTTGTTGGCCTGCTTCAGCAGGCTGCTTTGTAGCTTTCTTTTAAAATAATGGGAAAGTGGATAAGTTTAAGCAGTTCTAAATAGCTCCTGCTTCCGTGTGTCCTTGGAATGACGACAGTAGTAGCAACGAGGAGATTCATTATATGATACTCTTCTACCCTTGGGGAATGCCTGCTATTTGCCTAGGTCTTAGGTCCTCCCTCCCGCCCAGGCAGGACACCTTCCCGTTGTGCCCCACTGCCTGCTCCCCCTTTGTCAAAACCGGACATTCATCACTGCGCTTCTCTCCCCAGGGGACTGTGCAGTCGAGGACAGAACTGGTCCCATCTGAGAATATCTGTTGGCCCTCAGGAGACGCGTGGCACAGTGCTGAATGAAATCACTGCCTCTGTCCTTTACTTTCACGTTGGATGAGACCCAGCTTAGGTCTTACCACCCCTACCTCCAACTGAGGCTGTCTTTGCTAAAGGAAACTGGGTGACAACTGCTGACACAAAAAGTTCAGGCTGTATCCAGTCACGAGATCCACTTCAGCACATGGTAACTAAGAAATTAATGAAATACCATTGGCCAGATATCCTTCTGAGGGTTATTATGTGGACGAGCTCACTAAATAAGCCACAGTCCATTTGCATGGATAAGGAAAGTGAGCCCAGAGAGAGGGAAGGTCGCTTGCCTGAGGTCACACAGCTAACGAGCAGCAGGACCACTCTGCAATATTGCTACCCATAACCCCGTTCGAGGCTTTCAGTCTACAGCCAGGGGAGGCTGACTGCTAAACAATTTGGTTCTTTTTCAACTTCAAATGCAAATGATCAGATCTGTGCCTTTCTAACTGGGCAGAAGAAAATCATCAAATCATCACAGTAAATGTAGTTGTACTTTAGTTTTTCATTCATAATGTGATGACTCTCAAACAGACAGGTCAGCAACTGCGTCCAGATGTTTAGATTATTTATTATCTATGAGCAAGGTGTCTGAAGAGGGCTTTGCCAGCTCTCTAAGGGACTAATTTTCTATTTGTGCTCCCTAGGTCATTTCTGAGTTCAGCTGAAATGGAAGAAGAGGCTTTGGAAGGACAGTAGCTACAACTGTTACCTTTCCTGAGTCACCGCACTGCTTCTTAAAATTTCCAGCTCATTTAGTGACATCTTATGCCTTTCTCTTATTTCGTTTACTTTCTGGTGAGCTTTGTGCAGTAGGTTAACAAACTTGTTTCTTTCATTTCGAATTGCGTCATACAGTTTAGCAAATTCTTTGAGCCTGGGGAAATACAAAGTTTTGTGAAATGCAAGTTTTGTGAAACTCGCAAACTGAAAATCAGCTTCCCCCGTCTAAATAGCGGAATCATTACGTAATTCTTTTACCTCCGATGAATTTCACGTCTTTTCTTCTTGTGTACCCTGATTTCCAGATCCTTCGCTTTGATTTCCTTGACGAGGTTGTTGTATTTTTGCTGAAACGTAAGGAATAGTCACGACTTATGAATATGCCCTGCCGAACTCCTCCTCAGACCTGCACATAGGAAGGCATGCTCACCCTGGCGGTTGGCTTGTACTCCTCAGGGGCAGATCTGAAAATGGTCTGGCGTGCTGAACTGATTCCCGCTAGGAGGATACATCTTACTTAAGGAGGAGGAAGAGGAGAGAGGAGAAAAAGAAGAAAGCGCACACAGGTTGGGTTAGAGGAAAAGTAGAGTCTGAGAGAAGAGCGGCTGTGCTTGCCTGGGTGAGCTTGTGCGCGACAGCGAGGGTCTATGGGAAGTTTGGACAAAGGCCATAGACTGAACCCTTCGTGGCATTTCATGAGAGACTGAAGCAGGGATTCTGAAACACTGTCCATTCTTTTGTTTGAGGGGTGTTTTCCTACACAGTGAAGTAGTATTGTAGGCCCGCTCTAGGATTCCATATGAATATTTTTAAAAAGAAAGCAATTATACCTCTAAAATCTTAAAACATTAGCAAGTGCTAAGTACACTGGAGAGGTTCTTCAGATTTAAAGACAGCTGAGCCCTTCCTCCAGGGTAGGATAAGGAACACATTTGAGTAGGAGACATTTCTGGGAGGAACCAGAGGGAGGAGGTTCTGTCAGTTCTCTCACGCAAGCTGTGTAAAACCTAGCTGGCCTGAGTGATCTGAAGCGAACAAGCCATCAGAGACAAGACTGGTGTACAGCAATTTTATTTTATATTACTCTCCGTGAGAATGGGAATCCAGAAGCTAATTTTTAGGTAACTGTATATGAAGATTAAGATACAGGTATAAAACATAGCGTCATCTACTCTATCTTAGGGTGACAGCAACATCTTTTTTCTCCAGTGTTTGTCTTTTCTTTTTAAAAGGGGATGTACAAAGGAATGTGATCTGAAAGGAAAATAATGATGCTTTATGCCTTCTTCTGGAAATTATAGCTAACTGCAACTAACGGTTCACAGGGTAATCCCAATGCTACAAATACTCAAGGAATAAACATTTTCCTTTATCAACTTCCATATCTCAAAGGAAGAACTGTCTTGTGCTTTAATGTAAATGAACTTGTCTTACACCAGGTTTGATATGCATAGATGAGTCACACGCAGAGAACAGCTGTATCAGTTTTGGAGGTTAAGTAGAACTTGTCTAATTCATAAAACACACCAGCTTTCCTATCACAGTGAAGTAGATCTCTGGGGTTCCTAAAATTTCTCAAGAGAAAAGAGAGGGAGTTTTTAACTCTGGAAAACTCTCAGGAGTGGGCGCTTCCCCGCCAGTAGCAGGTGGTTCTGAGAAGATGGTTCCGGGCCAGCCCCGTCCCAGACCCTGACTTGGTGGCGGGAGGCCTTCTCAGGTCTCTGCTCCTCCTGCTGCTGGTCCAGTTGCCTCTCTTTCCCATTCCTGCCCGGACATTATCTTTCCCACTTTACCCTTCTGGGACCCAACTGTGCCAGAGCTCTGCTGGGCTTGCTGCAGCCTTGGCGGTGCAGGTCACGACTGAGTGACCTTCACGTCTCACCTCTCTGCTCTCCGGTGTCACCATCTGACACCCCTTCTCCCCCCTCATGCCAGCCGTGCTGACCTTCTGGAGTCTCAAGTGTTAAGGTGGAGAAATACATAGCGAGTGGGGATGTGAAGAGTGTGCTGAGGGCTCTGTGGCATAGATCTTTTTCCTCCGGTCTTGTCTGTAAAGTCTCCCCAACCCCATTGCTTACTAATGCTCTGGTGTGTGTGAGTTCTTTCTGGGGAAGGAGAAGAAATGCCATCCCCTGTAAATAACTGCTCAGAATGAGAACAAAGGTTGCACTTAGAAACAGCCAACATCTGTGTCATACGAGCAATTCAAATATTCCATTTGGGGACTATGTTGTATCATATTCATTTTTAGCAGGGGATTTCTGGGTATAATGTGGACATAGTCCTCATGTGGAATCAATGATTCTAATGTTAGGGTTTTAGCTCGTATGGCAGAAGGGTTTTGTTCTGGGATGTTGTACTGGGCCATCTCTGGCACTATGTAGGAACCTAGGAAAAACAGGGCATGAAGCAGTAACTAAGGGTATCCGGGCATTGGTTTGAATGATATTTGCATGAACTTAGAAGGGAGATTTGTTGAATGCTATTGCTCTTGAGTTGTTACCAGGCAAATTACAGTAGGATCTGTGTTGAGGGTGACCCCTGATTCTAACTGTGGTCTGTATAGCAGCCAGTCCTGTCCACTGGCGGTTCCTACCTTGTACTTCGAAATCACCAAGTGTTCAACTCTGCTCCTTATTGTGATTGACCTGTTCCCCTTCCCCCTGTCTCTCTGTCTTAGTTATTTTCTCACTGCTGAGACAAAATACCTGACACCCAAAGTTAAAGGTGGGGAGGTTTACTTTAGCTCACAGTTTGTAGAGGTTTCAGTCCTTGGTCAACTGGCTCCAAGGCAGGGTGGCGTGGCAGAGGGGTATTGAAGAGGAGAAGCAGTCCATGGCAAAGCAGCCAGGAAGCAGCAAGCAGCAAAAACAGCAGCAGCAAGCCTTCCTTTCTGTTTCATCCCATCCAGGCTACAAACCTTTAGGGTGGTGCTACCTATTCTAAGGGTGGGGCTTCTCATACCCACACCCAGAACTATGATAAACCAATTAATGGACTAATCCAGTACCACACACCCTTAATCCCAGTATCACACCCTTAATCTACATTTGCACAATCCAGTAATTTCTCAAAAACACCTCCTATGACTGTGTAAGGCTTTGGGGGGACACCTAGATATAAGGTATAACACACACACACACACTCTCTGTCTCAGTTACTGACTAATGCTAATTGAATTGTGGGATTATTGTTTTCAGTGCATAATTGAATCTCATTTAGGGAAACTTTATAGTCCTTATGATACAAAGGAAACATACTAGTGTCATTGTTTTCCAGGGAACATTTTGAGAGAATGAGGCTCCCCTGGCCTCTTTTCCTAATTAACCATGATTACAAAGACACAATTACCTTAGCTTTCAAGAAATCCTTGGACTTTTGTTCCTTTTCATCAGTTTTGACTTTTATCACACGGACAAGATTGAATACCAAATTTCGCAAGGTTTCTTGGTCCTTTAAAAGCTTGTTTTCTTCGGCAAGTTGTTGTTCTACTAACTTCGACTCAGCTTCTGATAGAACTTTCTTTTGAAAAGCACAACAGAATTATAACTTATTTGTTTGAAGGAAACACAGTAAGACTGTGTAGACTTCCTGTGTAGATTTATAAAACATGAGACAAAGTAACTGCACTGTTTTAGCTGTTTCCCCTACATTTTTATAAAAGAATATATAAAACAGTGGGTTAACATGATAGAATCTTTTCTTGTTTAGACTATTTTCAAGTTACTGTAAGAAGAAACATAAAAGCATGTTTTAAAAATACTTAAGCAGTAGCTTGAATAAACAGAAATTGATTTTTTAAATTAGACATTAGTTAAATAAAACCCTAGTGTTTATTCTTAATGTGGTCAATGGCCCTTTTATTTCAACATCTCATTGGCTGATATAAATTTTGCCAGTTCAGGTATTTTTTTTCCCCTCAAATTTAATGTAGTTAATATGAATTTTAATTCGAGGAAAGGCTGGGGATGTAGCTCAGTCATGAGTGCTTGCCTGGCATACAGCTGGCCCTGGGTTCCATTCCCAGCATGACAAAGAGAAAAAAAGAAAGGGAAATAAGTTCACATGAGGCAGGAGCGTACTCTGATGACCGTCCCTATTAGTGGGGTTGTGTGGAGCAGTCGAAAGCACAATGACTTTGCATTGCCGTTCTGAGACAGACACTTATGGGAGAGCTTGTATTAACCTGCTGGGCCAAATTCCTCTTAGCGACTTCAACTTCCTTGTGGAGCTCCCGCCTTCTTTCAGATAACACAGCATTATCTTTAGGGATCACTTCCATCTGGAAATCAAAGTGTAAAGCAGACCATGCGGTCAATCCATCATATACTTTTTGAAAAAAGTAGGCAAATGATGACTCTCAAGCTTAGAGGGCCTACCTCTGATGCTGAGCATTCTCTACAAAGTCATAGCAAACTAAATTATGAAGAATTGCCAAACATCTACAGTTCACCAGCTACAGATGTTTCATCATTCATTTAGAAATACATCCTATTAATAATGGTTAACATTTTTTGAGCATTGATTAAATGTCTGGCTAGCTCTAAGGTTTTATACGCATGATCTTATTTCATGCTCACAGTAACCCCACAAGGTCGGGAATCCTGTCATTTCCAATTGTGCAATAAGGAGAATGAGGCTCGAACACATGTAAGCAACATGCCCCAACTGTGTGGGCGTAACTGGGCAGTTTACACACAGCCCTGATCCTGATCGAACACTGCTTTCCACTGCTGCTCTTGCTCCCGTCTCAGCACCACTAAACATGCATTTAGGAGGACTGTTCAAATGACAACTGTTATAGTAAATGTGAGTTCATTTGTGAGTCCCATAGCTTACAGAAAACAACAGAAGCTACTCACTAGGAACAGTGGGACTAGTTTGCTACTTCCATGGAGTAGCTTGATGGGTAGCCACGAAGCTCTCACATGAAAGAAAAGCCTCTTAACTTTTTTATTGACTCCTAAATTCTCATCATTACATTTCTGTTGCATTGGCTTGCACTTTTGGCCTGTGTTAAATACTTTGGGAAAAGGGAAGCATCTCAATCTGTCAGCCTTTGTTATCTGTCGGGAATGATCCTGACAGGCGCTACACCGATCCTCATGAGAAAGGGTGGAAGAGCACCTGTGGCAACTGATAAGGGGAGGGTGCCATCCAAGGACACAGGGATGGACACCTTGGAGTGTTTGTGATCTACACGACTTTGGAGGTTTCAAAAAAGCTCACAATGCCTTCCGCTATAGCTCATTTCCTACTGTAGCAGCACACACTTCCAGTCACCAAGCCTAAACCCTGGTTAAAACATCTCAAGACAAGAGAATCATGCTGGTTAGTGATTTAAAGGTCGCCTAACAGGATCTCCCTGAGAGTCAAGCTACTATTTTAAAGCAGTTGAATGTGTCTTTGGATGCCCCATCATCCAGGAGGCTGTGTGTCTGCAAAACCTGGCCTGTGCCGTCAAGGGCCCAGCAATGTCTCGCTTCCCACGGCCTCCTCTGCCTGGACAGCAAGCCATTAAGAAGCACACACTGGCTGAGGAGGATGAGACATTGTCCTGTGAAACCCGTAGAGCAATGCACAGAATCTCCTGGTTTTAGAGAACATGTAATTGTTACAGCAGATTGGAAAGGGGAGAGATCAACATAGACTTGAGCAAGCAGAGAAGACATCACGAAAGAGGTCGGAAGTCAGTGAGGAGGGATTGGATTTCATGCCTGGAAAGTGGGGGTAGGCCTCCCGGACAGAGCAAGTCCAGTGAGCTTCCTGGGTCCTGTGTGGTTCTCAGGGTGGGCGGTTCCTCACGATCTGCTTCTAGGACAGGCAAGTCTGTACATGAATGCCACCTGGGGCCAGGAGAGCTTAAATGTTTTGCAGAAAATCTGATGCGAGCATACTCACCAGCTACTATGCCAACTACAGGCTCCCAATAGTTTCCGGGTTTGAGGTCTTTGACATTTGGGTTCTTTGCACTGTTTTGAAGTACAAATCACACTGCAATGGATTGTATTCATTTTTGTGTTCTGGCTAGCACTTCTCTACACTTGTTTTTAATTCTACAGAAAGCCCAGCCCTCTAATTTCAGTGGGAATTACATGTGCTTGGTTTGTGGAAAAGGTAACAAGGTAAGGCATTGGCAACAGAGCCTGCAGGTCACCCTCCAACCTCCATGACCTTAGGGCAGAGCTTCTTTGTTCAAAGTTGCAAAGTATCCAGGAGCCCTCAGACTCCCGTGCAGTTGTGGGTAGCCAGGTGGGCCAGGATAAGCTCATGAAATGGAAGTGGCAGTGAGGTAGGGCTCCTGGGACTGTTTTCCTGTGACAAAGACAGAGGCAGCCAAGTCAGCTACCACCTGCCCTTTGTTCTCTGGCTCTTGGCCATCTTGGGACCATGGAGAAGATACACACACACTGAGCATAACAAAAAAGAAAGCTAAAAGAATTTTATTATGTGAATAAAAAACAACCTCCTATTTAGTAAAACCAGTATAATTTTTCTGCTACCTTTTTGAAGCCAAGTTGCAAATCTAATTGATGTGTCTTTTGAAAAAAAATCTTCCTAAAGTAATCTGGAAAATACACTGGAGTTAGACTGAAGTCTATTTTTTTTTTTTTTAGTGTATGTGCTGCCAAAGTGAGCACTGACATCTGCATTAATGTGGAAGGAATTATCATTAGCTGTGAGTCCCAAATGCCATATATCTACAGGTTTGGTAAGCTGATTTCAGTTCTTTGGCTGATAAATTACAGCATAGCATTTCAAATTTTTTTTAAAAAAGTGTGTTTACTGTAACCAAATGAACTGTAGAAATCATTCATTTTCATGGCCACCTCTACTGTCCATGCTATGTTATGGGAGTCACTGTTAATATTTTGGTGACTACTGTTCAGGTATTTTCAGCACACAAGTAATCATCAGTAACACTGTAAGAGTTGAGAAATGAGGCATTATTCTGTTGCTGTAGACATCCCCCTTATTTGATATCAGTAAGCCTTAGTGGACAGTGTAACACTCTGATATTTTTCTAACTATTCCAAACATCCATGAGACTTGTGCCTTTTATTTCAGGGAAGTCTCTGAACAGTCCAATTCTGCAAGAGAATCAAACAACTGTCTCCAGGGGAGACAAATTCTGAAGCATCCCTGGAGCTCAGTGTACTTCCTTTTTATCTTTTTCCTCCTTGAACTGTGTGCAAGTCTGAGATGCCCAGTGGAAGTGACTGGCCTGGACCACTTCTGTTTTAAGTACAGCCAGCTCTGGGCAGTGGCCAGCTAATTCCAAGTCAAAAGTCAAAGTGGAGGGTAAGTAGCTCACTGAAACCCTATCAGGACAGTAACACGCGTTTTTCTTGAAATCCTTGAAGGCAAAGGATTTCAGTACATTTTAATTTCTTCTGGGTTTATAGTCTATGTGTGCTATTTGGTGAACTTAATAGCTAGGAGTGTCATTATATAAATAGCTTGCATTTGCTAAAAGTCTGAATGATGTATGAGGATTCCACTGCAGATTCCTCTTTGGTCCAGGCCCTGTTATGGTTTAGATCAAGAATGACCCCCAAGGTCGCCTTTTGGAAGGTGACTGAATCACGAGGGTGCTGTGCTCGTTAGTGGAAGCATCCATGGGTGAGTTCACTGGGTGTGCTTTGGAGGTGGGGCCTGGGGGGAAAAGCCGAGGTCACTGGCGGCATAACCCGCAGAGGTCTCTCTCTCTCCCTGGCTCCTCCTCCTCTCTCTGCTTCCTGGCCACCATGATGTGAGCAGCTCTCCTGTGCTACACCCTCTGCCATGCTGTTCTGCCTGGAACCTGCCAACGTGGACTGAAACCACAAGCCAAAATAGACCTTCCTTTAAGGGGTTGGGAATTTTGTCCCAGAGATGAGAAAGTGACCAAGACGGGGCCAGCCCTTATATATTTTGTGTCCAGCCAGATCCATCTTTAGTGACAAACTGCACCAATAGAAACAGCTTCCTGTTAGCTTTGCAGCCTCTCTCCTTAAGTGCAAGCAGATAGCCAAGGATCATGATACATTGAAGGGAGGGTTCTAATAAAAGATAACAACAAAGCAATCACACACAATCCAGGAAAAAGTAGTTTGAAGAGAATAAAATCTATGCAAGAAGAACAAGAAACCATCACTGGTATCTTCAGTGAGGTGAGAGAAGATATGAGATACAAACAAGGATGCCCTAAAACAGAAACAGAACAAAAAGAGCCCATGGAAATATAAAATATGAGAGCAGGATGAAAGAGTAGAACTGCTGGAAGGAAAAGTTGAAGAAATCTCCCTGATAATATGTTAAAAAGACAAAAGAGAATGGAAATAAAAAGAAAAATAAGAGGAAGTTAGAGAACTCTTTTAGAAGGTCCAACATCACCATGAAGAGCTCTCAGGCAGACCGAACAGAGAAAATGGAGTGGAGAAAATTTAAGGAACAGTGCAAGACAGACTCTCAGAGCTGAAAGACAAGTTTGCATACATGAAGAACTCATAGAAGGCCCAGCATAAAATATAAAATAAAGAAAATGATATTCCCAGTGCACATGGGAGTAGTATTATGAGATAAACATTCTGGAGGCAAGTGAAAATTCCCACAAGCTTCCCTCACAGAAAACAAAGCTTTCAAATAAAGGGTCAAGGACAAGAATAACACCAAGTTTTCTCAGTGGTTACATCAGAAGCGTAAGACAACTGGCCAATGCCTTTGTTCTGAGGGAACTATTTCCAACCTAAGGTTACACAGCCAGTTAGATTATTGTGTGTACAGTTAACTTATGAGATATATGATAGTTTCTATCACATCTTTTCTGACAGGCAAGGTCTTACAAATTACTTTCCACTCTCATTTTCTCAGGAAGCTGCTGGAAGGCATTTTCTCTTCATGAAGGAGAAATGAGCTGAGACAGAAACAGAAGAGACCACAGAATAAAGGCTCCAACACCCGAGAGGTAAAGGGAAGGCCAAGATGGTGGCGTGAGGCTGCCCTGATGGCAGCAGGACAGCGAGCACACAGAGAAGTCAGTTTCATTTTTAATAGGTCAGAAGCCTGAAAGAAAGCAGCCCTCCTCTCCTTGAGCCCGCCCGGTGCTCACACACAGGCTGTGGTGGAACTGAACACAAACAGTGCCACAGAACACCAACTCCAGACAGAGCCATTTTGTAATTCTGATGGAGCAGGACAAAAACAAGACCACTGTATAACTGCATTTGAATACAGGCAGAAACATGAGCACTGGCCAGGCCACAAAATGCCATACATTCCCCACTTGTATGCAACCTTTATCAAGTACAGCTGTCCTCTGCCCAGCCCTTTCCCTTTCTGGCTAAGGGTTATTAAGATATCCCACCACAGAATTACTCTCATTTCCTGACAACATCCAAATTCAGGGCAAAGTTCCATTTCCTTACGCCACCCTTCAAATCATACCACAAGAGCCCAAATGCTCCAAGTTCTTCCTGGTACTCTCTACAGACACTTCCTGCAATTCCTGAATAAGTGTTTTGTCTGTTGCCGTGTGTAAGAAACTCAACCCTTTCAACCACAGGTGCGCGCCTGCTGGGAGAGGTCAGGGACAGGGCCCAAGGGCGACTTCTTCAAGAAGGTCAAGGGAATACAGTATCAAGTGTGTTTTAACATCCTCAGAGGAAAGGTATGCAAGTGGAGAACAGTCTGGGGCTGAAATAATAGCAAGTACACAGAAAAAATGCACAGGAAAAAACAGGATGCTTATAAATTCCTGAAAACAAAATTTTGTAAGGAAGGGCAGTTACATAATACGACTGCAATGTGCACAAACTTTATATATTTATTGCAATATAACCCCCCTAAATTCTTAACTAACCAAAATTATGACAGGAGGATATGGGTGTATCAAGGGACAAGAATGTGTGTATAGTGTGAGCAGGCGTCGAAAAGAGAGCCTAATCGTCATCTTTTATAGTGAAAAGTAGTAAGATCAGTTCTAAAACCGAACACTCGCATGAAAGCATTGGAAGCATGTTGTGCAATGTATGAAGAGACTCTAAAATAGAAACCTGAAGGAGCAGCACTTGATGAAGAAGAAGATTTGATCAGAAGTAGCAAACACATGGGGGAAAAGTCTCTCTTTTCATGCCCAGCAGAACATTACTAATCATCATAGAGCTCGAGATCTTTGCTACGTGGTTACTGCAGGGAGTCACCATCAAGCAAATGGAGCTGATGCTTGGGTATCAGCTTGATTAGGACATAATATATTTATGATTCCTCTCAGTTCTTTCATTCTGTGGTTATGTGAAATAATGATCCACTGAATGTCTTTGTGGTGGGTGACACATGGATATGCCACTTAAGCATATTAACTTGGTAGCAAAATGGAGACTAAATTAGACGTGGAAGGAACAGGTCCTGACCAGAAGTGGCAAGCAGTAGGTTTATTTCTCTCACCAACAGGGCTGACTGTGCAGTCTTCTCCACAGGAATAAGATAGGTATCTTCACAATCTTAACCGAGCTATAGAATTTTCTTTAGCTTTTCAAGGAGTTTGCTTGTATAAAGGAAGGAAAGCAGTATTTACTGGGTACCTTCACAGTGCCACATGGTTTCACGTTGATAATCACTTCTGTTTCCTGCAACAATTTTGGCTCAAAGGTTTGGAAAACACCTAACACAGGAAAGAGTTCAATGGATCCAAGAATTATACCTGACTCTGAGTCATAGCTGAAGGTCTCCCCAACGAAGTAGGTGGGTGTGACAGCCTTAAGCACTGGAAATGAGTCATGAAGAGCAAAAGTGCAGAACTACACTTAAATCAGAGTGAAGAGAGATGGAACCTCTAGAGAACTACAAGTAAAGAAAAATCATAACACACGACTCATAATCATAACGTGAAACGTCGTATTTACTTAAGGCACAGAGGGCACTGTTAATGATGGTCACAATCTTGGACATTCTCTTCTGTGTAGAAAGGGCATCAAACATGATGGTGAAAGTCAGAACAGAAATTCTGAGGTCGCGTTCGTAAAACATTGACAGCACGTTTATTTCTCTTCAGCACCACAGGAAGTCAGGAAGAGCCATGTTTAAATGGAGAAGTGTCCTACAATGCAGTGTCTTATTTCATGTAACTGTGATGTCTTTGATTCCAGGGTGACCTGCCAATCTCTATGCTCATTAACAGTTCTGATGGTTTTGCTGGAAGCCAGCCAAATGCCCATGCCATGGCAGAGCCCATCTTCCACCTGCTTGGCCTGGACTTGGCCAATGCCCCAGAGGGAGGCAAAGGCTACCCATTGCTGCCCACCAGGAAGTGATCTGCCTTTGTGGAATTTTCTTCCCACAATTCTCATATGCCTTTTAAAATATAAGCTCCGGGGCTGGGGATTTAGCTCAGCGGCAAAAGCACCTGCCTGGCAAGCGCAAGGTCGTGAGTTCGGTTCCCAGTACCGGAGAAAAACCAAAAAAAATAAAATAAAATAAAATAAAATAAAATATAAGCTCTCCTTGTAGCTTATTTTTCTAGGTGTTATAGCAGGAAGTATGGTCCATTGCAATTGTTAATATTTTTAACTAGAAGAGGAACAGCACAATTACATTTTGGATGAGGTTTACGTGTCTCTTCGATGGCACTTAATCTACATTTCCTGGTAACGGTGAATTTAAGTCTATCTAGTGTCTGTCATCTCTTGGAACCAATATTGTGACTTTCATCAGTGTAAAACTATTTTTGAGATCTCTAAGAAGTACTGCTCTAGGTACCAAGTTATCTTGTTGCTTCCATCCAGATGCCGTTACTCTTCACTTTTAAGGAGAATGTTTGCTGAGCCCCATTAGAAACATATTTAACAGACGTGTCTTACTACTAAAATCTTTGAAACTGGTTAATAATGGTGGTGCTAATTTTTAATCCTATTGTTTAAAAAAACCTTACTGGGTGGCTGTTTGGCCGATAATCCGTGACGGTTTCATCAATACAAGCAATATTGGTGGGTTATAGGAGACTCCTGCTCATCACGCTCCAGTTTCTATCGATACTTTGAACATACGTTATTCCTCCTACTTACTATCAGCCTCACCAGGGTGAGGTGGGGCCCCCGGCTCTGTGTGTGTCCACAGCTCCAGCTTAACATCCTACTGTGCTGGGCTTTGGGCAAAGATGGAAAAGTTTAACCAATGTTTCCAATAAAAATAACTTGGAACAGGGCTGGGGATTTAGCTCAGTGGCACAGCGCCTGCCTGACAAGCACAAGGTCGTGAGTTCAATTCCTGGTACTGGAAGAAAAAAAAAAAGAATAACTTGGAAAGTCGGATTAAAACTATGTTGGAAGGTATTAAAGTTAAGTCTTCAAAGGTTTTAGCTCTGTCCAGAAAGTAGTAAAAGTACTGTTACACTGGACACTACTACATCAAGGGTAACCATTGTACTCTACGATAGCCACACGACGAACAGAAACAAGAGTGCAGATGTAACTAACGCACATCTACAGTGGGGACAGCAGAACAGTATAAAACAGATTACTCCAAAAGAAGGAAATGTGGGAGAGAAGATGAAAATAAAACAGGTGGGGCAAGGAGAAATCAATAAAACTATCATAGATAAATGTTAAAATAGTCTGCAACGACAGTAAACGTTAGTTTTAGACTAAATATAAAAATTGAAGAATATAAGACCCTCTTACACCTGATTTTGAAGTGTGTGCTGTGGATGAGATACATCTAAATGATGATGCAAAAAGAACAAAAGTCAGTGAAGGAGAAAGGAAATACCATGCAAAATCTAACCAAAACCAACCAAACAAAACAAGTATAACTGTATTGTATTAATAGCATATCACTGTATTAATAGCAGATCAAATAAACTTTTAAAGCCAAAAAAATGGGGCAGGGGATATAGATCAGTGGCACAGTGCCTGTCTGGCAAGCTCAAGATCCTGAGTTTGATTCTTGGTACCCCCCCCCAAAAAGCCAAAAGAATTATTACAGTTAAAGAGATTATAGAGATAAAAATCAGCCTACCTGCTGGAACTGTAATAAAATTATTTGAAGTATATAAGAAGAATAAATAGCTGCTTTTTTGGAAAATGAGGGAAAACATCACATTTTACCTCCCCTCCTTGAGACAGAAAATGAAAAAAAAGAAAAAGATTATGCAAATCCCCTGGCGGCAAGACCAAGTTCCAGTTGTTGCCGACACGCATAACCTTCAGAAGCTTTCCACACGTGGTGTGAGGTTGATCTTTCGGTTAGGATAGGCCAAGCTGTGTTACAGAAACAAACACCCACCAAACATCACGGCTCCAGACCAGGAAAGCTATTTGTGACAGATGGAGATGACATGCTAAGGTTGTCAGTGGCACATCTCACAGCTCCTCCATATTGCCATGTCCCTCCACATAGGGATGGGGCCCTGCTTAACTGCAGTGGGCACAAGGAAGCTTCTACATGCCACAGGCGTAGGAGAGCAGATCTAGGCATGAGTTAGGGGCAGATGCATCTACCACAGGAGGAAACAGTTTAAGCTTCGGAGGCCCCGGCCTCCATGAGGCTCTGGAGTATGACATCCTGAAGAGAACGGGGTAGGCTTCTGTGTCCTCAACTGCTGCCTCCCATCCTTTCTTCACCAAAGGATGCAGTAACCCAGGCTCTGGCACAAGAACGCAGCCCCCTAGAGGGTCTTCTGGCCTTTAGAGCGCTGGTCACTTAGCAAGGGGAGCCCTCTCTGAGAGAGACAGGAGGTAGGGGCCCCAGGGCCATAGCCATCACCTGGGAGCACCGAGGCAGTAAGAAGGTGACTGCTTTCTTGGGCATCCTGTGACTGAAGCCCACCTCTGAGACTGCACACTACACTGGTGGCCTGATGGAGGCAGGGTTGGGTTCTGGAGCACCCTTGGTGGGTGGAGGAGTAGCCTACTGACCACTGACATTTACACAGTGATTTAATGAGATCCTTAACTGTCCCAGCTGCCATTGCACTATGCTGGATCTACTGTGTGTACGTGTGTGCGCGCGTGTGTGTGTGTGTGTGTGTGTGTGTGTGTGTGTGTGTGTGGTGAGGTGGCGGCTGGGCAGTAATCCTTCGCATTGAGCTACATCTCCAGCCCTTTTTATTTTTTATTTTGAGACAAGGTCTTGCTAAGTTGCCTAGGCAGCACTCAAACTTTCAGTCCGCCTGCTTCAGCCTCCTAGAGTACTGGGATTCCAGTTGGATCTGACTTAACGGAGGAAGACAGTGATGCACTTGGTCCTGACCTACAGTGGACCCTGTCCTGCTTCTAGACCTGGATGGCCCAAGTACTTCCATGGCCAGGCTGAGGCCTGATCCCGAGAAGGCACCTGTGTAGTCTTGAGCTAAAAAGAGATCTGAGGACATTATAGGACTATAAACTCTATAGTAGCTTAGACGTATTTGAAAATTGCCTTTTCACTTTTCTTCCTTCTCTGTTGTAGCAAAAAATAGCTTTCTGAAATGTTTTTACTTCCGAAGATAGCACTGAGCTGCGGAGTCAGACAGTGGTTTCCAGCACCCACCTCTAACAGAAGCCTCTGATGCAAGGCTTGAGTCTGCGTGAGGGCTTCACAGGACACTTTCAAGAGGAGCTCCATCTTCTTTAAATTTCGAAAATCTCGTTCCTTCTCTCTCTGCTTGTGAGAAAGCTCATCATGGTAGTTCTGCTTGTCAATGAGACTGTTTCGTAAACTGAGGTCCAAGATCCCTCTGTCCAGGTAAAGGGAGAGAATGAAAGTGACACGTCATCAGCTGTCCCCACGTTCCTCAAAGCTTGTCCAGATGCGTACTGGACATATAAACTGCTTGGGTCAGAATCATAATTGTAAATGATGCCAAAAGCAACCAGGTTCATAAGATGGTATCATTTGGAGCTATATTCTTACAAACTCAAGTGTACTAACAAACTGGCAGAGGTAGAAGCCCCAGGATCCCTAAAATTTATTTGAAAGTAGCAAGCAGGGATAGAGGTAGGGGCGTAGTTCAGTGGTACAGCCCTTGCCTAGCATGGGTTCCATCCCAGAACTGGAAAAACAACAAAATGTAGGAAATAAAATCCCCCTGGGGAATCACACCCAAAATCACCCCACGGGGAAAAAGTCATGATTACATCAGAAATACCATTACTTGTTGGCAAAAATCCCTGAACTACACAGCACACCCCAGTGATTTAATTTCCCAGAGGTATACTTCAGAGGCTTGTGACACACGATGGATTTTGTCCTTAAAATTTGGTCACATAAATAGAACTGAGGAAACTTATGAATAAAGGATGGAAAAATTACTTCAAATGCTTTATTTGGTAACATATGTCTAATTAATGAAAAACAGTTAAAAGTCTACAAAATTATATTGAATTGAATCAACATAAGACAATGTGCGAGTATGTTTTGCATCCTCAAATATACATCAAAGACAACTTCAGATGACAGAAGTCACGGAAGCCCCACGAACCTTTCAGTGAGTGATGAAGCTTCGTTCTCCCGGGTTAATTCTACAAGCTTGACCAGCTGGTTATACTCCCGCTCTCTGACTTCCAGTAAGGCTCGCTTGCCTTCAACTTCCTTCATGACATCCTCCTTCTCCTCCACTAGAGCGCTCACTTTGCTTTCGACTTTCTTTAGGGAGTTGTTCAGCTCTTTGACTTCGTATTCCAACACAATTTTTTTCCTTTCCATTTCTCTGTAGGACACACACACACACACACACACACACACACATGCTTTATTTTGTGCCAGTGTTTAAAACCAGGCAGAAGAACAAGTCATAGATTTAGTGGTCTCGGGAGTGCATGAGGACCATGGGTAAATGGGGCGTGGAGGGCGCCTTTCTCAGTGCCGCTGAGGCAGGCATGCGCCCCTCCCCGATTCCTCTCCAGTTCTCAAGCGCTGCCGTCTCTGCCATTCTACCCTCCTTCTGACCAGCTTCCTGGAAGGGACTTGAATTTCTTAACATTGGTCCTCACCAAAAAGCTGGGTTTTTAGAACAATTGTTGCTTCATTTTACCTCTCTTCTTTAAAGATCAGTCACCAGATCAATCATTTCCCCAGAATATTTGCATCCTTGTTTATGTCATTGTTTCTGCTTCCCAAGTGGCCCTTGCATCCAGATCCGCTCTGGATGTCTGAGGGTGTGTGTTACACACGAACAGGTGGCAAAGTGGTGTGCTGATGGTCCTGTGTGCTTCTGGCTGGCTGACTTACCTCTGGACCGTGAAGTTCTAACCAGTTCAAATAATTTATCCCTGGCTCTGTTACAATCAAATGGAATTCTCTAGAAAGATATGATTTATAAGTTGGAAACAGAATCTTGACCCATAACTAAGACATATATACGAGTTATGACTCATGGTAATTTGCTGCACTATCTTTTAAAGAACTGAATATATGAAACCTAGACAAGGCAAAAAGCAGAAAATTTTGAGTCTGAAGTGTCCAGTGCTTAGTCCTCTCAACGTAGTGTGCATGTGTTACTCAGGGGAGGATGGCTGGGGATTCAAAATATAAACATAAAACCATACACTTTTTTGCGTGTTATTTTTTCTATCTCCTTTCCAATCTGTACAGGAATGGTTTGATGTTGGACCACTTCATCCTAGAAAAGAAATGCAATCACATTAAACTATACAAATCATATAGTCTCAGCTGAGAAGTAAGACAAGCAAATTAAACAGGAGTAAGAGAGGAACTACAGCAGGTAGAACCCTTCCACTCTGCTCCATGTGCTTCATTATAAGACCCTCTAAGAGAGTTGTGTTTGATTGCGTCTGACCCATACTGTGGAGCTCTGTTCGGATTCCCCTGGGGAGGAACCTTCTCTCCGCTCTGCTACCAGGATTGACTGCTACCACCGCATGTTCTTCCAGGAAGCAGTTGTCTTTGTTACATTTATTTCTAATATCAGAAAGTATTTGGTGAAGTTTGGAGAGGCCTGTTCCCCAGGGTCAGAGCTTTAAAATGGAACAGTACTATTTATCAAACAGTCTTTTGCGAATTCCCAGAGTTTAGGTTCAGTTTCATAGGCTCCACCACAAGGCAACTATCTCTTTTTGTCAAGCCTGAGAAGTAGTTAACCCTTGTGTGTTTATAACCTTGCTGGCACTCACCTTCAGGACAACTTGATGTTCCAACACTTCTTCTAGCTCCTTCTTCTCCTTGACTAACTGCTTTTGCTTAGATGCCAAATCTTCCCGTAAGTTCTTAATTTCTAATTTCTTCTGTATTATTTCTTTACGTAATTCTTCAGTGCTTTCTCTCAGCATTTTCATCTTCTTCTCCATCTCCTTTAAAAGTGGTGAAAATGATCAGGTTGTACAGTCTGAGCAAATGTTTTTCTACCTTAAAAACTAAATTGCACTCACCATGTTGATTATGTTTGCTGTGGGCTCATGAATGTGTTCTCACAAAGCTAAATGCAGCTTCTGATTTCTGACACCTTCAATCAAGGCGTGACAGTTGCACTGCATGTTTAATTCCACATTTTATGTTAGACTTTTTAAAAGTAGTGTTTCTTATTTAAATATTTCCTCTTTTTTGAGTTAAATTTGTATTTCGTATAAAAAAGTATTAATGAAATTAATGCTTTTGTGTGTCCTATTGTGTGTCCTACTAGGCTTGTGGTTTAACACCATCAGAGGCAAATAATCTCTGACTAACAGGATGACAGCTAACTTGAGTCACAGATAGGAACGAAAGATAAAGGGGTTCATATCTAACACTTTCTCCCTTAACCACAACGCCCCTTTCTTATGAATATTGCTTCTCTAGTTTCTGCATATTCTCCCCAGATGCCCTGAACCCCAGACTCCTAGCAGATCCTGCTTCTGTGCTGAACAGTCCAGAGAGGAACCTATGGGAGCAAAGCTTTCTGCTGACAACGCCCGCAGGGTGCTCTGGGCTACGTGGATGGATCGGCTCGGCCTGCCATGGGCTTGATGCATGGCTTCTCTCCTTTCGCTGCTGCTGGGAGAGACTAACTTTAGTCACCTACAATCTGGAGCTAAAATTCCAGACACTTTTTCCCATAAAATCTGTGTAAATGGTGATTAGATGAGCTTAGGTAGAATTAATAGTATTTTACTATTAATAAACAAGTTTTTTTGTGGCTGGCCATGAGATTAAACCATGAACAGCACTTATTAAAAAATACAAGCATCCAGAAAGTGGAAGCAAAGCCAAGTACAACGACCTTCTATTTACTCTTTGTGGTGGACGGCAAAAAAGGTCACGGCTTCCCCGTGCCTGGGACGGCTTGCCCCTGTGCTGTCTGGGCTATCCTTTCCGTCCTTTCCACTAGGAGAGAGGGCTATTTCTCTACGTCCTGATTCTATACCTGACCATGCGGATGGCTCTGGCCAATGACAGAGTATCAGAAAGTTTTTGCATGTGGAGATTTGTCCTCTCTCGCTGCTGAAAACCCTCTCACTCTGATGTGGTCAGCTAGGGAAGGGCCTGTGGCGTGACTTCCACATAGGCAAAGCCTTCCTCGATCACTCAACCGCAGCAGAGCAGCTGAGACCAGAAGAATTCAGGACTGTGGAGAAGAAGGAACAACTGTTGTTTCAATCCACTAACTTTGGAGATGGCTTGTTTTGCAGAAACACACAAGTGATATGTGTCCTTTATTAAAAATTTCTTTTCGTAACAAGAGATCTCCGGAAAGCTATGAGGGTAACAGCTGCGGCAAAATGATGTTTTTAAGTGCCAACACTTTTTTATTCTAGAAACAAAGCAGATACTGTACAACTGAACACTGTGTAAATGACAGGACAAATTGCTAAATCCTCCAACAGGCACCACTTACATTTACTCCAGAATGTGTATAGATATTCCTTCCAGGGCCATCAACAATTATGATTCCTGCTCTTTCAGCATATGTTTGTGGTGATAAAGATTAATTTTTTAAAAAGGGATGCTTGGCTCTCCCTGCATTTAACACACTTTATATCATTTAATACTTACTCCTGGCTTAGGTATCTTCTCAAATTCCTGCAATATGAGGTTCTTTTCTTCCGTTAAGCTGCCAAAAAAAGAAAAAAAATCAAGTCTGATGAAATCCAAAAGAACAAGCTCTTTCCATGGTAATACCTGCCTACTTTCTCTTCTCCCAGGGCCGTGCCAGGAGCACCTGTGGGCCCCGGGGTCCGTTCTTCAGGGTGACTTTCCTGACTCCCCCAGGCCTATATTGGGGCTTGCTCTTCCCGGGACCCTGCACACCGCGCTCACACACGCAGCAGAGCAGTTCTCTCAGCACGGGACCCTGTGGGAAGCTCGGGCGCCCTGCAGGGGCTCTAGGCCTCTCCTCGCACCCCCTGCCTGGTCCGGTGCCCACCTGCATACCTGCTCCCGCCTCCCAAAGGCCCGCACCCGGTACCTCAACTCTCCAGCCCAGAGGCTCCTCATCTCACCTGAACGGAAATGTGAACGCCTTCCTCCCGCCTCCCCATGCCTGCATAATCGGCCCCTCCAGCTCTGGCCGCACTGGCCTGCTTGTCAAATTGATCCCTACCTCAGGGCCTGTGCCCTGCGGGTCTCTCCAGCTGCCCTGGCCTTGCCACAAACCCTTGCATAGCTCAGTTTTATGAGCAGAGCTCTGCGGAGGCGGCCGTGGTGCTGTCCCAGGCCGCGCAGACACTCATCACCCTTCCCCGACCACGATTCGCTCTTCTGCGCAGTATTAATCCCCAGCAGGCGCCGCATCACTGTCTATTTCCCGATTGTGCGCCGTGTGTTCGTCATTTTCCCCTCCTGGACACACAGTGTGTCCCCTCCTGGACACACTGCTACGTCACAGCCTCCCTCACACTGGGCTTGGGGCCGTGGGACTAGTTTTGGCCAAGTGTAGGTGAGTGCAAGCAAGCAGCTCTCTCTTCCTAACTGCGCTGAACTGGGAAGACTTGGGATTCAACTGGCAAAGACACAGGATCGGGGCTCCCGGATGACCCACACTCTGCTGTGAGCCAGGAAAGAAGTTCACTGCATGATTTTACAGACACTTTAAGGTCTTTTTTGTTATTGCTGCAGGGCTGAGCCAAAGCCAATCTTTTCCTTTTCTTACTCTCTAAACTGCTTTCAAAGACTCAGTTACAGCAGTGACTTTTAAATTGGTGTAACCAGCTCAGAATTTCCTTGGAGATCTAAACTTTCACATCAGAAGTAAAGAAAGGAAGAACATCAAAGACTAAGTGAAGATAAAGGACATATTTTTCTAATTCTTAATTGACCTAAATGATACGTTTGTTCAAACTCTTAGGATTTTGGTTGGTATTATTACCAAATTATGCATGCTTACAAATAGAAACATACCAATTTATATGCTGATGCATCAGAAATGATGATACTAAGGATGGAAGTGAGACACCAGGATTACTGTATTATTAGAATGTATTTAAAACTGTATACAGTAGTGCTATTTGAAAGTTCTGGAAATAGTTGTGAATATATATTCCACACTCAGGGCAACCGATAAGATAAAATAAAAAGAAGCACAATTTATAGTGCTAAGGAAGGAGAGAAAATAAATAATATAAAATTCTCAGTTATTTGTAAGAGAGTCTTTCTTTTGTCTGTGACTTGTATCTGAATAACATTTTGGCCACTCTTTTAAGATAATGGTACACAGTGTATTAACTATTGTTATTCTCTAATTATTTTTATGTGAAAATTTAAAATAAAAGTATTACTTACAATAGCACAAAAATGCTGCCTTAAAGCCACAAAAAGCTGAAAAAGAGTGGATGGTAAAAATAGGAACAGAAAGCCAGGATGAGAAACAGAACACAGAGACAAATACGGTAAGTGCTAATCCAGCTATATCAGTAGTCATGTTAAATGTCAGTTAAAAGGTTATCAGAGTAGATAAAAAATAACACGATCCAACTATAGCTTGCCTACAAGAAACTCACGTTAAATGTAATGATACATATAAATTAAAAATAGATCAATAAAGATAGGCCATGCTAATGCTAACCAAAAGAGAGCACGAAAACCCAAAATCCAAAATGCTCTAAAATCTGAAATCTTTTAAGCACTGACACTGATGATGTTCGAAGTTTCAGGTTTTGGATTTTGGATCAGGGATGCTCAACTGGTAAAGTCTATGCAAATATTCCCAAATCTACAGCCTCTGAAATTTAAGACTTCTGATCCCAAGCCGTTTGGATAAAGGGTGATGACCTGTATTACTTTCAGATAGAGTAGACTTTGGAGCAAGGAAGTGATTTGAGATAAAGAAGGGGCACTGCCTAACAATATAGGAATAAATTCTCTGGGAAGACGTAATAATTCTTAACAGGTATGCACCTGAAAACAGGGTCATAGTACATGAAGCAAAACTGAAAGAACAGCAAGGAGAAAAGAGATAAATTCAGTTATAGCTGAAGACTTCAACGCTCCTCTATCAGAAATAGACAGATGTTGCAGGCAGAAAATCAGCAAGGACCTCGCTGAACTCAGTAACACTATCAATCAGCGGGATATAGCTGAGAACTGTAGAGTAGAGTTTTCCCCTGAAAGCCAAACATCACCCTGAGTTGAGATTAACAAACACAAGAAACAGAAAATACTAGGACGCACAGTGAAATAGGAATGTACAGTTCCTTTCCCTTGTTGATGAGAATAAAACAAAGAAAGGGAAATTTGTGTCCTACTTTTATTGCAACTGTTAGGATGAAATGACAAGACACTAAAGTGAAATCTGGAAAATTGCTTCAGTGAGGGTGAGCCTGAATGCGCTAAACAAAATAGATAGCAACAGAATAGTAATAGATTGAATACAATCACTTATTTTTTTCTCCCAGTGATTCCATTTTGTTTACTAGACTTCTTGAAGAAGTCTAAGGGAACGATTTTCCATTTTCTTGTTATTCTGCATTTAAAGACTAACTACTATGTTAGTCATTACTAAAGAAGTCTTAAGATTTTCCAGATTTGATCAACACAAACTTCACAATATAGAAGACTCATCTGTAAAATGGAAGTGGGGATGCACAGAGTATTGGGTCCACTGACTGTATCAAGCAGATCCTACACATTAGTAGGTCGGAGAACATGGCACTAAAAGTGTAGGCACATCAGAGTTTATTTTTACGAAATTTAATTGCAATAATGTACGTTAATATTAGTGTCAGAATTTGTCACAGTGAATTTAATATCGTTTAGTTGTCCCAAGCACAAATTGAAGCTGAATTTTTTTAGAGCTTTAGATACTCTGCGGTTGCCAGCTTGTGAAAGCTGGAGATGCTTAATTCCCAGATATTGATCCTACACTTTAGCCACCAGGGGGCGGCAGTGTGCTTTCCTCGTTGAGTTCTAAGGGCAACGGAGTACTCGTGAGTTTCAAAATGGCTCTCCTGGAAGGTATGATTTATGGTACTCTGCTTAACTACACAAATATGAGTGATTTAAAAAAAAAAACACAAAATGGATAACTACTTAAGACATTTTAAAGTAATTACGTTTCCGTTGTGCATTTTTTAAAATTAAGAGACACCAGTCGACTTTTATTTCCTTGAAAAGTGTGTTTTTCTATGAGAGAATGATTATAATCCCAACCCTAGCACACAGTGGTGGATCATTTTAATTTTCCTTGAATCTTTTAACAAAATTTTATTAAATGTACCAGTATGGTTGAATCCACTTTCACCTAACAGTTAATATTTCCTCAGTTGCTAAATAGAATTCATAATTAATAATTGAATTGTTCTATCAGGGGTCTATTGGGTAGCTATACCATCATAAAATAATCCTAAATATTCTTTCTCATCTACTGGACCTACTACATGCCAGGTACATTATATGCATCATTTCAGCTTAAGCAGTGGGTTTTTTTTTTTTTTTTTTTTTGGTACTGGGAATCGAACTCAACACCTTGTGCTTGCCAGGCAGGCGCTTGTGCCTCTGAGCTATATCCCCAGCCACATGCATAATTTCTAACTTCACAACTTTGCCAAGCAGGTGTTATCTCCATTGGACAAATGAAGAAACTGAGGCATTACGCACTTTTCCAAAGTCACACAGTCAAGGCTGACCCGATATTGACACTCACTCCAGAGCTCTATCTTTTTCACCCATCTTTTCAGTATCAAGCTACCTGTAGACTGCATTATTTAAATACCCCACCATTTCTAAGGGTTCAGATTGTTTCCAATTTTTTACTTTTATAAAAAGTGATGTAATAAATATCTTTATGCTTTATCATGCTTCTCTTTCTCTTCTTGGACTACCATTTCTGATGGAATCATTGGGCAAAAACATGCTTTGAATGGGCCTCTTGGCATATAGGAACTCCTAACCTTTTAAACTCATGTGAATTTAATTGGTTTTTTTCTTTTTCACTTCTTATTTTGAAAATATCCAAATCCACAGAGCAGTTAGAGAATAATACAGCAGACACCCAAATTCCTTTTACCGAGATCAACCAGTTGTTAACATTTTGCCAGCAGGTCTACTTTTATTTCTGTACTGTAAACTCCCACGAGATTTAAGTCTGTCATATTCCAGCATTCTGGATGAACCAGGTGCTTCGACACCCAAACACCTTAGGATTTACTTCCTTTCTGCAGCAACCAGTCCTAACTGGAAACATGTCACTAAATAGGTTGGTTTTAAGGATCTCGGGGCGCAGAGACAATACAGGAAGCTGAGGGGATTGTGGAGATTTTGCCATTGTTTCCTCCAGGGCCGCACTGCAGCTGAGCGACACATTCACTGTCTACCTTGTAAGCTACACACACACCCTAGACGATGGAACATCGCATAAGGTCTTAAAGATGCCATTTCTTTCCCTCTGAGACGCCAGCCATCCCTTGCAAGGATGAACTTGTAGATTTCATTCTGATCTGCTTGAGCACTAATGTTAGTCAATCTTTAACCGATTTTCTAGCAATGCCGAGGGCACTGGACCCTGTTGAACTAAGTCACTAGGTCTTTCGACAACACCTGGCTGTCCTTGGGACTGAGGTGGATGGACAGTGCGACCACAGCAACCTGAAGAAAGCACCACTGGGATGACGTCTCGACCCTCCTCCTCACATTAAAGCCAAATATAAAAATCTCTGCCTTTCACCCCAATGGCGTGGTCCTCTCTCGACCCAGCTGCTGCTTTCCTGCTGTGGACCCCTGAACTCTGACTTCCCCATATTCCCTGACTACTGCTAAGTTCTTCCCACCACCCATGGTGCTGGGCCCTCACCACAGCATCCAGGAGAGGCATCATCGACCATCAGCAGAGAAAGCAAGAATGCGCAGAAGTTGTGAGGAGGAAGATTTCTGAAGAACCCAAGAATGTGCTTAGTGTAGAAGCCTCCCAAAGCTGGGAGGGCTCTAGGGCTCTGGAGGCCCCCTGTCCTTGGAGGTCTTGGGACACAGACTGATGGTCACCCAGGGAAGAGTCCAGGGATTCTGAGATGGAGCCAGGGTGGGGACCAGCTTTGGGATAAAGTTCTCAAACTCTGAGTCAGAATCTTGTAGGAAGTTTGTGAATAATTGAGATGTTTCGTGGGAGGAGAGGGGTTCGGCAGGTTGGGAGTGCTTCTGCCCTTTAAGTGCGTACCTCAGGTGCATCTCCTTCTGGTAAGATACGGACTGCCCCAAAGGGAGCAAAGAGGATTTAAGGGTTTCCTTCCAACTCCCGCAGGCCCCTCCACCACCTCCCAGCCTTCTGAAACTCCAGTGCATTGCTTACATCATCCCTCTGCTCCTTTCTTACCAGGTCTGTGTGCTTCCTGGTCACCAGAAGGAAGGAAAATAGCTACTGAGCCCCATGTGTACGGCGGGATGCATGAACCAGCAGAGGGAGAGAAACACTCGCTACGGTCAGAGTCACATCAGGACAGCCGCGCGCATGTGCGGCCCAGGGTCCCCTCGCCCCATGCCCACTCTGCAGTAGACAGCACGCGTTGGCCACAGCCTGATCTCCTCAGCTGGCCAAAACAATGTCAGATTTAACCAGAGAGCCCCAGGCTAGTCACTGCCCAAATTTTGTGGGAAGCCCCCAAAGTCAGGCAAGGAAAAGGCTGAAGAGAATACTGAAAAATCTTTTGGGAGAAAGTTTGTAGAAAGAGAATTGCTTCTGCTTTGTTTCCAGAAGAAGTTTTTAATGCTGTTTATTTAGCTACTTTATTATTTATTAGCATATATTTACTTCACTTATTTAAATAGGATCTGTTTTCTTTCCTGAAGTATATACTTGTCAAGAGGTCATTAATGGATATTAGTCGATGAACTAAAACTATTCTAGCACATAATTATTAAGCAGTCATAATTTGACTGACCATGGGCATTTATCAAAGAGTTTATGTTATGTGAAAACAGAAGAGAAGCGACTAAATTATGGAGTGGAACTCTTCCCCCAGAGCACACGAACAATATGTTGCTCTTCGTAGTGGACCATGATTCAGAAGTTCCTAAAGATGCCGGGTGGAGGCTCGCTAGTTATTTGGGCTTCTGTTGGTCAGACATTGAATAAAATGAGAGCTTATTGTACTGGGCTGACAAATGGCATGTGTATATTTGGATGAATAGTTTTCTCTCACTGGCTTCCTTTCTTTATTTTTATGTGGGGATGGAACTGTCCACTTCTCTCCTGGAGGGTGGTGAGTGTGTTCACTTCTGTTCTGTGTAGCAGTGCGAGGCAGGTTTAGCCAATGCAATGCACAACCTGTGAGGCTTTCCTGCCGTTTCCTTTCTTATCGCCATTATTTTTATGAAAATAAGCTGGTTAATTCTTGCACGGCTGATATTTGAGAGTGCAAGGGAGACTGCGCAGCTAAAGAATCTGAAGAAAGCACACTAAACATTTCCGTCCACATGCATGTGGAATGTTCTTGTTCAGAATAAGTCACTGTGCAGAACCCCTGCCCATCCGAAGTAGCAGTAAACAGTTGCCTATCTATACCTAAAAGCAAGCATTCTCAGCTTTTCTCTCCCCTTGGCAGGAATGCCTGGAAATTTGAAACAATTTAAATATTCACTGACTTATGTTCCCCTTACCCTTTCCTGAAATGTCAAGCATTCATGTTTTCAGTACTAATGAACAACTGCCAATTGTTTTAATTTCATTATTTTCTCAGCTGAAAGAGTGCTTACAGAGCACAGAAATAGCGAGGCTTTCTTTTTATAGCTCTCACTGGTGAGTCTGATACAAGTTCAGATGGAAAGATGAAAAAAGAAAAAACCAACTCTGATTTCTTTCCCCTCGGAATAGAGGTCTGCTATTAAACTGGCCTTCTTTATCCAGCTCTCAGTGGAAAAAGCAGACCCCAAGGAGCGATCTCAAAACCCAGGGCTTGCAGGGTTTGGGCGACCACTCACGCCACTCGCTTGTCTCTGGGCAGCTTGTCTCTGACTTTTCCTGCACTGTTAGTAACCTTCCTCCTCTTATAAACAGCAGAGTTCTGCCACCTTAAATGGTAACAAACTCTAGAAGGGAAGGTTTGACTTTTTGGTGCCAGGGCACAATGTGGAGCATAAAACCTGCAGTGCAGTCATTTTGAAATTGAATCTGAAGGGTGAGATTGGGGAGCAAACTCTTCTGCTGACTTGCTACTCCCTGGGAAGAACGTTAGCAATTTTGGAAATATCGTTTGCCCTTCTAGCGGCAAATTTCAGCTTTAGTTCTCTAAACGACAGCTTCTATTGTGGGTAAGTGTTTGTGTCTTCCAGAAGAATGTGACTTTCTTCCTTGGTCCTAAGGAACAGTTTAGTAAGAGAGGATGACGGTTGCATCGTGGTCCCTGCTTTGCTATTTTATAAGAAGACAGCCTGGCTCCTGCGAGCCTCAGCTCCAAGTTCGTTTGGAAAGCACACGTGAAGAGAGGCACTCACCACCTGACAAGTGATCTAGTGATCAGTAGCCACAGAGCAGATCAGATGAGAGAGATCAGGGCCCACGGTCTGGGCAGGCAGGGGCCTAGAGAGCGCCAGGAACTTGTTGGTAGAGGCTATTTTGTGGCTGCAGCTCCCACAGCGTATGGTTTTACACACACACAAAACACACACCGTCCCTTGACATGCAGGGATGCAGGGGCCTTTGTCACATTCGTTATTTTTCCTAGAAGCTGGAAGTTGTTTGGGGACTGCTCATCCCAGGGAATCTGGGGGAGGAAGTGAGCTTGCAATTGCTTGGACCCAAAGCGGCTTCCTCCTTTGTCTTACTGATGTAGAAACAGCTTTGCTCCCCTGGGTCTCAGGATGCGTGGGAGAACTGGGCACCTACCTGCTTAACCGGTACTGGTTGTGGTACTCTCTCTCCTTCACGGCGTTGTATTCATTTTGGTACCTGAGCAGCTGCCCCCGCATTTTGGAGACCTCGGTGGACAGTGCCTCGGGGAAACCGTCTGCTTGCTGCAGGTGGAGCTGCTGCTGCTGGATCTGCTCGGTGAAGCGCTTGGCGTTCTGCAGCAGCTGGACCTCAGACTCTTGGGTGCTGGCCATGGAAGGAGAGGTGTGCCCAGTGAGAAATGCGTGTCCACAGCTGCTCCCCGCCCCTGGGCTCAGTCCATCTCAGTGACACTTGGGGCCACTTGATGCTGAGGTCAACGAAGCCCAGCTGGTGGCCTCAAGTTGTCCATCACTGGGCAGAGGGGACCATGTGTAAACTGGTGACTGTGTCTAAGTCTAGACAGGAGAAGACCACAGAGAAAGGACGAAATGCACTTTCCCTGGATTGTGAAGAATGACCACGTCTTCCAGGGAAGGGGGAAAATGAGTGGGTCTCTCAAAATACCCCAGCAGTGCTGATTTCCTTGAATTCTCCTGACACGGCTATAGGAAGATCTCTCCTGTTTAGTGAACTACCAGAAAGAAACTTTTCAAAGAGCACGTTATTGGCAGAGTAGGTAGGAAAAGTTCCTTATAAATTTATGGCATAAGTTATAGACTTTTCAAATTCTATCCTTGATGCCTGCCTAGAACTGGGCTTGAACATCACAGCAGTTATTTGGGAAAGGCAAAGGAGCTGAGTACATGGCAGAGGTGGATCTGCATAGACACAGAACTTATACTTTATCAGTTCCCTAGCATTTTCTAGAACTCACTGTGCACGAGCTAGCAGCAGCTCCAGCTCTGTTGGAAGACATGATTCATCTTTCTCGGAAACATTCGCCTTAGCCACCTCTGCTCTTCAGAGGCAAGGGAGGCCAGTTCCTGATTCAAAGGCCGTGCTCTCTGGAGGGCGTGGCCCACCAAGCTCCTCACAGGCCAGAAACCTTCCCTGTCAGCTCACTGCAGACATGCCCATCCCTTCACTGAGCCCATCCCAGCGGAAAGGACCAGCTACCCCCATTTTCCCAGGCTTTCGGGTGCCACGTGCCTCTTGGCATCCAGCCAAGCATTTCTCGTGACAGGCGCTGGGTCAGGGGCCAAAAGGCAACAGCGGCTGTAATGACAGCACATATAAACTCCTCTCGCAGCTCTGCATTTCCAGCCTGTGTCTGGCGCTGCAGCCCCGCAGGAGGGGAGACTCCACTTCCTCCTGCCCTAGAGGGAGCCGAAGGGTCACAAGGAGGGGAAATGCGGGTAGCAGAGGGAAGCAGCTGTTTCGTAACACAACCTGGAAGCAGGAGGAAATAACACGATAGCCCGGGGCCTGCGCCCGCTCTTTCTCAAGGGCCCAAGGCGCTGAGCTGCCGGCTGGGGAGGAGGAAATCAAGTCACTGCACCTTGCAGAGCTGCCCTGGGCCCTAGATCAGAGCTATCCTGGGTGCGAAAGACTACAGTGCTCTCTGTATCTGTGAAGAGGCTTCAGGGGAAGTTGAGATCTGTGGGGAGCTTTGTTCAGTTAAGGAGAGTGAAATACGTAGGAAGAGATGTCCCCAGACTTCCTACCTTCAGCCTCCAGATCCCTGAGTTAAAAACTACACTCTGCAGTCAGGACATCCGGGAGAGAATGGAGGCTGTGTAGGGTGAGGCTGAGGATCTGGGTGGGGGAGGGGAGAGGGAGGGGAGGAGCAGGGCCAAGGGGTGGGGTTCTGGAGGGCTATTGGGGCCCTGAAGGGAGCTGGATAAGTAGGGATAGGTGCAAGGGAAGTTGTACATCAATCATTTCACCCTGATCCCCCTGCAAAGCAGCCCAAGGCCTCCAGGGGAGTGGAAGTAGCGCGGGTTTGGGGGTGGAAGAGGAAGGCTGGTAAGTGGCGGGCTGGAGCTCTAACCCTGCTGTCCCTCCTTGGATTCTGATGAAGATGCAACACAAGGCTGTGAGGCAAAGGAGGGGAAAAGGGAAGGGATGGAGGAGGCTCAAGAGTGCTCTGCAGAGTGCAACAGGCCTCCTCCGCCTTTCTGTGCCTCAGTTGCCCTCAGTGTAAGCCAGCCCCATGGGCTTCCTCCCTCCCCACTCTCTCTTCTCCACTCTCAGGATGCTTGCAAATCGTCTCTCCAATGACTTGAACTCAGACCCTTGGGTCAGGGTCTGCTTTCGTGGGAGCATGAACACATGCAGGTCCGGTTACAGACAACAGAGATAGGGCCAACAGTATCTCCACGCTGGTCCGCGGCATACCTTATCACCGTGTCGTGCAGCAACGTGTACTTGGCTTTCAACTCCGCCATTCTGGTCCCAGGAAGTTTTCCCATAGTGTGTAACTAGCAAAGAGAACAGGGGTCACCATGAGCCACCCGCTTCCTTCAGCAGGAAACGGCAGGGACACATGGATGTGTCACACGGCCTTTCAGGTAAACGCTAGAGAGGGGCCACAGGAAGGCCGGCATAATGGAAAGGCTTGGGTGGTCCGCGCATCTAGTTAGGTCTTTGTCCTTGGGCAATCTTTTCACCTCCCCAGACTGTGACTTCCTTCACTGGATATGAAAAGAATTGAGTTAAATTTTTCCAATTGTTAAAACCTACCTTTAGGTGTAGCAAACAACCTGAACAGTGTAGATTACAAGGATGGCCATTTGTAAGTTGACAGAAATAATAGTTATTGCGCTTCTATTATGAGCAAGTGTTGTACATCAGTCATTTCATTCTCAGAGATGTGTGAGGTAGGAATAGAGAAAAAACATCTCTACTTGAGGCCAAAGTTTAGAAGAGTTAAGTAATTTTCCCAAGGTTATAGTTAAAATTCTAGTTCAAACAGTCAGGATGTAAACCCAGGTGGTCCAGCTCCAAAAACCCAAGATCACTGTCTTTACCTCAGTGCCTCTGCTTGTACTAGCAGAGAAGCAAGAAAAGCTTCCCCAGAACTTAGAGAGACAACATTTATTCCTTCTCGTTTCTGGTAAAAGAACGTTTGACTTACTCTCTGAATTGAATGATAGTTAATCAACATCATAACATCAAACACTAGCATTTCATTAAAACCATAATGCAATCAGCATTTGTATTAGGTTTGACTTTCACAGGCTTTATGCTAGCGACATAAGATTTTAAAAAAAAAAACAGAACTTAAGAAAAGATTTGTGTATTCAAGGGCTGCTGTTCCACCTCTGAAATCTGTCTTGAATCCATGTACTTTCCTCTCCTTTCTCTGAAACGACCAGTCCAAGACACATGATCTCCCAGATGGCGCACAACGGAACCTTCCAGCTGCCTCCTCCCGCCCTCCGCTCCTGTTTCCACCAGGGACCCGCCCACCTACTTTGCACAGAGTTCCCTCTAAAACCCAAACAAGGTCATGTTCTGTGGGGTACCCCAAACCCACAAGAGGGATGAAAACCAACACCCGTGGTGGTTAATTTAGACCCCGAGCCTGTGTGGCCGGCTCGCCCTCCCGGCCTCTTGAAGCTCCCAATGCTTCCACCTCACTTGCTGCCCTGCCTTTCTGCAGATGCGGGAGCCTGTCCCTCCCCAGTGTGGCCGCAGCAGCTCTCCTCCATTTTCTGCTCACTTCACTCCAACTCTTTCTTCCTGCCGTGGCTGAAACATCAGCTTATGGAGAGGCTTTCTCTCATTTCCAAATCTCCCTTCCCTGGAACTCTGTACTTCATAAAATCTAACACAATTCAATCTGTGAGAATAAATTCATGTGGTAACACATTGTTTTCGCATTTCTCCAACTGGTCCCACGAGGAAAGGATCTTGTTTACCTTCTTTTCACTGTATTGTTAGCCAAGGATTTTTTCTAAGTAAAGCAGTTTTTACTAGTGTATGCCTGCATTACACAATAGCTACGTTTGTCTTGGGGAATTGGTGCATAGGCATTATCTTGATCATTTTTGATCCTTTTATTCCCCTTACCAGCCTCCCTCCATCCCCTTTCCTGTCCCAAAAGTCTACTTTTCCCCTTTCCAAAAACTCTACTTTTTTGTTTCTTACCATCTTTACTCTTTTATTTGCTCATATTTAACTCTCTGTGTTGGGCTTATTTTACTTAACGTTATGGTCTTAAGAATTTTGGAGACAGTTTTGGTGCTTAGTAAATTGTTTACATTAATTAGCAAGTGAATGAAACTAATTTACAACATACAAAGGTCTAAGTCTACCCAGTAAAGTTTCATAGTTGTGGTGGATTGAAAACTGGCGGTCAACTTGTAACACCCAGCTAAACTGAACCAGTGTGGTTCTGCGTGTGGAAGGCCCACCTGAAAACTGTTGCCAGCATTATAAAAAGAGAACTGGAGGGGACGATGGTGTGCTGTTGATTCTCCTGGAGAAACTTGTTGCTCTGGCTTTCCTGATATGAACTCAGTTGTATCATCATTGGAGGGGCTCAGTACTTTGATGTTACTGAGGATGGCTGAGGTTCACTTCAGGGGAGCTCTGGTCCTTACTTTGAGCATTGCTTCCTGGCTCCAGAGCAGACCCTGCAGCCTGCTGGCACAGATCCTTCATCCCACTGGTGCAGACTTTCTAGCTTCTACCACTGAACTTTGGACCTTCCCAGCACAGGTCTTTGATGCAAATTTGCATGAGACATTGTTGTGGGCTCTAGGCCTCCAGCTGGACTCCTGGGGGCATGGTTTTGGGTTCTAGGTCTTCAGTTGGATGCATGCAGGACATCGATGTGGGATCCAGGCCCTCATTTGGATTCTTAGGGTCTCTAGTGTGTGGACAGATCTCCCTGCACTCTTTTGCATTTGACTCTCCTATAAATTATGTGTACTGTATTAATTCCTTTTCCTCGCAAACACTGACTACAATCATAGTCGGTACCCAAATCAGGGTAGAAAATGTTACATACACTGTGAAACCATGTTATGTTTTAGATACAAAATGTTTTCCCCAAGCCACATGTGCATGGGAGATGGCCGAGTCATCGGGGCTCTGTACTCATCAGTGGACCCATCCCTTGATGGGTTCAGTAGGGGAATATGCTGCCAGGGGGACTGGCTGGAGGGGGGTTACTGGGGGTGTGACCTGGAAGAGTATATCCTTTCCCAACTCCTTGCACATCTCTCTGCTTCCTAGCTGCCATGAGATGAGTGGAGTTCCTCCTCCATGCTGTTCCACCATGGCGCTCTGTCTTAGAGCCAACCAACCATGGACGGAATCCTTTAAAAACTGTGAACCAAAATAAACCTCTCTTCCTTTATATTGAAGGTGTTGAGTATTTTGCCTCAACCATGGAAAAGTGACTAATATAGAAAATTGATACCAGAGAAGTGGGGTCCTTGCTGTGACTATAGCTGGCTGTAGGATTCAGAAGTCTTTGGAAATGGTTTACAAGAGGAGTTTGGGAAAGCTTGGAGATGCAAGCTAGAGAGGCCTAGAATGCTGTAAGCAGAGAAAGCAGAGATTGATGGGAGATTCGGGTTGGAGCTCAAAACAAAATGCTGATAGGAATGCAGACAGTAAAGGTCAGGCTCAGGAAGTTTCAGGTAGGAATAAGGACTCCACTGACAGAGTAGAGGCCATGTGTATTATACCCTGCTAGAAAATTTGTCTTTATTTTGCCCATGTCCTGATACAGTAACATCTTGGTTCATGAACACTTCTGTTTGCAGATAATTTAGTTAGCAAAGGAAAGTGTTTGGCAAAATCTTGCTTGCATTAGCAAACTCTGCATTGGGTGAAAAACATGACCACATCATCCCCACACAAACACACACACAGCCATATTCCCAAAATCATAAAACAATTTAAGTTCATAAATTGAGATACCACTGTTCTTTGTGAGAGACTGATATTCAGGGTGGTGGGTGAAAATCAGGGTGATAATCAGGGTGACTAATTAAGCTGACAGAGGAAATTTCAAAGCAACCCAACATCCAGGCTGTGCCATTTGGTACTGCTAGCTGCTTTTAGCCAGATCTAGAAAATCAGGAATGAAAAGTTTGCAATTTTATCAAAAAGGAATCACCTATAAAGTTGGGGCCATGGAGACCATAGTTGCTAAAAGATTAGCATTAAAAGAAGCCAAGTACTTTGAGTCAGGAAATAAGAAAGGTGGCTTGAAGACATGTAAGGAATCAGCAAGATCCCAGCCATCAAAGGTAAAGATCCAATAGTGTAAAGTTTTCATTTGAGAAGTGAGCCCTGGACTTCTTGGTCAAAAAGGCTTGCCTAGGGAATAGGTTCCCTGAGATACATTTTCCCATGCTCAGATATCTAGGCACTCAGAGGCCACTAAGGCCATGGACCAAGGGGGCCCAGCTAACTGCTTGAGCTCATAGCAGATACTGGCATCATCTATGTGGTAATGGTTTTACAGGCACACAGAATGGGAGAGTTGGGTTATGAGGGGATCCACCTAGATTTCAGAAAAAGGCCTGGGAGGCCAGGTAGTGTGCTCTTAAAAGGGTAATGTATGAAGCTGTGAGCCCAATGCCAAAAATGCATTAGAAATCCCAGGAAATTAGACATGCCAGGAACATGGAATGTCTGCAGAGGAAAATTGCAGGCAGTGAGCAGAGCCAACCCAAGAGAGAAATCATGTGGGTTGCACTCAGCAATGCCATAGGAGCAGGGCCACCCAAGCCCCTTGGAATTGATGTCTTGCTACAGCCTGCCCCAGGTGCTGGATATACAGCTACAGGATTTAATGTTTGCCCTACTGGCTTTTGGTTTTGTTTTGTTCCAATTTCTGTCTATTCCTCTATTCTTTCCTTTTGGGATGGGAACGTTGACTCTGCTCCACTGAATGTTGGAAGTATCTAACTTTCTTTTATATTTTTGCAGTAGCTTACAGCTAAGAGTTTGCCTTGAGTCATAGAGGTAACTTTGGCCTTGGACTTTTCAGCAATGCTGGAACTGTTAAGACTTTGGTGACTCTTAGAGATGAATCAAATCCATTTTATACAATGAGATAGACATAAGTATTTTGGGTACAGGTGTGGAATGCTATGGTTTAGATCTAAAATGTCACTCAAAAGTGTCATGTGTGTGGAAGGCGATTAGCTCATGGAGGTGTATATTCATCAGTGGATTCATTCCTGATGAGTTCAGTCACTGAGTCATGACCTGGAAGGGTATGTTTTCATCCTAGGCTTTACCCTTTTGCTTCTGCTCTCTGGCCACCATAAGGATGCTGCTCAGCATTCCCCTTCCATGCACTTTTACCATGCTGTTTGGCCTTATAGCCAACCAACCATGGACTGAACCCATTGGAACCCATGAGCCAAGATAAATCTCTCCTTTAAAGTAGGCATTTGTTCTACTGATGGGAAAGTGACTGAAAACCATTTCTTCTTTGTGAAAGTCTTGG